TATATACCTGCCACCGTCACGGAGTCCGAAGCGTCAACTTGTGTTGGAAGATGAGGGCGGCGAATACGGGATTGAGCATAGATCAGGCCTCAGGGTTGGCGCGACCTTTCCCCGCCGATTGCACTTTAACGATTTCGGGAGTTGTCCCTGCAGGGCCTAGCTGCGGATAAGACTTGCACAGTGCGCAAGAACGAGTGATCCAGGCTTAGAAGCACGCATACATCAGAGTTTGTGCTCGTATGCGGTCCTTGCGGTGCGTTTCTCATCTCAGTAAGCTTCGTGCGTCAGAGCTAATTAGCCGGGCGGTATTCCAGGAAGTGATGCCGCCGGATTACATACTCGCATTTTTTTCACCACGCTACCACAGACTAGCCCAGACGATCCATCAAGACGACCATGTAATCAAGTACGTGGCTAGCACATTAAAATATTCCGCAGGACAGTGAAGTAATCCTTGTAGGCCCCAGTGACCACGTAAGCATGCACGTACATCCGAGACGTTTCCATGGCGGTCAGTATAGTCTGACGTCACCATGGGCTCACTGGCGGGTGAACCGGCCATCCGGGCCGGCCGGCGACTTGTCACCGTCCAGCAGGAAGGCTCATCGGACTGGTTCTCTTCCCTTCCCACCCCCATAACCGAATCATTGTCGCGATCTGATTAGCCCAAGCGACGCAGCCAACGTTTATCGACCGTGCACATCCAACGTTGTGTCTATCTCTCTCGCACATAGCTGCTTTCACATCGATCTACGCCTGCCATCCGCCGAACGATCGCCCAACCTCGACTCCTCGGATGTCGATCCGCAACAGCCCGCGATGGTTTCCGCTGAACCCGCAGGCGCGCCTGGACCTCCAGCCAAAGGTTCCGCGCGTCCGGGCTCGGGGGCACTGTGCCTCGTGGGTGCATGCACGCGAAAGAGGCGAGTTTCACGGACCGGACCTGCGATGGGATCTCACATACCCATCCGAAGCCACGCTCATCTGCTTGATTCATGTGTCGACGACGACGATGTCCGGGCGTACCGCTCTCTGCGCTCGCCTGCACAACGGCTGCGAGCACGCGGCAATCGGGCTCTCAACCGACTTGGCCAATCCGAGGTGACCTGCGTGTCCAGCGCGCGGCCCGGCAGGGTCCGACGCGCTCATATAGCAGGCTGAACGTTCGCGGGGCAGCCCATGCTCTCTCGCTCCCGACACTGGCCCCACCACGTGGCCGATTACCCTGGGGCGCATGGGGCGTGTATGCGGTATGTGTTTCAAACAAACTCCCTTCCAGGGTCTGACGCGCCAAAATGGGCAAACCCAGGTCTTGAGCGCATCGATCATGCCTTCTCAGCCGTCGAGGTATCTGCACACTTCCATGTAGCCCAAGGCTCGAGAAGGGAGCTCAGGCCGTCCTGGGCCCGGTCTTACCGTTGGATTGGTTTCTCACACACGAGGTGGGCGTCGCCTAGCTTACGTCTAGTATCATGCACACCCTGATGATTGGTTAGATCCCTACTTCGACCCCACTACCTTCGTGCCCGGCGCGGCCTGCACCATGATCGCGCGCGCATTCCGGTGCATCGTGCATCAAGTACCTGTACAGTACCGCCATACTCGTCACGCCTCGCCCTTGCATATCCACAACGCTCGAAGCTCCGAGGCCGCCTTCGGACGCCTTGCCGGTCCCAGAACCCAGGACCTGCCCCCAATGCACGATCCTAGCGGGAACCATACCAGGGCCTCACCAGACTGCGAGCATCCGCGTACACGCGAACCGACTCTGGGGCCCTTACGGCACGGTGTGCCCGGCGCAGATCCGTGCCTCGATCTCGCGCACGAACCTTGCCATCAGCGCTCGCACGCCCGCGACACTAGCATGCGCGCACAAGCGCCCGATTGCGCTCGCGATCGCGCCTCCGGCTGCATGCGACTCCGAGGTTGTGCCGCTGTGCCTTCCAGCACTGGGAGGTGTGTTCTACTTGCCCCCGACCCTGCTCTCTGTCTTCGACCGGCGTCTGACGCTTCCTGTCCTTCGCATGTCAGACCGCTCGGGACCGCACCTCGCGCGAATCTGGAAGGGCCGGGCAGGATTCAGAACTCATTGGAGCGCGGACCCGGGATCGGCAGCGGGCCCGTACGCACCCTCATGTTCTCGTCACTGCAGCAGCAGCGCAGGCGGCGTTCCGAAACCTCCTCGTCTTCCCTCACCCTCCGCGCTCGCGCGCTGCTGTTGTCGCCGCTCTGCGTATCTGCTACCATCAACATCGCTGCAACCAGCGCGCCCGCGACGGAAAAGACAAACAGCGTTTCGCTCACACACACACGTCCCGCCGCAGTCTCGAGGGTCCTACGACCGCAGCCTCGGCCACACTCGACTCCAGACCCCCCCCCCCCCCCCCCGCTCCCGACGTCTTCTCGCCGTCTCGGGCGTCACTACGGTTCCACGGCTCCCGCACGTCGGCGCCCCAAACCAAGCGCAAGCTCAGGCGTGTCCCCGCGTCCGAAGCGCGCACAACCGCCGCCGCCGGGCCCGAGAGGTCCTGTCGGACAAACCTCGCCCGGCGGCCCCGTCAACGCTCCCAGATCGCGTCGAGGACCCACAATCGCGGACCCACTTATCCCTCGGCAGCTGCGCGCGCGCGTCTGCGCTTTGAAGTTTGCCCTTCTGATTCTGAACTCTCTGTCCCGCGTGTGCGCCCGATCGCTCAGGCGCGGGGTCAGGCGCGGGCCCGGCTGTAGCTCGGACTGGTTGTGGCCACTGGCCAGCGTGGGCGGGCGGGCGGGGGCGTTAGCTCACGCTTCCGTTGGGCTGGGCTGGGCTGGCTGGGCCGCTAGCGCGGAGTGCGAGGCGCGGGGTGCGGGGTGCGTGGGATGCGTTCATGGTCTTGGTTCGGCTTCTAGCCTGAAGATGAGGGATGGGCGCGGCTGGTTCGGGACACGAGACGGACGTGGAGGACGGTAGGGAACATACCACGACAACCTGAAGCCGCGGCTTCCCCACGTCGTCACTCACCATCTCTCACACTCTCTGGTCCGCCGCAGTGATCCGGCCGCGCCCGGCACATCTCTCAACACCCCGTTCCCTTCGGACAGAACCGCATGTGGTCTACACGCTTACCATAGGGCTTTGACGAGGAAGACGAAAAGGAAATTTCTCAAAAGCTCGGGGAAGAGGCGTCTGCCGACTTGACGCGGGCTTGCGGGAGTGGCACAGTGCGATCGACAGCCAAAGGAAGCAGCGCCAAGGCTGCGTAACAGCCGTACGAATGCAAGGACGCATTGTCCCGCTGAAGGGCCATCCGCGGTAGCACGTGCGCGGGGAATGCTGGCAGCATGATGCAGGTGTCTTTCAGATATATACTCCCGCGGGCGTGGCTGCGCGGGCAGAACCACGGCGGGTCGTGATTCGTGCGTGTGGTGATCCCGCCCCGGGCGGGGATCGTGGCGCGGTGACGGTAAGTAGGTACGGACAGGACCACGAGCGCCTGTTCGTGCAAGTATGAACGTACGAACGCCCGATGATGGGATGGTGGGGGCGGAGGCGGAGGCGGCGGCGGCGACAGTGACGGCGGCGAGAGATACCGTTAGCAGTATCTCGGTACTCGAGGCTCGAGCTGTGGCCGCTCTAGCGACAGTCTAATCTACACGCGCACGGCGGAGAAGCAGAAGCCGCGCCCGCGGTTGCGCAACGACGACGGCCTCGAGGAGGGCGCATGGCGCGCCGCGAGACGCGCCGCGATCGAAGTTCGGGTGCGCGGGCCTCGCTTGGGAGTGCCTGCGATAGCTCGGCCGCGGAGCGCGGTGGTACGTCCGGCGCGGTGCATCCGTGGACTCGCGCGGGCGCCCGGGCGGAGGAGGGGCGGATGGGAAGGTAGGGAAGCAGACGTGCGCGGGTGTCTCGGTCTGGAGCGCGAGGGCGCATCGTGGCCGGGGCGTGGAGGGAGGTGGTGGGACGGCGGGAGGTTTACGTGGGCGCGGGGGAGGAGGGCGCGGGGTGCCCAGGGCGGGGGCGGGGGAGTCAGTGGGTGGTCGACGGGGTCGAGAGCGGGGGATGGTGATGGAGGGCCGGATGGGGCTAGCGCGAGATTGGAGAGGGAGATCGGAGATTTGGGGTAAGTTGGCCTGCGCTGCTTCGGTGGGAAGGCGAGATCGGCTGGGAGATCGCGGGGATGGATGGCATCGACAGGGACGCGGCTCTGCGACTCTCGCGCGCGGGCTTCGCTCGGCCTGCGTCTGCTGCGACCGCGCGCGTCGCTGGCGGGGCTCTGACGTGTGCGCGCAACCGCCGGGCTCTGCGCGCGCGCGTGCGCGGGGCGGGCACACGGGCGGCCGGGGCGGGGCAGCGGGGGACAGCCAGGCTCGGTGGCAATGCGGACAGGCTCTGGCGCCCGGGGGAGGACAAGATCTGGGGCGGTGCGAGGCTGGCCAGGCTGCAGCTCCCGTCCCCTGCCCGCCCTGGCTGGCTGTGTGTCCCGCCTGTGTGCCCTGGCCGCACCTCCCCGCCGCCCGCCCGCGCTGGTCGACCGACGGTCTGCTGTGTGCCCGCCGTCCACCCACGGGGCGGCAGTGCGCGTGTCCGGCGAGTATTTACTGGCCTGCAGCCCACCGAGCTTCTTCTCCTCCTCCTCCGCCCCTGCGTCCTCGGCACAGCTCCCGCCGATCCCCCGGCCCGCGTCTGCCCGCCCTCCGCCGCCCTCCATTCCCCGCCGCCCGCCCCGTCCGCCCGCCCGCCCGCGCTCCGGCCCGTTTTATCTTTTATTTTCGCCAACCCCGCCGCGAGCTGGCCGGTAAGCAACAGGCCCCACCGCTGCCTGCGCCGCCCGATCGCCTCCGTCGCCGCGCTCCGGCCCAGAGCTCGCCCTCCGTCCGCTTTCGTCTTCGATCCCGTACGTCCAGGCCGCGTTCATAAGCCTATTTCCCTTTTAATTCTCCATCCGCCCTCCGCTCATCCGCACCATCCAGCCCAGACCGCCTCCGCCGCCGCCCCTCCTTATATCCCTCCGTCTCCCGCCATGCTCGACCACCCTCCCTTCTCCCAACCGCACCATATGGACGCCTCAATCCTCCTCCAGTTCGCCCACTCCCACTCCGCCCCGTCTCCCTCTGTCCCCCTCCATTACAACAACTTTGGCGATCGCGTCGCCGACAGACCCCACCTCACCCCCTCCTCCTCCTTTGTCCGCTCCTCTGCGCCTCGCTCCATGAACACCCCGCAGCAGCAGCAACCTCAGCAGCAGCAGTCCTTCCAGAACTTCGCCCTCCCCTCCTTCCGCTCCCCCTTCCCCATATCTGCCGCCGCCTCCGCCTCCTCCTCTTTCCTCCACGACACCGGCTCACCCTACGACCTCCCCGATCCCGACGCCCACAACTCCACCGCGACGGCCCAGGCCTTCCACTCGGAGCAGCAGTATGCCCAGCAGTGGTCCCAGGTAGTCGAGTCCCAGGCACAGCAGTACGCAGACTCTTACGCCTCGTCCTCGTACGACCTCGCCCCCTCCTCTCCGCCTCACGCGGACGGGCCCATGCTCCACCAGTCCGCCAGGGACTCAGAGCACATAGAGCCCTACAGCAGCCTCTACCTCCCCTCCTACCCCGACCAGCTCCAAAACCACCCCGGCTCCGACGGCCACTCGCCACTCGCATATTCCACCGCGCACTACGTCGACGCCGCCCAGCAGGCCACAGCAGGCGCAGCAGCAGCACCCGCTGTCCGCATACACCTACGGCGCGCCCGAGCACTCGCCCGAGGTCCCGCACCTGTCCCCCTACATGCTCGGCGGCTCCCCGCAGCACCTCGCCTTCGACTACGCGCCGCCCTCGGACAGTGACCTCCCGCAGTTCGTGCACCCGTCCCAGGTCTCGCCCGGGGTCTCCCCCGCGTCCCCGTACGTGCAGCTCGCCCCGGACGCGTGCGACCCGCGCTTCCTCGCGAGCGCCCCCGCGCACCACCCCGTCCACGGCGGCAGCAGCAACACCCACCACCACCACTACGGCCACGGCCACGGGCAGGGCAGCGACTCCGCGTCCGCGTCCGGCGCGGGCTCGCCCCCGCCGCGCGCCAGCCGCAAGCGCCAGCGGTCGTCGAGCCTCGCGAGCAGCAGCGGGGACGAGTACCGGGGCTCGAGCGGCGAGTCCGAGCCGGCGGACGGGGACGAGGACGAGGACGAGGACTACGCGCCGCGCGCCGCGCGGCGGTCGCGCCATGGGGACTACGCGCCCGCGATCAGCCCGGCGACGAGCGTCGGGTCTTCGGCCACCTCGGCGGGCGGCCACCTCGGGGGCGCTGGGATCGGGGGGGCAGGCGGCGGGCGGCGGCTGGCGCCGCCCGTGCCTGTCCCGAACCTGACGAAAAAGAGTCGGGGGCGGCGGGTGCCGACGGCACAGCAGGTCGTGACCGAGGGCAGTGTGCAGAAGGTGCGTGCGGCGTCGCCAGAGACGCTTCGCAACGACTGACGGGCTCGCGCAGAGGATGTACATGTGCAAGGTCGGGGGCTGCGGGAAGTGCTTCGCGCGGGGCGAACACCTAAAGCGGCACGTGCGGAGCATCCACACGAATGAGAAGCGTACGTCGTCGTCTTGCCTCCGTCGCCGACGCGCGGTCTGCGGTGCTCACGCGCGCCCTCCCTTCTCCAGCGCACAAGTGCCCGTACCCTGGGTGCGGCAAGGACTTTAGCCGGCACGACAACCTCGGCCAGCACATGCGCGTCCACAAGGGCTTTCAGATGCCCAAGGGCAGCCTCCTTTGAGCCTCGCTCGCCCATCTTCCACTTCGCCTTCTTGGTTCACCACCGTTCCTCGGCACCGGTTTGTTTGGCTTTCCTGGTTTCCCTTAGACGAGAACAGACGTTCTCGCGCCACTGCGCCGCACGCGCCCGGCGTTCATGGTTTCGCGGTTTCCGACACGACCCCGCCACGAGTCGACAACGACTGTATGCTCTCTCTCCACACGCTCGTGATGACCCGCTTCGTTCCAGTCCCGGATCTCTCCATTGTTATGCCTCTCTCTCTCTGCTCGTATCGCCCGCTTCCCCCACCAGTGTATTCTTCCCCGTCGCATCCATTGGACACTCTCTCGCCGTCTCTGTATCATCCCGCCTGCTCTCGACTGTATCGTTTACCACCACCCCCGCCCCGGATCGCGCGCCGCGCCTGTTGTATTCATATCATCCGTCCCGCTCTGTCCCCGCTTCGTTTCCCAGGCCTCTCTCTCTTTCTGTAGGTACATGTCCCCGGTCGCATATCCATATACGTATCCTATCGAGCCGTCCTCGCCGGCGCGCTCGCCCCGTCTCTGCATCGCGTCTGCGTCTGCGTCTGCGGTCTGCGTGCCCGTGGCCCGTGCCCGCTCTTCGTTCCGCACCCCCGTTCTTCTTGTTCCCCTTGTTTATTCACACGCTCCACCGTCTCGACCCCGGGCCCTTCCAAGTTCCAGTGCCCACGTCCGCGCCCGCGCCCCCCGACGCGGATCACGACGCGAATGATCCGCGCGTCCGCGCCATCCCGCAGTCGCACCCACGCCCACGCCCAGCTGAGCGCGCCGCGGGACGCGAGATTAAAAGGCAAGTAGGTTACGTGGGGCGCGCACCTATGCTCCCGCGCGCATCGTGCATGATTGACGATTTGGCTGTGATTCTCGCCCGACCAAGCGCCCGTCGAGATCGCCCGGCCGGCCTGTCACTGGGCGCCGCCGTCGCCGCCAGCCACGTACGGCGGTCCATGTGACTGCATGACGCTGGGCCCGTCGACGGCTTATACGGGCCTCCACGTCGGGTCGCGTCCGCGGAGGGCACGTCGCGGTGGACTGCAGATGACTGGCTGGTTGACTGGTGACTCGCGCGCTCGGGTCATGCACGTCCTCTTATCGCCTCTCCATTCCAACCCCGATGTGTCTCCTGCAGAGCCCGTCTGGAACGCTTGGCCAAGTCGCGGGTACCGGTTGTGGTCGCGACTCAGTATTCAGGCCGCGGGTGTGGCGGACACGTAATTGGGCCCAGGCCCAGACCCTAGTGTAGTGAGCTCTGGTTGGTGCGCGCGCTCGGACCTGGCGCGATCGGGCTGGGGTTGGTTGTGGTCGGTGGCCCGTGGTCGACCTGCGCAGACGTGCGCAAATTTGGGGGGTCGGAGCGCGAGCGAGTCCGTGGATCCAGATCCGCAGACACCGGGGTGGCTGAACGCGGTTTAGTTCGGCGAGAGAGCGACTCGGAGTCGTCTGGAATCCTCCCCCTCTGCCCCTCGAAACGCGCGCGCACGCGTACGCGAGGGCCCGCGAAGTGCACAGCAGGAGCGCCGCTTGCCGCACTAACACCCCACTCGACGTTAACCCCGCGACCCGGCGCGCGCCCGCCAACGTGCGGACGTCTTGTCCGCACGTCCGACGTGCGCGCTCGCTCGCACGCTTACACGCCGCGGGGCACGATCGAGGGGGCGCGTGCGTAGAGTCCGAGGCCCGTGCCGCCGCGGCGGGAGGGTGGAGGGTTGGAGCGCGGGGCGTCGATCGCACGATTGAAAAAAAGAATCACGCGCGCGAGTGCCCTGGACTCGACTCGTGCGCGCCGGCTGGCGATCGAGGTGCGCGCGCCTTGTGTGTCGCGAGGCGCCGAGCGGGATTCGAATGGGCTGGTGGACGGCTTGCCTGCCACCTGGGCAGGAACGTCGACGGCCGCGCCCATCATCGACATCACTTGCACCAGGCTGTGCCGCGCGATCGGAGAGCGCGCACGCGGGAGGCGGAAGTTGGAACGACGGATGAACGGGAGGCGGCGGCGGCGGCCCCGGGGGTGGCTAACTCGCTCGCTTGTGCTCCGAGGACCGAGGACCTGGCTGGTTCGAAGAACGCAGCGACGGGGGGGATGTAGGGTCGCACGTGCGCGCGCGAACCCGGCCGACGGCGCTCAGCGCGAGACGTCTGTCGTCCGGGGGAGGACGTCCTCCGACCTTCGACTTCCCGAGGCAGCGCAAGGCGGGGAGGGCGGTGCGAACGCGGAGGGCGCTTCGAGCTCGCGCTTGTTCCGAGCGCTCCTCGAGCGACGTGCTTCGCGTTCTTTGATCATGATGGGCGCGGAGGCGGTGTCGACTTCCCGGCGTGCGCGACGGACCTGGCACGCGCGAGCGCGGTCAGCTCGGTGGGCGAGCGAAGCCGTAGATGGGAAGTTCGTGAGCGCCCGCTGCCTTTGCAGCGGTACCGGTGGATTGCTGTACGGGTCCACAGCGTGAATGAAATTCGAGCGCGGTTACGACAAGATTCGCCGGTGGACGTGGCGAAATCGTTCGCAGTGCCGACCGACCCAAGCGCGGGCGAGATCCGCAATTGGTGGAGCTCCCGAGCAATAAAGCGCGCCCTACAAGTGCCCGGGCTTACAAACCCGGGACGCCTCCGCGCACCGGAAGCATACTGGCCCCGCCAGCCGACACGTGCGGGCACGATTCTGCCCGACGCCGGCGATCGGGGCACGGGGCACGCCGGGCTCCATACTGCGGCCGGTGCTTTCGGAAGGTGAACATGCACGGGCTGGATCCTGGGACCACATGAAAAGAGTCCGAAGGTTGAGCCCTAGCGGTTGCTCGGCAGAGGTATTCAACCGGAAGTAGGTACGTACCTGACAGTCGTAAGTCACCGATATTGAGCGGGTTATAAAACACAGTAATACAGCGAGCGATCTAGATCGTCGGCGTCGGCACCGTCGTGTTATGAACTCCGGTTGGACTTTAAGGCTATCATGGTCCATGGAGCCCACATGAACCCGGAATGTCAATGCAAGGCCTAGAAACGAACCTGTCGGCCTTCGCGTCAGGGGCCCGCACGAGTGCTGTGGGCGGCCACATTGGATTGTCGTCGATCCCGGCGACTGACCTCGCAGTGGGAGCTGGTGAGTCAAGATCCGAGCACAGCGCGAGTCGCATATGATAATGATTGCGGGGCGAAGACGGTATGACGTGGGTGCGAGTGCGGGTGACAACGGTGGCGCCCGCTGTATACTGGGGTTGACCGTAAACACATACTCTGACGCGACGAACTCGAACGGCGACATGCCGGGGTCGTGGACGCGTTAGGAATGAGTCCAAGTTGGTATACGAGACAGCTCTGGGGTGCCTCACCGCGAAGACACGACATCGACAGCCGCGACGTCAGGGGCCACGATGCGCTCAGCGAGACTCGAGGCGCGCGGACGGTCATTCTCACTGCGAGCCCGCATATGCGCACTCGCCAAGCCAAGCCCAGTCGGCGCGCGGGCCCGCGCACCCGCTGCCTCCATCGCCCGTTTGGCATGCGCGTAGCACATCGACGCACACCTACTGAGAGTGCCGCATATACGGAGTTGAGCGATCGCGCAGACGGAAGACGGCCCGCCGCGGCAGCGCACCGCGATGGGCCGTTTCCCGCATGAGGCATAGGTCCGTGGCTCCGTCCGACACAACTCTCCCGGCTCCAGACTCCAGCTGCGTGGGCAGCACAGAGGCCTAAAGGGCCTTGGACTCGATGACGGCGATCAACGGGCGACGGATCTCCCGTCTGCCTGGCGGACACGACCTCAAGCACTAGCTGCACGTACGGAAATCTCAGCGATCGAAAGTTTGGCCAGGTGTGGGATCCCCGTGGGTGTCGGACGGGTGGAGCGGCAGTAGCAGTTTGGACTTGTGGGGCGCGTATAACGCGCGGGCGTGGGCCTCAGCTCGCGATCGCGATCGGACCTTTCGAGCTGGAAGGCGCCCCCGCGATACCGTGATAAGGGGCTTCGTTGGCCCGCGTTGGTGGGCGAAGTATGCCCGAATGACGGTGGTTTGCGCCGGTGGTAGCAGAAATTGAGACGTATGGGGTTTATTAGTATTGTACAGAGATTACGTTCATACAGGTCTGTGGTCCGGACGGGGGGTGAGCATCGGGGGACTGGAAATCTGGGGATGAAACCTACTCACAGCGCGAGGGGTTACATGCAGGCGGTTGAAGGATCATCGACGAGACAGGTAGCAAAAGCAGCATGGATTCGGAAACATATGTCGCAGAAGCGGGAGAGCTTGACAGGAGATGGAAAGCGTGTGTCGACCGAGCGGAAATCAAGCATAGAGGGCGTAAACAGAAGCTACGCATCGTCGGTCATGATGGAAAAGAACTCTTGCTCGTTGATCTCCCCATCTTGGTCGAGGTCAAACTCGTCAATCATGGCTTGGCTGAGAGGGGCGTAAGCATACATTGACATGATCGTGGGGCGTGGAGAATGTGTAAGGGACAGAAAGCGGCAGCTCAAGACGAACACTCACAGTTCTTCATCCTCCAGTCTATCACCAATCTCTTTCGCAACTCGGCGAAGATTCCTCAGGCTGATCTTTCCCGTGTTATCATCGTCGAACAGTTGGAACGCTCTCCGGATCTCCTCCATGGGGTCACGCGCCAGGATTCGTTCGCTCACTTCGATTTAGGCGGCGAGACGACACGGTAGAAGGGGAACACGAAGAAAAATCTGCGGGTCAGTGTCGCCCAAGAGGCGTAGCACGGTGAGAGGTGCGTACTGATTTTGACGAAATCATCAAAATCCAGGACATTCCCGCCCGACTTGTCGTGGTCCCGCAAGATCTTCAAGACCTCCGCCTTCTTCAAATCGAAGCCGAGGGCGCGCATGGCAACCTTCAGCTCATGGTAGTCCACCGCTCCGTCCTTGTCTGTGTCGAAGAGCTCGAAGGCCTCCTTGATTTCCTGTTTTTGCTCGTCCGAGAGTTCGGGGCGGGCGTGCGTGCGTCGCTTGGCTTTCTGCGCGGCTGAGGATGCAGAGTACATGGTTGGATAGCTTATGGGTGTGAAGCTCGTGCAGGAAGACGCGTTGCGTGGTGCTTAGAAGGGGCGTAAACGCGTCAAGAGGATGGGGAAGAGATTGACTGGTGAACGCGTCGCGTGTCCGAATGTTCGCTTGTCTGCAGCGTGTTTCACACGTGATCTGTAGATAGGCGCGTGCGTAATCGCGAGTAGGTTGCCGGAGGCCTGTGCACTGTGTCCGTCAGTGGGCGCAGCAGCACGTCGGTTCAACACGCGACAATGTTTCCTCTATCACTGGCCACAGCTCGAGCAACCCGCACAGTTCGGTGTTTATCGGACAGTAAGGAGAGGCTGGGTGGACCGGGGCTCGGGCTATTCCGCGCCGGTAAGCGTCGTACCTTCTTAAACTGGCTCACCAGGACCGTCTTGGTCTGACTTGGCCCACAGCTACACGCACTCTCCGTCCTCGCCTCCTCGCCTCTGCTGAATCCTACTCTTTCGCAAGCTTTCACACCACACCCGCCGCCATGGCTATCGAAGTTGTTCCGCTCCCCACACCCGCCACTCTTGACGCTTCCAAGCTCCCGAATTTTGGCCGCGAGGTCCGAGGCGTCAAGCCCGGTAGCCTGTCTCCGGAGGAGTTCAAGGAGGTCCACGATCTGCTTTACAAGGTCACTGTAGTGCTATCGCTCCTGCGAATCAGCTCACTGAGTTACAGGTGATCAGCATGGCGCCCTCCTGTTCCGCAATGCAGACCTCTCCCCCGAGCAGCAGTATGCCTTGACCAAGGTGCGTATCATCACCCCCGCCCTTCCGAAACCCACCCTCAAGTCTGCTTATCAGGCATTTGACCCGTCTTCCGAGAGCTACGGCCACGGCAACAACAAGACCGGCGCCGAGAAGAAGTCCATCCTCCACCCCGACCTGAAGACGATCCCTCGCGTGCCCCAGGTGCAGCTGATCGGCAACGGCGTGGTCCACGACCACGAGGGCCTTGCCGAAGCCAAGCTCAAGCACCCGTCCCACACCACCTTCCACAAGACGCGTGTCTCTCCCGAGGACGAGGCCAAGGGCTACACCCGCTACTACCGTTGGCACATCGACGCTGCGCTCTACGACCTCTCGCCGCCGAAGGTTACGACGCTCTACGGCGTGACGGTGCCGAAGGGCCCGCGCCAGACCGTGCGCTACGACGACGGCACCGAGGACGAGCTCGATGTGCCGCTGGGGACGACCGCGTTCGTGGACGGGCGGACGATGTTCGAGATCCTCCCGCCGGAGATGAAGAGTCTCGCGGTGCGCTCGAAGGTGAAGTACTCCCCTCACCCGTACGTTTGGATGGCGCCTGCGCGCGCGCTCCCGACGGGGCTGGGGATCATGTCGGAGGGTCTGGAGATGTCGAAGGAGGAGCTGCCGGCGTTCGAGGAGTCCAAGGTCAAGGTCTTTCCCATTGTGCGTGCCTTCGTATTTCTGCAGGTATGCGCTGTGTCTCATGTTGCCTCAGCTTTGGAAGAACCCGGTCACGGGCGAGCTTCACTTCCAGGTCCACCCTTGTGGTGTCGCCGAGCTTCTTGTCGACCCTCTGCCCGAGGGTGCGAAGCGTGAAGGCGCTCTCTATCCTGACGGTGCGCACCTCACGGATCTCAAGGAAGTCCGCGACCTTCTCTACAAGATGCAGCGTCCGGCTATTGCACCCAACGTGAGTACATAGATCTGCAGAAGCTCTTGATCACACGACCTCACGACGTCCTCGCTTCACACCAGCTGGTTTACCCCCATGACTGGTGAGCGCTATTCACTTCGACTGGTTACCCCGGATACTCATTGGGTTCCCAGGCAAGAGAAGGACCTCGTGCTCTTCCACAACCGCGGCGTGCTGCACACGGTCGTCGGTGCGTTCACTCCCGAGACTGTTCGCGCCTTCCACCAGTGCAACCTCGCCGCGTCCGAAGACCCGGTTGGCCCCTCGGCTGAGGACGTGAAGGCGTGGGCTTGAGCGCGCACGATATACTGCCATGTATGATCCTCTCGGACTGCAGTGTAATATGCGGGTGTACGTGTAAAGCTAATGTCATGTATTTATACGCTGCCGGATGGAATGCACATCGTCGTTTACCGATCCTTCCTGAAGGCCTGACGACTGCGCACCGCAGGCCCCGTTGCGACATGCATAGCGCGCCGACTGTATTTCCGTCCACGACTGTCGGGAGCGCAGGCCCCGCAGCAACCTCTCTTCAACCAGTACTCGCAATCACCACGTTTCTTACTGACCTCGTGTATACCAAGTAGGGGCGTCAGCTTCCCGAGATACCACCGCCGAAAAGTCACGTGGATGCCATACATTCCTTCCGAAATGCGGTACTTGGCATGACCTGGCCAAGAATTCATACCTTGTTTCTCCCCTTCTACTCCCCAGAGAGCGTCCTCCCTGCCCCCTGGCCCCCCACTTGCTTTCTCAATCACTCGCTAATTGACCGGGCGACGGCTGGCACGCGCTACTCCGCTCTCACCGTACACGACTATACCCCCCTGGGGCAACACACGCTATGTCCGAGGGCAGCTTGAGGAAAAGAAACGGTGCAGGGACGAAGTCGGACGCCACGAAAGGCAAGAGTGCGGGCAACCCTGTTAGTCAACCTTTGAACACCGCTTATGTGGGAAGCTGAGCGTGTTCTGTCGCGCCCTTTACGATAGACGGATGCGAAGCAGTCGGTGGGCCAGGAGGCGACGTCAGGGGGCTCCTCGACGATAGTCTACTTCGTCGTTTTGCTCGTCTCTGCGACGTTCGGTGCGCTGGTGTACAAGGTGCGCGCAGATCATTCCCCATGCTCTCTCCGTTCGCCGCCCCAAGGAGAGCAGGGTGCTCACGCGTGACGGCGCGCAGGACCCGTCAATAGTGAAAGGCCCTCTGTACGAGTTCCTTGGGTTCGAGGAGGACCCCTTTTCGCCGCCGACACCCCAGGGTTTCGCCGCGGACCTCCTGAAGAGGGACGCGGTCCGCGACGCGTTCAAGGTGCGTGCATGCTCTGCTTCCTCCGTCCTCTCGCGCTCAGCTCTACCCCGTGCTTCAGCATGCATGGCTAGCGTACGGTAAGCACGCGCTGTCGAACGTGCGGTCGCCCGCGTGCTGACCTGCCGCAGAACGCGACGCGATGGGCTGGGACGAGTACCACCCGATCAGCCACAAGGGCACGAACCTGACCGAGGCGGGCGGGATCGGCTACACCGTCATCGACTCGATCGACACCATGCTCATCATGGGCCTCGACGAGGAGTACCAGCGTGCGCGGAAGTGGGTGGAGGAGAAGATGGACTTCGACCGGGACGGGAACTTCAACACGTTCGAGGTGCGCGTGCTCGCTGTTCTCACTGCCGCGCGAGGCTTATGACCGTGCAGACGACAATTCGCGTACTCGGTGGACTGTTGTCAGCGTACGCGCTGACGAAGGACAAGCTTTATGTTGACAAGGCGGTCGACCTGGCGGACCGCATCCTACCCGCGTTCGACACGCCTGCGGGGCTGCCTCTATCGAGCGTCAACCTCGCACAGCGAAAGGGAATATCATCGGCAGACAACAACGGGCTGGTCAGCACGGCTGAAATCTCGACGTTGCAGCTCGAGTTCAGGTACCTCAGTTATTTGACGGAGAACGAGGAGTACTGGGACGCTGTGGAGAAGGTATGTTGACACCTTCACATGGAACGATGCATGAGTGTAACCAGTTTGGACATGGCAGGTAATGGCGACCATCAAGAAATCTAGCTTGACCAACGGTCTTGCATCGATATTTATGAAGTAAGCGTCGATTCACCAGGTCATTCATCCCGTGCTGACCTCAATGCAGCCCTGAAGACGGCCGATTCGTGTTGTCGGCGATCCGGCTAGGGTCTCGTGGGGACTCATACTACGAATACCTGCTGTGAGTTTTGAGTATTGTGTGATACGCGGAGCTGACCAGAGTAATAGAAAACAATACCTTCAGACTGTAAGTTTACTGCTGACACGTTGAGGCTATCCTCATTAACACTTGCGCCTTAGAACATGACTGAGCCTGTGTACCAAGACGTAAGTCTGATGTGTTTCATAGCATACACGCCTGACCTGTGCATCCTCAGATGTACAATTTCGCTATGGATGCTGTCCATGCCCACCTGATTTCCAAGAGTCAATTTACAAAGATGACCTACACCTCCGAGCTCGTCCCTGAGCGCGATCGTATGGGCCAGATGTGAGTTCCAAACCCCTTCTCCCTCGCACTGGTTCCTGACACACGTCGCAGCTCCTGGCGCCTCACCCCCAAGCAAGACCACCTCGTCTGCTTCTTCGGGGGCTCGCTCATGCTCGGCGCGACCACGTCCGGCGCGCAGGTGCACCCGGTGTCCGTCCCCCCACTCCCGAAGGAGCTCACCAAGACCGGGAAGCGCGACTGGGAGGTCGGCGAGGAGCTGATCGAGACGTGCATGCGCACGCACGAGACCGCGACCGGGCTCTCACCCGAGATCGCGCACTTTCGGATCCCGAGCGACGGCCTCGTCGGCTCATCGATCTCGCAGGACTGGTACATCAAGGGCGCCGCGTACGTACCCCTCTGTGTGTGCGGCCGAGACAGGCGCTGACTCTTGAGCGGGAACAGGCTGGGGCAGCCGGCGCCATATGACGCGCGGTACATCCTCCGACCGGAGACGGTCGAGTCGCTGTTCATCGCCTACCGGCTCACTGGCGATGCGAAGTACCGCCGGTACGGCTGGGACATCTTCCAGGCGATCGAGAAACACTGCAGGATCGAGACGGGCGGGTACGCGAGCGTCATCAACGTCGACGCGCTCCCGGTCGAGCACGAGGACAAGATGGAGACGTTCCTCATGGTGCGTGCTCTCCCTCCTTCCCGCCGCCTCCGACCCGTGCGGCGAGGGGCCACCGTGCGACGCGGGGCTCGTGCTGACGTTGACTGTGCCGCAGAGCGAGACGCTTAAGTACCTATACCTGCTGTTCGAGGACGACTCGGTGATCCCACTGTCTGGTGCGTCGTTCCTCCCATGCGTCGGCGCCTTTCCTGCATTGCTCATCCCGGAGTTTCAGAGTACGTGTTTAACACCGAGGTGCGCGTTCTCGTCTTCGTTGGCCTGAGATGCTGCCACGTCGCTCACCCGGAACATCACAGGCGCACCCCGTGCCGATCATCAACCCGCACCGGAGGGCGAGCTTCTCATGAGTCCGGGAATACCGCGCGCGGCGCTGCTTGCTGCGAACGCGTTCGTCGTGCATATCGTAATGCTATCGAGTTCCATGCATGTATATACATATATTTGTTCCATTCCGTTGTCTTCCCCGCGGGAAGGCAGCATACAAGCGTACATGGAATTATCTCGCTAAGGGTACATGGTCGCATGGTGAGGTGCTACTTAGTAGGACCGAAGTGAGTTGGGTGAGTAACGAGTGTAAGCCAGGCCGGTCAAGGAACGTTATAGTAGCAAGGTGGCAGCTCCGAAAGCGGATAGTAGTAGTACAAGCATCTACAGATGAAGTCGGTTATGTTATGTACGTGCGTGGATATCACGGTAATGGTACGATGAGGTGGGACGGGTCGGGTTATATGCGCAGCTTCTGTCCGAAGCAATCCTGATAAGTTACAAGGCGAGGTGGAGGCACGGAAGGGGAGGTATCATCCGGACTGCGCAGCGTCATCGACAGCGTCCGCTCGGGGGCCGAGACCGCCCTCCACGCGGGGTCTCCGGTGAGTGTCCGCATCCAAGTCCGCTCCAATCGAGTCCGGGTCTAGTAGTAGTACAGCATCTCAAGCCGCTTCAGGCCGCGTTGGCGACGACGGTGGCGTACGACGGCGGGAGGACGCGCTTCTCGTCGAGCTCGTCGGCGGAGATGTGCTCCCACGGCTCGTCGAGCTCGGCGTCGGCCGCGAGGTGGTCGTCGAGAGCGATGACGACCGGCATGCCGGGGACGAGCTCGAATTCGCCCGCTGTACGGGAAGAGGCAGGCGCGTCAGCTCTTATCTCGACCGCCGGCGAGATAGCGAGACGGCCATCGCCAAGGGGAAGGGAGGAATGGAGACTGACGAGACACTCACCCTTCGTCTTCCGCGCCTTTGCAGGCTTCACCGGGAACGCCCCCAGCCGGAGCTGTTCCGCCGCTGGCGCCACCCGCCCGCTGCGCGCCTGCGCCTCGCGCTCGACGACGTCCGCGACGATGTCCTCAACGGGGCTCCGGCACGCCGCGTCCTGGGCCGCGTGCGTGTGTGCGTGCTTGCGTGCGCGCGCCGCGTCCTTGCCCCCAGATACCTCGCGGCAGTGTTCGCAGGGAGCGACGTGCCCCTCCGAACGCTCGAGCTCGTGGCGGGCGCGGGCCTTGCGCTGGTGCGTGCGGTGCCGCTCGCGCTCGAACGCGCGCTGGGCCTTGAGCGCGACGCTCGCGTTCTCTGGCGTGACACCGTCGGCGGGCACAGAGTCGGGTTCGGCGGGTGCGGGGAGGGCGGCGGTCTGCGAGAGTGACAGAGGTGTGGTGGGAGCTTCAGGAGCGGGCGTGGGCTCTGAGGAGGTGGGCACGGGGGTTGTGAGGATGGTCGGGCGCGCGGCGCGGCGGAAGCGGAGGGAGGAGGGGGTCGTGAACACGGGCATGACGATTAGATGACGAGAGTAAGGTATCGATGTGGATGGGTATGAGTACAATGCGAAGGTCCTGGACAGAGCAGGTGCAGATGGGTTGGGTAGAGGTGGTGGTGGTGGTGGTGGTGGTTGAGGAGCAAGGGGAGGTCCTTAGTCGAGCGGGGAAGATAAGGGAGCGGAGGAGGCGTTCCGGCGGCGGAGGCAACCATCTTGTCTGGGTGAGCAGGATCACCGCCTCCCTGTGTGGGTGGAGCGCGCTGGGGGCAGGACAGGCGTCCGAGGTGGAACCGGGACTTGCTATGTCGTTCCTGGCCCCCACCCGCACCGAAGCGTGAGCACGTTCGCCCAAGTGGCAATGGACGCGCATTGAACGCGGAGGGTATAACCCCGTATGACGCACCCTGCCGTATCTGGCGACCCATGTGCGCCCGCCGTCGGCGGCGGCGGACGCCCAGTATGGGTTGGTGTGCTCTCGCGCCAGGAACCTGCGCCGCCCGATTGGCTCTCTCGGGATGGCTGCCTCCCGCATGCTCTCTGTCGTCGCCAATGTAGCGAGTCTTGTGGCGGCGTGTGGGACGCCTCTGCGGAGACTGCGGAGTTACAAGTAAGCACGGTGCTGCATCTAGGTCTTATCTCGACATGAGACTTGACTCACTACTCGTCTTGACCCGTAGTCCACAATCGAACGATCGACTCTAGACTGGAACAGAGCGTACTTGGTCCCTTCAAAATGTCGGGTCGGCGGAATAGCTGTCGCTCCCGAGTCCCGACGCGCCTGAGTACATCCGACCAGCCTTCGAAGCTTTCCACCCATGGAAACGAAACCGCGAATATTCTATGATGGGCCATGATTCATGGTGTTCAATGCTAGGTGAGGAATTTCGCATGGACCGACATCGTTGACCGTTCAACAGGCCTGCGCGTTTCTTGGCGGTAGTGTATCCGTCCTTGGACCTCACAACGAATACCCAGAGCGAAGCACTTCCCGGTAAGCAGGATCAGACGAGAGTTCCCAAAGAATGAGAACAACTCAAGGACGCTTCCTCCATCCGAGTCGTTGCAGGTTGCTCAAGTGAGGTCACCAACGCACCATTGATGCATGATCCTCCGGTATTCGGCATTCTGCGCAGCCCTCTCCTAGGCCGATGCATGCAATAGGATGCGGGGTGCTCATACGAGACCGGCGGCGGCAGACCCAGCGCAGGAAGAAGATGGGTCGAGAGAAAGCGAGGCAAGCCGGACGTGGGCCGACGGACGACGGGCAACGGCTGGCGCGGCCTCGATTTCGCGATCCGGATCGGTCAAGATAAGCGCCCAATCTAGCCTGAGCCATCGTGGGAAGGAGGCCCAGTAGAAGAACGCGCGCGGCCGCGACTCGCCTCATCCTCCTCTCCTCTCTACCATCGATATGTCCATTACCAAGGTCCACGCCCGCCAGGTACGCCTCGCATCTCTCTATGCGTGCGGTATGCCCTCGATAACACCTGGATGCCTCTTAGATCTTCGACTCTCGCGGCAACCCGACTGTCGAGGTCGACCTCTACACCGCGAAAGGTACGCGCATTTCGCTTCAGGTCTTTTTGCGTGGCCTGGGCCGCGAGCGGAGGCTTTCGTCGCGCGCGCGCGCGCGCGCATACAGTCGCATCGCCCAAAACGCATCGACCGCGCTATTGCCGAGCACTCGTCCCCCCTCCGTCTACGTCCCTCGCGCATAGATCAGTGGAACTAATGCGCTTGTAGGTCGTTTCCGCGCGGCGGTCCCCTCTGGTGCCTCCACTGGTATCCACGAGGCCGTCGAGCTTCGTGACGGCGACAAGGGCGCCTACGTCGGCAAGGGTGAGTATCTTCTATCACTGCGCCGTTTCCCTTGGCGTTCACCTCCACGATGCACAGGTGTCCTCAAGGCCGTTGCCAACGTCAACGACACCATCGCCCCCGAACTCCTCAAGTCTGGGCTCGCCGTGACTGCGCAGAAGGAGATTGACGACTTCCTCATCAAGCTCGATGGTACCGCCAACAAGGGCAAACTCGGTGCCAACGCCATCCTCGGTGTCTCCATCGCCGTCGCTGAGGCTGGTGCCGCGGAGAAGGGTGTTCCCCTCTACCAGCACCTCGCTGACCTCGCTGGTGTCAAGCCCCCCTTCACCCTGCCCTGCCCTGCTTTCAACGTCATCAACGGTGGCTCGCACGCTGGTAACAAGCTCGCGTTCCAGGAGTTCATGCTCCTCCCCACCGGTGCGACCACCTTCACTGAGGCCATGAAGATCGGTTCGGAGACCTACCACACGCTGAAGAAGGTCATCAGTGCAAAATACGGTATTGATGGTACGTATGACATCATAGATGATCGGAGGCGCCCGCTGATGAAGTGCACAGCCGTCAACGTCGGTGACGAGGGTGGCTTCGCCCCTAACGTCTCTGGCGCCGAGGAATCGCTTGAGCTCCTCTCTGAGGCCATCAAGAAGGCCGGTTACGAGGGCAAGATCAAGATTGCCCTCGATGTCGCCTCTTCCGAGTTCTACAAGGAGGGCAAGTATGACCTCGACTTCAAGAACCCCAACTCGGACCCGACCAAGTGGATCTCTGGTGTCGAGCTCGCGGATCTGTACCTCGGCTATATCAAGAAGTACCCGATCGTCTCGATCGAGGACCCCTTCGACCAGGACGACTGGGAGGCTTGGACCCACTTCACCAAGCAGAGCGGCATCCAGATCGTTGGTGATGACCTGACGGTTACGAACCCTCTCCGTATCAAGACCGCGATCGAGAAGAAGGCTTGCAACGGTCTCCTCCTCAAGGTCAACCAGATTGGCACGATCTCGGAGTCTATCCAGGCGTGAGTTGGCACACCTGCTACGATTTGCGTTGTGACTGACGTCAGAGTGTGTGCAGTGCTCAGCTCGCGCAGTCGGATGGCTGGGGTGTTATGGTCTCCCACCGCAGCGGTGAGACCGAGAACACGGTCATTGCTGACCTCGTCGTCGCCCTCGGCGTCGGCCAGATCAAGACCGGTGCGCCCGCGCGCTCGGAGCGTGTCGCAAAGTACAACGCTCTCCTCCGCATCGAGTACGTTTATTTCTGCCAACATCCCTTGGAGCGTTCTGTTGATCGAGGCTGCTGGACAGGGAGGAGCTTGGCAACGGTGTCTACGCTGGCGACAAGGGTCTCTCTGCGGGTCCTGAGGCGCCTGCGCTGCTCAAGAAGTAAAATGACCTGTACAGTTGTGGTGTATGCTGGAGAAGTCATCGTGCTTAGAATGTATCACTTCGCAATGTCCATTGTCCATCGCAGTTCTGGTTCTCCGTCGCGTCGCGTAGGTCCCGTGACCGCGTCCTGAATGAGGCAATACTAATGGGAGCGCTAAGCGCCCGGGTGTTGGGGATCTCGCCAGGACATCTCGCCTGCATACATCCCGCCACCCTCTTCCTGCCACGCCTGCTGCGCCCCTCCACCTCTCTGCTCCCCTCTGTGAGGCTGCACCAACGATGTGAGCCAGTCTCGGCCAGTCGCACTCGATGCAGCCTGACCCTTGAGCTGCCCAGGGATCCGAGCGTGCTCGTCGCCGCCGGCCCCAGCAACATCCCCCGCCCGGCCATTACCTTGTCGTCGGTCTCCCCTGCACAAAGCGGCGACCCCTCTAAATACAAGTCCGTAAGATACCCCAGGAAGAATAACCGTCCGAAACGCAAGCGCATTGCGAGCGGGACGAATGCGAACGACGACACCAAAACCGGTGCTAATGGAGACGCGGCCACGGATGCGGTCACGGCGAGTGTGAGGGAGGAGGACGACGACGACGATGGCGACGAGGTGTATAGCGTTCCGTGGCTTGACGGTCTGCAGAATCCGTACGAGTCTGTGGAACAGAGGTGCGTATGCTTCATCGTGGTTGCTCCATCATCCCCTCACTTCCCCGTTCACAAGGCTGCACGACGAACTCGCGGCCTTCTTCAAGTATATGACACCCACGCCCGACGAGCGGCATGCACGCGCAGTAGTCATCGCCCAAGTCTCCGACGTTGTCCGCGGCCGGTTCCCCATGGGCACTGTCGACACCTTTGGGAGCGTCGCCCAGGACCTCTATCTTCCTGATGCGTGAGTGTCCTTGTGCTTTCCCTTGGTCCCCCTAGTGACCCCTCCACCCTTATTTCCGCTCCTCGAACGTATTGTTACCCTCACGTGGCGTTTGGCTTCCTGACGGATCACATCACTGACCGCTTCTCTGCTTCTCGCATGCTGCTCCGGCCTGCAGCGACACCGACCTGGTGATCACGACCCCGCTCGGGAACGATGAGGACGGCCGGAAGCGCGCGCTGTTCCAGCTCGCGGCGCTCATGCGTCGCACCCAAATCACGGACACCTTTGTCCAGGTCATCCACCGCGCGCGCGTGCCCGTCATCTCCTTCCAGACCGCGCCCGACCTCGGTGGGTCTCCTCCCTTCTCGCGACGCAGCGCGGCCTGTGACTGACGCCCATCGTACCCAGGTTCGCTCAAGATCGACATCAGCCTGAACGCCACAGACGGGATCAAGGCCGTGCCCGTGCTTCGTGCGCACTTGGACGCGCACCCCGCGCTCCGCTTCCTCATCCTGACCCTCAAAGCGCTCCTCTCCCGGCACTCGCTCAACTCGGCGAGCAGCTCAGGTTTGAGCTCGTACGGGCTTTTCTGTCTCGCGATCCACTTCCTCCGCCTCAACCCGGGCAAACGCCCCCCGGAAGCGTTCGCGAAGCCGCTCGAGAGCCGGGCGCTCGGCGGGCTCTTCCTCGACTTCCTGCGCTACTACGCGGAGGAGTTCGAGTACGAGACGAGCGTCGTCAGCGTCCGCGAGGGGAAGCTCCTAACGAAGGAGGGGAAGGGATGGCTGAGCAAGAGGGATCCGCACATGCTCGCGATCGAGTGCATGCTGAACCCTGGTGAGCGCTGTCGTTTCGCGCGCGCCGGTGAGCTTTTGGGGCTGAGCGAAGTGCGCACAGACAACGACATCGGGCGCCCGACGAGCAAGATTCGGCGCATCCGCGCGCTGTTCGCGAGGTCGTACAAGAGGCTCAGCACGTACGCGCTGTCCCCGGACGGGACTGCACCTCCCAACATCCTCGGGACCATCCTCGGCGTCTCGGCCTCGGTCCGTCCCCCTTTCTCTCGACTTGCTCAAGTTCTTGCGCGCTGACCGCATATATCCCGCGTTTCCACAGACCCTGCAACACGCGCGCTCCTGAAGGACGTCGTCTCCTCCGGCCGGCTTTCGCGCAAGCTCAAGGACGTCCAGCTCTCACAGCAGCAGATCGCGGTGCAGCGCTCGATGCACAATGGCGCCGGCCTCCCGCCTCCCCCGCCGCGCATGCAACAGTACGACGACCGCCGCGGTGAACCGCCGCGCTATGACCGGCGGGACCCGCCGTACGACGGCGAGAGCCTCCGCGTCGCGAGCGCCGGGAACCGGATCGTCGAGAGCCTGACCGGCGGGAGCCCGACCGCGCAAGGCCCCCACAAGACCGTCGAGAACCGGACCGTCGACGAGACGAGCCGCGGAGGGAAGAGGCGCGGCCACCCCGCCGCCCGCCGTTACCCACTCCCTTGAGGCCGGTGGGGGTACGTAGCGCAGGGGCCGAGTTTCGGGCGATGAGGGCGCGGCCGTGCAGTCGAACGGGACAGCGGGAACCACAGCGACCAGTCGTCCACCACGGATCATCCGCCCAGGCAGCGCAGGAAGGTCTAATCAGGTACCGAGTCGCAAGATAGGAATCTGAGGTACACATCTATGCCCTCCATCTCGTTTTCTCGTCTTGTTTTGTTGCTATCGTTGAACGCTCCGTTACGCATACCCAAACATAAAGCCGACATAAACTGACCCGTTACCTACTCCAGATCTGTACTGTAGAGGGCCGGAAGTGTCTCGCATGACTGTACGTGTAAGCATCCGTCAGTAGCTACGTGGTCGTACGCCCCCTCCTGTCTCGTCTTGTTGGTTATTCCTGGTCGTATTTATACCCTATCGTACATTATGAACACCGTCAATCCACATCTTACCTCCCAACGTGAGCTTCACGTCCTTGATCCTACCCTGGAAGCCCCCGCCACCGATCACTGCGCTCGGCGCCGCGAACGACATGTTGCCCAGCGCCATGTACTCCCCCCAGATTCCATGAGCGTGTACCAGCACCGCTCCCCTCGTCGTCCACCACCGCGCACGTCCGCTCGCGCGTCGCCCGCACCGTACCGCCGTCCACCGCCCCGGCACGAGCACCCGCCCGAGCGCGTACAGCTGCCCCGTCGCCTCGAACGTCAGGTTCGCCGCATGCAGCTTCGAGTCCTCCCCGCGAACAGCGTCCCGGGGCCCGTCGCGCCCGCCTCCGAGTCGGCGCGCACGCCGAAGGCGAGCGTGTACGGGGGCCCGACGGACGGCACGCCCATCCTGAGTCCGCCGGCCGGGACCTCCCCCGCGTGCTCGAACACGACGTTCGCGTGCGCTGGGGCGACGACCCGGTTGAGGTTCTGCCCCGGGGCGGCGGCGTTCAGCGGCGGGTACGCGGCGGCGAACTGCGCGCGGTCGAGCGCCGACGCCCGCACGCCCGCGCCGGCCCACGCTTTCTCGGCGAAGAGCGCGGTCGAGCGCGAGAGCTGGTAATACGCCTCGAGCGCGGTGCTCGCGTTGTTGCCCCAGTCGCTCCAGAGCGCGAAGATCGAGCCTCGGAGCCCGGGGGCGTCCGGCGCGGTGTTGTTGGACGGGTCCGTGAGCGAAAATATGTTGGGGCCCAGCCGGAGGTCCACAGCAGGTCTTCGTCGAGCGTCTGCGGGAACTGGCCGCTATCGGACGTCTTGCCGTCGAGATAGAGGAAGGCCTGCTCGGAGTTGATGACGCGGTATCCGGCGGCGAGGAGTTGGACGGGAATGGAGTCCCCGGGGAAGTCCCAGTGCTGGATGGTTACGTCGCGGAGACGGCGCGCGTCGTGCTCGGCTCGTACGTGCCCCAAACCCGGATCGACTTGTTCGAGCTGGAAGGATATGGTCGGCCATGTCGTTCACGAACGCGATGTAGTCATTCGCGAGCGCGGCGTCGTACTCGTCGCGCCTATCGAACTTCGGGCGCGGTGAACCACGGGAGAAACTCGTCCCAGATCGCTTTGACGGTGGGGATGGTGTCGGGGTGGGAGAGGTTGAGGTGGTCGGGTGCGCCGTCTTCCATGAGCTCCGGCTCCACTGGTTGATCGCGAGGGAGTGCCCGGGCGTATCGATCTCGGGGATGACGGCGACGCCGTACGCGGCGCAGGTCGCCTGCATGGCGCGGAAGTCGGCTTCCGACCAGCTCTCATTCTTGCGTGGCACGAGCCGACGATGGGAGAGTCGGGCGGGGGCTGGAAGCGCACAGCGGCGTAGAGGTGCTCCACCTTCGTTGCCTGCGCCGTAGAGGAAGTCGGGTTCCATAGGTTGTCGGAAGCGTGAAGGTGAAGCTCGTTGATTTTGAAGAACGACGCATATATGCAGAGGTCGGCTGTGGGATTGATGCATGTTAGTCGTAGTCGTACAACATATACAGCAGATATACCTAGGAAGGACGTCTCAAACCAGTGTCTTCCAGCGTCGAGCATGAAGCCTCGGACTTCCCATCCCGGAGAGTCGGATCCTTTTCCTGCAGGAAACGACACCATCTTGCTACCTTGGGCTAGTTGCAGCGCTGCTTGCTGGAGTAGGGTGCGTGTACCCCACCACACTCCGATCGGGGCGGAGGCTCTGATAGTGTATACGTTGGTGTCGATCTCGAAGTTGTACCCCTCGTTCGTTGGTTCTCCGTTGTAGAGGCTGAACGACAGCGAAGGGTCGACACTCAGATAGATAGTCGGGACCGAATGCGTTGTGGGTGGCTTCTTAGAAGTCCGCACGGGTGCACCGACCACATAATGCGCTGCCTCCTTGAGGTCTTGTTGAAATGTTTGTGCGAAGTCGAGGAGTGACGGAGAACCAAGGTCCGCAGATTCGCTATCCACAACGACCTGGACGAGGGGCGACAGTTTGAATTCGCCTTGCACCTCGGAAAACGACGCAATTGATGGGATTTGCGGCTGTAGTATGGCTCCATACACTACAGCCAGCAAACTTAGGCTGCAGAAGGCGTAGGCTCTGTACCATGACGAAAGCATCCGTCACCTGAACGCGAGCTATCAGCAAGATCCAGCAGGCATCTTCGAGGCTCACCTTTTGGATGACGTTGAACGGCGGGAGGGCCCATGGCTGAGATGTTGGCGACCGTCTTTATGGCGAACGGCAGGGCGGGTGAACACTGAAGCTTGAAGGCAGGGAAGAGAGCTTCCGAGGCCACGTGGTCGTTTCAATCGAAGCCCATATAAACGTCGATAAGGACGGGCGTCACTCGGAATTCGGAAGAGCACGTTTCAACTGTTTCAGCAACTTCCTAAGTACTCAGTGGACGGTGGACCCGATATGACGTTCACGCAGAGGCACCCAATGCTGATGTACGCAGGGTACAAGTACACTCGTCTCGCTTGGAGCGTGCTAGCCGCATACATGTTGCATACGTCGCCATACAAAGGTAGGACCCACATGAGATTTGGACATACACTGACGGGTAACGAGCTGGCTCGTCTACTCCTCGTCCTCCTCCTCGCCACCCTCCTCCTTCTTGGCGGCTGCGGCCATCCGCTTGCGCTTGACGCGACCGGGGCGGCCTCCACCGTAGGGCGAGGTGAGCGCGAAGTCGATGTGCTTTTGGGAGTCGAGACGAACGACGAAGGAAGGAACGTTGACAATCTGCTTGCCAACGCTGCATCCACCAGCGCATAAGAATCGCACATGAAGTACGAAACGGAAGCAGCACGCACCGGATATGTCTCTGGCGAATGAGGACACGAGCGTGGTGGATGGACTTGGCAAGGCCGCTCTTGAAGACCTGAGTCTGGAGACGACGCTCCAAGAAGTCCTCGATCTTGAGGGACAGTACGTAATCGAGACGCATACGCGACTCGTCGAGTACACCAATGCGGACCAGACGACGGATCAAGGCGTTACCCTCGAACAGACGCTTCGGGTCTTTGTCGTCGAGCTTGAGCAGCTCACGAGCAGCACGACGAATCTTGGAGAGGACGAGACCAATGCGCCAGATCTCGCGCTTGTTGCGCAGACCGTACTCGCCGGCGAGCTGGGAAGGCAAAGCATGTTTGCTCCATGCTACAGAGCTCGAGCGAAGAAGACAACACTCACCTTCAGCTCCGCATCGAGACGAGCCGCGGTGAAGGGGCGACGGGGACCTTGTAACTGCGAAGTCATCGTCGAAACGATAATGGGGCACGGCTGTGATCAGCACGGTGCATCCCTCCACGCGAAGTGGATCTTGAAGAAACAGAAAGCTCACGTCTTGCTGTGTTCCGCGGTGCCCTGGAAGACAACGGTCAACGCGGTGTCAATCGGTCACAGAATATCGAGCACATTACCTGGGCATTTTTCTTGAGGATGGCGGGGGATACGATGGACGCCTGGCGCCTGTCTTGTGGTCCTGGGTACGTCCCACGGCCACACAAGGCTCGGGCGCTCAGCCACAACTGTACAGTACATGCAGCCACCCGGCGTCTGCCGCCCTCCACCGAGATTCTGGCAGTGGGCATAGTGCGACAACACCAGCAACGCCGACGACGTTAGTGCCTCCTACTCGCTGTGCTCCACCCCCTCAGACTCACTGTCTTTCAGTCCTCAAGATGCCGCACTCCTTCGGTTACCGCGCGCGTACGCGCGACATGTTCAAGCGGGGCTTCAAGGGTGCGGACCTTTGATCTTACCCAAAATCTCTCCCGCTCATGGCACCCTCAGAGCACGGCCCCATCAAGCTGTCCACCTACCTCATCAACTACCGCATTGGCGACATCGTCGATATCAAGGCGAATGCTGCGCAGCAAAAGGGTATGCCCCACAAGTACTACCACGGGTGAGTATCCTGGTGTGTTTTTGATCCCGTTACTTACAGATGTCTTTGTAGCCGGACTGGTATTGTTTACAACGTCACCCCCTCTGCCGTCGGCATCATCGTCTACAAGGTCGTTGGCAACCGCTACATGGAGAAGCGCGTCAACATCCGTGTGGAGCACATCCGGCACTCGAAGTGCAGGCAGGAGTTCCTTGACCGTGTCAAGAGCAACCACGAGGCGCACGCTGCGGCGAAGGCGAAGGGCGGTGAGTCCCATATCTTCCTAAGCACAATTTCTCTCCTCATGCGTCCTGCGTTTCAAGAGCGCGTCACCTTGAAGCGTCAACCCGTCCTCCCCCGCGGTGCAGTAACAATCTCTACGAAGGACAATGCGCCCCAGACGATGACGCCTGTACGCTACGAGACGACCATCTAAAACGCATCGTACCTCCCTTCTTCCTGCCGTGTCTGTCATGAGGTTCATGCTGTCGTTGTCTATCATGTTCTATGTATGCCCATGCCACCATCTCGCATAACATGGAAACATTGTACTCTAATGCTGCTCACCTGCGCGAATGGCTCTGGAAATATGCGTCCGAACCCGAATCCAATCGCAATCCGACATATTCATATAGCTTAGCTTGTTCGTGACTTGAGCTATACAGTCGCGACCCTGAGTGCGGTCAATCGTGAGCGCGTCGGCGCAACTGGCGCTCATAGCCGACGCTAGATATCAAGACTTGGAAAGATTCAAGCACTCTCTATCTCTCTCTCTCTTCTTCCATGGCACTCACACTCTCGATCACCTATAAGCTCAACCCACCATCGGATATCTCCACCACCCTCGCTCCCACAAACGCGTTCCAGTACCCCTTGCCCGACGCGTCCAGTGACCAGAAAGCCTACTATGACGAACTCAGGGCCGCCGTATTGAAAGCAAAAAGCGCTCTAGGAGAAGACCTCACTGCGTGGAGAGACGCAGTGGGCAAGGAGGAGAACAAGGAGCCGAAAGGTTCCAAGAAAGCGGACGAAGAAGACCAGGATGAAGAGGACGAGGACGAGGAAGAAGCATAATGCAGTTTTGGTGAGGATCATTGTCAATCAGATCGTGCGCATCCTCTTTCAACCTTGGTCACAGACATGGACTCCCAGACAACACGCACAAGACAGCTCAAGAGGGGGATGCAGTACTGTAGAGATGCATTAGATGTATGAGGAGTGTACGATATACGGCATGCGCCCTCCCGCAGGATCGGCCTATGTCTTCATCAGCTTGCCCTCCTGCTCCCGACCACGAGGACGCTCGCGAACAACCATCTTGTTGCTGTTCTTCGGGCCCTTCGGCCCAGGTCTACGCGTGCGCACACCCTTCGCGATCCAGCCCCAGATGGAGCGTGGCTGCTTGTTACCCTTCGACTTTCCACGACCTCCTCCGTGAGGGTGATCGCACCTATATCGCCCGTAAATGCATGGTCAACAACTATTCGAGCGGTTGCTCACCTGTTCATCGCCATACCACGAACAGTAGGACGGATACCAAGCCAGCGAGCACGACCAGCCTTGCCCAGGTTCCGGTTCTTCCACAGCGGGTTGCTGACCTTGCCGATCGTCGCGACGCAGTCGAGCAGAATCTTGCGGATTTCGCCGCTCTGAAGACGAACGTGCGCGTAGCGGCCACCCTCCTCGTGCAGAACGAGCTGGCCCATTGTTCCAGCGGAACGCACGAGCCGGGCAGGGCCTTGAGGGTTGAGACCAATGTTGTGGATGACGGTGCCGGGGGTGATGAGGCGGAGGGGAACGACATTGCCGGGCTTGATGACGACGGAGCGGAGGAGACCCTGCGCGAGGGCCTTGGAGGACACCAACGACTTGTCCTGCGTGTTCACGCCCATGAGCTCCTTCAGGTCCATGCCAGGCACGATGCCGTCCGGAATCCCCGCCCTGAAGCTTTCCACAATGTCGCCAGCACGCAGGGTGTCGGGCGCGAGGATGTAGCTCCACACCTTCTCTCCGGGCAGGTCCGGGTTGCGGTTCTTGATGAGCGCGATGTGCGCCGAGCGGCCGGGGTCGTACTCGATGCGCACGACGTCGCACTTGCCGGGCTCGCTGCGCATGAAGTCGACCAGGCGGAGACGCTGCTTGTGCCCTCCGCCGCGATGACGCGTGGTGATGCGGCCGGTGTTGTTGCGCCCGCCCTTTTTGCGGAGCGGGACGGTGAGCTGGCGGAGGGGCCGGCCCTCGTAGAGGTGGGGGTAGATGGGCCGCTTGAGGTGACGGATACCTGGCGAAACGGGCTTGTACTTCTTGAAGGCGTTGGGGTCTCGCGAGAGGGCCGCGGAAATCTCTGAGGAGGCCTCTGACGCGTAGTGACGAGCGGAAGGGAGGGTACGAGGGAGGAGAGAGGACGCCGACTGGAGAGAAGACGACGCGCCGACGTTAAGGGAGGAGAAACACGACCGGAGGAGGCATCGTGCCGAAGAAAACATGGGGAGGTGCTCGTCGCCGCCGCCGTCGACGAAGGCTGGCCAGCGTGGGTGGAGAGCGCGCGGTCGAGTTGCGGTCGAAAAGGGAGCGACTGTTTGCCGCCCCAAACACCGCGCGTCTTCGTCCTCTTTCCCCCTCACCATGGTACGCGCTCGTGTATTCACGTCCTTTCACGCTCTAAAATCACTCACAACGCGCCGGGATATGGCAGGCCGCACAAATATCCACTGGCACCGCGGAATTGCGGGAAATCACGAAGATGGAGCGCATAGGTGAGTCCCAGCCACCGTCTCGCGTCTGGTACGACCCTAACCAACGAACGCGTAGGTGCGCATTCGCACATTCGCGGCCTCGGGCTGGATGACCGGCTTGAACCTCGAGACAACTCCCAGGGGCTTGTTGGGCAAGCCAAGGCGCGTAAAGCGGCAGGTATGATTTTGAAGATGGTTCAGGAAGGCCAGATCGCGGGGCGCGCCATGCTCTTTGCTGGACCGCCTTCTACTGGAAAAACCGCCATTGCGCTAGGTGGGTTGTATGTTTTCATAGCGAAAAGCTGTCTCTGATGACTACATGAGAAAAGGCATGGCGCAGACTCTCGGCACAGACGTCCCCTTCACCATGATCGCGGCGAGCGAGGTGTTTTCGTTGTCCATGTCCAAGACCGAAGCTCTCACTCAAGCATTTCGACGAAGCATCGGTGTGCGTATAAAAGAGGAGACGGAGATCATTGAAGGAGAGGTGGTCGAGATTCAAATTGACCGGAGTCTGACCGGGGTGCGTCTTAGAGTGCCTTCTACCTGCTTACACGCTCTACAACGCGCATACAGGCCACGAAGACGGGAAAACTTACCATCAAAACAACCGACATGGAGACCATCTACGACCTGGGGAACAAGATGATCGACGCCTTGTCCAAAGAGAAGGTCACGGCAGGCGACGTCATTGCAATAGACAAGACCTCTGGAAAAGTCACCAAGCTCGGCCGTTCCTTCGCACGTTCAAGAGATTACGACGCTATGGGAGCAGACGTTCGTCTCACTTCTAGCTTCTTTAGTTGAGTCTCGGCCCGTTGACGATATTGCGAACCAGACCAAATTCGTACAATGCCCGGAAGGCGAGATCCAAAAGCGCAAGGAAGTAGTACACACGGTGTCATTGCATGAGATCGATGTTATCAACAGCAGGACGCAAGGGTTCCTCGCCCTCTTTGCGGGGGATACCGGCGAGATCAAACCCGAACTCCGCAACCAGATCAATTCCAAGGTGGCTGAGTGGCGAGAAGAGGGCAAGGCTGAGATTATCACGGGCGTGAGTGTGGACCATCTTACTCCCTTTCCATTCCCCACTCATTGCCCCATTAGGTACTCTTTATCGACGAGGTGCACATGCTCGACATCGAGTGTTTCTCATTCTTGAATAGGGCGCTCGAGAACGAGCTCGCTCCTCTCGTCATCATGGCATCGAATCGCGGTGTCGCGAAGATTCGTGGGACGAACCTCCAAAGCCCTCATGGTCTGCCTCCGGACTTGCTCGACCGCGTGCTCATTGTGAGCACTCAGCCATATGCACAGAGGATATCACGCAAATCATCAAGATCCGGTATGTTTGTGAACGTTTCTCACCTCAGAGCTTCTCTCAAACGCTATGCGCACAGATGTGAAGAGGAAGACGTAACGCTGAGCGAGAATGCGCTGGAATCCTCACACGGCTGGCGGGACACAACATTGCGTTACGTGCTCAACTTGATTCTTGCGCGCAAATGCTCGCGATGAAACGCAAGTCGGAAACAGTGGAAGATGTCGACATTAGACGGGCGTACAATTACTTCTACGACGAGAAGCGTAGTCTGCAGTGGATGAAAGAGCAGGATAGCGGCTTGTGTCTGAAGAGGGCGTCGACTTGACTCTGGGCGGGACACCGTTTGGGAAAACGAAGACTGCCGAGGACGTCATGGACCAGAGTTGAGCGCCGAGCCTCGATTGCGGATGTGTTGTCGTATGTAGCATACTGGGTATGTCGCTCATTTTTCTCCTCAAGCATACCAGGGCTGAGGTTGTACAGATAGTATAATGTCATCACTGCTGTCTTGCTTTCGACCTATGCGACGGTGCACACGAGCTGTCACCTTGCGGACCGTGCCTGTTCGGGTGCATGCCGTCTTCCACGGCATGATTGGAAGCTCACGTCCATCTTGTGGCATGCGGCGTCCGCGAGTGCATCGTCCGGAGTTCCCCCACCCTGTGTACTGGTTCGAGTCCAGCTTCTGTTGAACTCTACGTTGAAAACCTTCCAATTATGCCTACGCTGCTCTCTGCCGAGCACTTTCTCCATCGTATCCCCGGTGCCGACGTTGTGATGCACTTACTGACTTCCGCTTGGCTTCCGTAGGTGCTACTGTCCATCATCGCTGTCGAGGATCCTCTGGGTGCGTCAAGTGGATAACTCGGCCTACCGGCGCGCGCTGCAGATTGTGTTCGAGGGTGAGGTACGCACGTCTCGATGTCTCGATGTCGCCCCTTCAGCGTCGGTCATCGTCCCGCGTCTGAATATCCGTCAGTGGGGCGCATACGCGAGCCGATGACCCCGATGGGGTACCACCGAGCGTTCCTGTCGGGTCTTTGTTGCGAGAGGGGAGTCCGAAAGCCGAAGGGTGCGTTCGCGGGAGAGCATCTACCATACCTCACATGCACGAAACAGACGCGGTGGCGGTCGTGGATCACGACGCGATCCTGAACGAGGTCTTTATACCCACACTCGCTGCAGCCAGGTCGTCATGCGGGACGGTCGCGCATGCCTAAACCCCCCAGACCATACGCGAGCCGGCGGCTCCAGAACCAGTGCCACCGGGATCTATACGTTCGTACGTCAGATGGCACGTCCGGTAGGGTGAATGGACCGAGTCATGGGGTTCGAGCCCGAGCCCGCATCCCTGGACATCACTGAATGCACTTCAACAGGTTTCTCCGCCCCGCCCAGAGAGAAGGTTAAACCCCGCGCACATAGCCCTCGCATCAGCCGTTCGGAGCCACAAGTGCGAGATCTCGACGAGATTATCCCAGACGTATTCTTGGCCTATCCGAACCTGTGTCGGCGGTGAGAGCCCTCTCTCCCCGGGCCGATATGCTATTCCCAGCCATCGCGACCCTCCAGCGCACGCGGTCACGCGTGCTTCCACCGTCTCGCCTGTCGCGACTGTATGTGCGCGCGCCCTGCCGCCGCCGAGGGTGCGCGGGCAGCCCGGGGCAGATGCGAGGAACCGGGCCGGGCACTGGGGGCGCGCAGGTCGTATATCAGCCTACAGTGCGCTGCACGGAGAGCAGCACCCCAGCCCAAATCACCCGAACCTCTACCTGCGTATTATCCGAAGCATTCACGGTGCGCCCGTCCCCCTTGTCCGCGACGTCGGCCCCGCGCTCATGTGGCCGTCCACAGATGTTCACCAAGGAGGCTTCGAGCATTGACAAGGACCAACTTCGGTCGTCGTTGAGGAGCAAGGTGTCCGCGTTTGGCGCGGCATTGAAGCCTGTGCGTTCCTGCCCCCGCTGTCGTCACCGGCAATCCGTCGCTCACATTCAGTCGTGACGCACGCAGAAGCGGCACGGCCAATACACCCCTGAGTTCGCCCTCTCGACGCCCCAGTCCGAGCGCAGCACATTGGTGAGGAGGATTGCCGCTACCCCGCACTTCGCAGCGTCTTACGTCTCGGTCGCGTGTGCAGGTCGACTTCATCGTCGAGGACGTCCTGATCAACGAAGAAGACGACTACGAATACGTATGTGTTATGTCGTCTCTCGGGGGATCCTGAGCTCAATAGCTTTGTCCGCAGAAGACCGAGGAGTATATGCTCGATGCGGACAACAGTGCATGGGGTACTGGAAAGTACACCATCGCTCGCGTCAGCAAAAAGTCAAAACGGGCCCCCTGCGAGGAATGCCTCGCTCCCCAGTCAGAGGTACACCTCCTCCTCATCGGCTTAGGACTTTCTTCCTTACGTGTGCTTCTCTCTAGACGCAGTTGCTCGTTGACGAGAACACTGCTTGGGGAGCAGCCGTCCCGCAAGTCTCAAACAAATTGCGTTTTCGTTTATTCTCCACCCGCAACTCCCAGGTGCAGCCAGCACCTGCAACATCCGGTGTAGAGGTGAGGCACCCGTCCTGAAGTGTTGTGAACCTCCGACTAACGACGTGTTCTCAGCCTGAATATCTTGACCCTGAGGACAGAGCGTGGATGTAAAAGCATGCTCCACTTCATTGACGGGACTTTACGTGCCCCCCCCCCCCCCCCCCCCCCCCCCCCCCCCCCCCCACTCCACTCATGACGGGACTTTACGTGGGAATCCCGGCAAGAGCTATCTATTGACGTTATCTATTGGGTTCATTCCGGCATAGTATACGAGATCGTCATGAATAATACACAGCATTGCATGATCACGACGGAGGCAGTGAGGTTATTATTGAGGTTGTAGCGGCTTCGACGCGAGTTTACCGTCGTGCAGCGAGTACCGTGCAGTTCCGTCAGCCATACTTCGCCCTTGCCATCTGCATGAACATATCCATGGTCGCCTTGTCCTTCTGGCGGATGGCATCGGTACGCTCTCGAGTGCTCGCCATCTTCTCTTCTCGTTTGTCTTCAAACCGTTTCCTCGCTGCGTCTCGACGTGCAATCCTACGATTGCCTTCAGCATTGCAGTCCATGCCCATCCGCACGACGAGAAAAACGATACTCACTGAGCCTGGAAACTGTCTCCGCCCCCCATCAGCGTGGAGTCGTCCACGGCGAGCCCATCATCGCCTTTCTCTCGGAACGCCTTGTCCGATTCCCTCTGCGCTTTCTTCTTCTCCAACATCCCAGCACGTCCCACCTCCTTCGGGCCCACCATGTCCTCGACCCGCTCTTTCGCCTCCTTGCGTTCCCGCTTGCGGTTGAAGTCGCGCTCCACTGCGTGCATCTCGTCGGCCTCCTCCCGGCAAACGTCCGGTCCGCCGCGCTGGGCATTGTCGGGCCCATGATGACGCGTCTGCTAGATCCCGAGCCTGAGGCTCCGAGGTGGAGGCCTTAGAGCGGTTCCACGTCACGCTGTCGATTTCTTCGCGTGCGGCGCGCAGGGCCTCGTTGTCTGCGCGCGACGTCTTGGATGCGAACGACCACTTGTACGCGGTTTGGGGCTCGCCGCTTGCGCTTTTTCGACCCCGCTGTATATGGACTCTGTGGGAGGCAGCCTGACGTCAGCGCCACTAGGTAGGTCGTGGGCTTGAGATCACGTACTGGAGAGCTTCCTCTGTTCCAAGCCTAACCAAATGGGTCAGCAACACAGTTTCACGAAGTCCAAAGGGTCCTGGCACCTTCACGAACTTGCGGAAGTATCTGGGTCGAGCATTAGTTGGAACCGTAGCGACACCACTCAAGATACTCACTTTCGTGCCCGGTCACTGGAGAGTTCGTCGAAGTACTTTGGAGCGTAGTATGTTTGGGTGTGAGTACCCATGGAAGCGGTGTACTGGTGCGTATATGCATACCTTGCCCTTCTCTTCCTTCAGCCACAAACGGAACTCGTCGCTCTTGAGGAAGTAGTCGGACTCGGAAATCTCGTCAACGCCATCCGGAAGCTGGACACGCCGCTCTGGCGACCTTGAGCGCGACCGGTCGGCAGGAGAGCCAGAGCGGTCTCTGGAATATGAGCGACGACGATGGGAGGGCATGGGGATTTGAGAGACAAGGGGCTCGTCATGCACATGACTCTCCGCCCATGGGACTTTCGCCGGGCCGGCGATGTCCGGAGTCATGTCGCGCACGTTTCAAGTTTTCAAGTTGCCAGCATCCGACCGGAGGCTCTCATCTCGTCTCTTCCCTCCACCTCCCACCTCAGCCATGCCGGTTTTTCTGCTCTAGCAACCAAGGGTCCATATCAGTACCCTTGGTTGCTTCCGCTGCCCCCTCATAGACGATAGAAACCATCCGCCATAGACGACTTCTTCAGGCTTTTCTTTGGGCATCACCTCCGGGACTAGAAGATACCATAGATCTACACGCAATCCGATACAACAACATGCCGCTTACACCGCCAACCTCGTCCCTCCCTCCCCTCAAGCAGCTCGCATCACTGTCATTAAAGCAAGTGGCCGGAGTCGTGGATAACCTGCGCTCCATTTACTGCCCTCCGGCGTTATCGGCCCTGCCCAAGCCCAAGGCCTTGCCCAAGCACCTCGTCCACGACATGTCCGTACCCGATCCGGGTACGCCTCCGCGGAGAACTCGGACGGCGAAGACGACGACGAAGACGCACCCTTCGACGTGGATGTCCTCCGTGCCGATTCCTTCGAACGGGAGTTCGCGATCCGCTGGCTCACCAGCTTTGCCGCCCGCTCCGACATGTGGGCTTACGCGCCCGAATGCTCTGAGGCGGAGTCGGAGGCGCGTGCGGCCGTCGTCGACGCCGCGACCTCCATCCTCTCGTCCTTCGCCGGAGATGACGAAGAAGAGGAGCTCACACGGACGTTCACGTTCCCCACCCGCCACGTGCACCGCAACTCTGCCTCCGAGGTGGCCATCCACATCGAGCTGAATGATGCCCCGCTCCTCAGCGACGACCATACCTCGGTCGGCCTTCAGAGCTGGGGCAGCTCTATTCGCCTCGCGGAGCGCATGGCGCTGGACCCCGTCGTGTATGGCCTTGCGCCCGACGGGCCTCTACGGCTATTAGAACTCGGTGCGGGAACCGGCCTGCTCAGCATCGCGGCGGCGAAGCTTCTCCATCTGTCAGACACGCCCTCCACCATCGTCGCGACAGACTACCACCCATCGGTGCTCGATAACCTTCGCCGGAACGTCGCCACCAACTTCCCCTCCTCCACAGCCTGTCCGATGGAGGTCCGCCTCCTCGACTGGCAGCACCCCGCGTACACGGCTCCCTCAACTCTCCCTTCGACGTCATTCTCGCCGCAGACGTCATCTACCATCCGGATCACGCCCTATGGATCAAGATGTGCGTCGAGCGGCTCTTACGACGTCCGACTGAGGCGCAGCCCGAAGGCGGGATGTTCTGGCTCATCGTACCCCTTCGACCGACGGGGAGACATGAAGGCATGAGCAATACCGTCGACGCTGTCTTTGCGCATACGCCGGACGCGAAGGGTGGAGACTCGGTACTGGCGATCTTATCAATTGAGGAGATGCGGAAGCAGGATGGCATAGGGAGGGCGGACGAGGGCGGATACAAGCTTTACAGGATTGGCTGGTTGTAATCGCTGTGTATGTTCACTAATCTCTCGAATCACGGGCCTCAGGCATGATTTTGACGGCCATCATCCCTACAGTGTGATACGAAGCGCACGCATACTTCAACCCCTATAGGCGATATACAAAGACCTTTACCATACCGATCGCCTACCACTATGCTCACCAAGCAACCATCCCAAACCCAGCTACGAAAGCCGCTATTGTCGCGGCCACGACGCCCACAACCGTGCGCCCAGACCCGCTCGTCTTACTCGACGACGCCCCGGTTCCGTCGGGCGAAGCGTTGGCGGTGTTCTGACCCGTCATGAAGAACGTGCCCGCCACTGGCGCTCCGAGCCCGAGCGTGTGCGCAAAGTTGCGCGTGTTGAACCCCGTGACGGGCGTCGACGCGTTGACGAGCGCGCCGACCTGCGACGCGAACGACGCGGGCTCCTGGAACAGCAGTATGGTGTACCTGTGGGTGGGAGCACGGGGGTCAGGACACCGATCTTCGCACCGACACCCAGCGCCGAGCGCCGAGGCCTGAGGCCTGAGGGCTCACCGGTGGGCATTCCCGGCCGGGGGTGCAGGCCCAAAGTACTCCGAGATCGCCTTGGAGGTGTTCGTGAGGAGCGAGCCGGCGGTGGACGCGAGCGCCTTGGTGTCGCTGCTGAGCTGCACCTGGGCGATCATATGCCGGACCTGGGCGAGCGACTTGTTTTGCGGCGTCGGGGCGTCGGGGTCGAACATGACGAGCACGAAGCTCTGGCCGGCTAGGTTGGTCTGTGAGGACGTCACCGCGTATTGCGGACGCACGGCCGTCTCTGGGGTGCGTTCAACGATGGTGAGCTTCGGCGCGCTCCGAAAGGCGGTGTGGCTTACGGTTCACGGAAATGGCCTTGCCTGGGGTGATTGAGATCGATTTTTTTGTGGCTGGGTCAATGTAGGCGACGTTGAGGAGAGCCTTGGGCGTGAAGTCCGGGATTTCTGCAAGATGACGATGGTGGCTCAGTGTCGGGAACAGTCGCGGAAACTTCATGGGACACTGACCATCAGGGATGATGTTCGCTTGCTTGAACGCTTTCTCGACGTCGGAGGTCGTCAAGCCCGCACAGACGGGTGAGACGAGCCAGATGGCGGCAGCAGCAGCAATAATGTGGGCGCGCATCTCGGGCGTTTCGGAAGATGGTTTAATGGAAAAGCGCTAGCGAGTTCCGAAGAAAGAAGAAGGGGTCTCTCAAAGACCGGGCGAAAGAAAGCGAGTGGGTGTTTCCATCGCTGGCAACGCTGGAACTTATATCAGGTTGTAGCGCATGGCGACCTATGCCGGGCGGTGCCTTGGCAATAAGAGGCGCCCACGATTCTATGAAGTCCCAAGAAGCCGACATAGCCAAGGCGGACACCGCCTCGACGATGGGCCCACGCTTACATAACGCCATCCGCATCTGAGGTTTACCGCCTGCGCATGTCCGTTGGTTCCGCTCGTGCATAAACTGGTGATGTATGCTTTCCAGTCGCGACCAAGTAAGAAAGTAGTGGTACATAGCCCTATGCAAGACTTTGAAATATCATAAACATATGTGAGAGCGGAGAACCTAGACCGACCAATTTTTCATGTCCAGGTTCAGCATCGCTGTTTCAAGCCGCATAAAACATATGCGACGTCCATGAGGTCGGAGTTTTCCATGACTTCAACTGGTCCCAGTTGCCTCAACTCCTTGGGCGTGATGATCGGCGACTCGCCGTCTTTCTCGAGCTCGAGGTCCAACTCGTCCATGGATAGGTCGCCCATCCCGAAGTTGCTCGAAGGCGTCACGGGCGGCTCCGTCAAGCCTTCTGTGTCTGTGTCGCCATCTGATTCGGCACCCGGCACGGCCCGCTCGTCGTCTTCTTCGTCCTCCCGCGCCTCCACCACCGTCGTCTGCACCGCCTGTTTCTCCCTCCGCGCTCCCTCCTTGTTCTTCTCCTTCTCTCGCCGACGTCGATGGCCCCGCGGCCGGTCTCTGCGCACCCTCACCCGACCCAGCCCCTCGCCGCCCAGCATCTCCCGCGCACACGCGTACTCTAGCGTGATGCGCCTCCCGAACGGCACGGACCCTCCCTCCCTCCGCTCGTCCGCCTCGGGCGGGCTCGACGGCATGTTCTCCCACAGGGCGCGCACGCCCGCTCGGCGCAGCTTCTCCGGCGTCTTCGGGCCCGCGGGGGACGACGACGGTGCGTGCGAGCCTAGCGACGGGGCAGTCTCTTGCGGCGGGTGCACGGGGCTCACGGTGTGCTGGGGGAGGCGCAGGGCGAGAGAGGGGCGAGGGCGGGGCGTTCCGCGCGGGCGGCGATGTTGTCGAGGGATAGGTGCCGCGCGGGGCGCTGGCGGCTGAGCTTCGGCGGCGGCGCGTCGCCCTCGCCCCGGGGTCGCGCTCACGCTTGCGGCAGAAGGGGTCGTCGTGGGGGAGGGAGCGCGGGAACGTGCGGGCGCGACGGATGGTGTGATCGTGTTCCCCGGCGCGTCGGAGAACGGCGAGGAGGGCGGGAGCGAGGGCGGCGGGGGTGAGGAGCTGGGGAGTGCGGGCTCGGAGTTCTGGCGGTGGATGCGGCGGTCGGTTTGGCGTTTGTTCTGGAACCATACGGTGACGGAACGAATGTCACTGCAGAGTGCGTTAGCAGAGATTTCGTGTGCGCGCAGCACTGACGGACTCGCGCGCCTGGAGCTTGGGCCTCACACTCACATGTCTGCTTCCTTCGCGGCTCCTCGCGCTGCTCGCGGGTGGGATGTGTCGCTTTGTGGTATAGATGTTCCAATACTATGAGCTGCATGCTCGTAAACCGCTTTCGTGTTCGACGCGGCACCCCGTCGACGGGAGTGCGTTCGACAACGGTTGGACTGGGGCGCAACGGGGCGGGGGCGGCGGTGCATTCTACGCTTGACGATGAGGACAGCTGGAGGAGTATGGGGGGTGTCGCGGGGACCATCCGGGGGAGGGGTGCGTGCGCGGAAGGGGGACGGCGCGTTTCGCGCGCGTCGGATATTTATGCTGGGAGTTGATCAACGCAGCCGAGTACACAACGCGCGCGCGTCACCTGATCGCGACTCGACGCGTCGGCACGTGACTCAATCCCCGCTTGTTGAATGCGAATTCGACATACGGAAAGGGATGCAAGCAGATGCTTCCAACGAACAACGGTCGGCGCCGCGTGCCTTCCCTTGTTCCTACTTGCAGGTGCTCCAAAGGCATTCGTTCCTTTCGGCTCGTGAAATTCACAAAGCAGCGGATGATGACTTCGAAGTCGATGACTAGCTAGAAACGATACACAAAACTTCTGGTGCGACGTTTCTTTCTACCGCCCCTTCTTTGCGAGCATCTCTTCATCCTCCCGCTGAAGCTCCGCATCGATCTCCGCTCCGCGTGAAGGCTTGTTGCCGTGGCTCGTCGCGGGCTCAAGGGGATCGGTAACGGTACGCGCACGCTCTTCACGCTCCTGCTGGCGCTCGAGGATCTCTTCTTGCTGCGCACGCTGGTGCAAGTTGCGGCTATCCCTACAGTCGCGCGGTCGGCGTCGGCGGGAAAAGGGAGGCGAGACGTAACGTACTTGGGGTCATGGATGTCGTGGGCGTTCTTCTGCCCTGCGGCCATCTCGGACTTCATTCGCTCGACTTCTGCACGTTCGTCGGCGATAGTGGGTCTGCACAGAACGTAAGTGTACGATCCATTGCTGCCAGTCTCTGAACAGACCTTTGGTCACCATCCGAGTACACTTGAGGGTTGCCGACCTTAGACTGCATAGCGTGGCCAGATGACATGATGGTGTAGAAAGCGGCGATGATGTGGTGGTGGGTGAGGGGAATGGCACAGTGCGGATTCTGAACGCCCTTTATGTAGTCCTGCGGAGAGCGTGTATCGAGGAGCCGCGACGTCAGTAATTGAGGAGTTGGTGCTCGATGACGTCAGATTGGGAGTGCAAATATGATCATGTCGTCCGGCATCTGCCGAGCATCCGTTCTGAGCAGTCTGACTGGCATGCTTCACTCGTTTTCCCGACTTTGGTAATGCATGTAGCTCCTGGCTGCGTTATGCGAGGCTCGTCGTCAATTTCATTGCGCGCGGGCTTCACATGATGTTGTCAGAGTCGATGACACCAAAAGCGGAGACATGGGTGAGTGTCAGTGAAATCTGCCATGGCCTGCCAATCATGTGGCTAATTGCGAACTGCCAGTGAACAGCTACTCTTTTACGACTTTGCGAAGACTTTGCACAACATCTTCCAACTGGTATACCTCTTGTTCCTTGACGAGAATACGTCAAACTTGTTACAGTCCTCGTGCGAGATCGATGCGGAGAAGGAAATGTAGCAATAAGGGAATGAAAATCGTCTCGTTGTGGACGATTACTTTCATACTATATCAAATCGATCCAGAGCAGAACCGGTTCAGATGTGCTGCCGATGAGAGACTACGGGCCGAATGCCAAGCTCGATAGATCTGGTCACATGATCCGTTTCCAATGACTCAATTCAAGTTTTTGGACTTCCTGAAAACCCCGCAACGTCTGCACCTTCCCTCCATCTTTTCCTCCCCCTCACGTCCTCCCCCATCCGCCACGCGCACCTCCTCTCGCACCCACCATCAAAACAACACAAGATGTGCCCCTGTGAAAACGGCGCCTCCCAGACCGTCGAGAACTCCGAGATGGTCCAGGTCCCGATGAACGGCGCGACCTCCGTCAACGGGGCGAACGGCCACGCTGCTGCCCCCAACGGCAAGTCTCGCAGCGAGACAAACGGCGCCGGAGCGCAGCAGCAGCGCGCGTTCAACCCATACGCGCCGCGCGCCGCCGACTTCCTCAGCAACGTCCGCAACTTCAAGATCATCGAGAGCACCCTGCGCGGTGAGTACCTGTGTCGTCATTGCGTACATGCGCGACGCCATGCGGACGCCCCCGGTGCGCTTGATGGCGTCTTTGCATGGGCTGTCTCGCCGCCCATGTGTCGCGCTGCACGATCGCTGCATCCCGGCTCGGTGCGGACGGCCGCTGATCTTGATCTCCTTCCCCGCGTGCGGCGCAGAGGGCGAGCAGTTCGCGAACGCGTTCTTCGACACCAAGACCAAGATCGCCATCGCCCAGGCCCTCGATGCGTTCGGCGTCGAGTACATCGAGCTTACCAGCCCCGCTGCGTCCGAGCAGTCCAGGAAGGGTTCGTTCGCTCTTTTTTCCACCACCGGGCGCTTGTTGACTCCGAGGCTCGCGGGATAGATTGCGAGGAGATCTGCAAGCTCGGCCTCAAGGCCAAGATCCTCACACACATCCGGTGTCATATGGATGATGCCCGGATAGCTGTTGAGACTGGTATGTAGTCGTCTCTGTTTTGGAGTAGAAAGGTTGCTCAAGCAAGCATGTAGGTGTCGATGGTGTCGACGTTGTCATCGGCACCTCCTCGTTCCTCCGCGAATTCTCTCACGGAAAGGACATGGCTTACATCACCAAGACCGCTATTGAGGTCATCGAGTACGTCAAGAGCAAGGGTCAGTCATGGTTGCAAGCTTCCAGAAACATGGTCAGCGATTCTGACCGTAATGACAGGCATCGAGGTTCGCTTCTCTTCAGAAGACTCTTTCCGCTCCGACCTCGTCGACCTCCTTTCCATCTACCAAACCGTGGACCGCATCGGTGTCAACCGTGTCGGCATTGCTGACACCGTCGGCTGCGCCAACCCTCGCCAAGTCTACGACCTTGTCCGCACTCTGCGTGGCGTCGTGTCGTGCGACATCGAGATTCACCTCCACAACGACACCGGAATGGCGATCGCAAACGCGTACTGTGCCCTGGAGGCCGGTGCTACCCACATCGACACCTCCGTCCTCGGTATCGGCGAGCGCGTCGGCATCACTCCCCTCGGAGGCCTCGTCGCCTGCCTGTATGCGGCCGATCCCGACTACGTCAAGGGCAAGTACAACCTCCCAATGCTCCGCGAGATCGAGAACTTGGTCGCGGAGGCGGTCGAGGTCAACGTTCCGTTCATGAACCCCATCACCGGCTACTGCGCCTTCACGCACAAGGCTGGTATTCACGCCAAGGCGATCCTCAACAACCCTTCGACGTACGAGATCCTCAAGCCCGAGGACTTCGGTCTGACGCGTTACGTCTCCATTGGCCACCGTCTGACTGGTTGGAACGCGGTCAAGAGCCGTGTGGAGCAGCTCGGTCTGAAGCTGACTGACGAGGAGGTACGTGATACGGAGTAGTGGTATTGTATCCGGGCCCGATCTTGACTGATTACCTCGTCCAGGTCAAGGATGTCACGGCTAAGATCAAGGAGCTGGCGGACGTTCGCACGCAGTCCATGGATGACGTCGACACCCTCCTCCGAGTCTACCACTCCGGTATCCAGTCAGGCGAGCTTGCGGTCGGACAGAAGGAGGCCCTCGACCGCCTCCTGCGCAGGCACAGGGAGGGCTCGGTGACCCGCGACCCCTCGCCTTAAGTCGCGTTACTGCGGCTGTCCTCATGCTTTCCGTTTCTCAAAAGGCCGTAAGGCCATGCATTTGTTTCACCCGTGTTACACCACCCCCGTTGCATTTCCCATATCTGACTGTACATCACCTTATTCCATTCTGCTGCATTTGGCTTTATTTGTTTGAACACGGCGGAGGACGCATGTACGATTTGCTGAAGCAAAAGGCAGCGCTGTAGCTGCGTCAGTAATATCCTGTAGAGTAGAGAGCGAGTAATGAACAAGTCATAGCTCGCCCGAAGTCGCCTCCGGCAATGTCCATGCAACGCGGCCAATACCGCCCAGCAGGGCGTGTTCCGACGCCATCGGATGTGTTCCTGGGAACCCCGAGCGTGGCGGTGGGTAAGTACTGTGGACTTGGAAACTTCTGCTGCAACACTTGCAACTTCAAGCTTCCTCTTTGAGGACCCACTGGTGCCGCTGTTCACTGTATGAATCCTGTTTTTGGCCACAGTCTCATTCACAGCATCGTCACCTATAAGCTCTTGGCTCTGATCGCAAGACATCAAACCCTCAACTTCTATGAACACAGCTTAGGTGATATTCATGCTGGACGCCACGTTGCTCATCGCGACGATCGCGGATTGATGGCCCTCGACTAGCTTTTCTGCAGCGCGTCCGGCTGCTCTGCCCCGGTGGCCCCTTCGTTTCCATCTATCTGGTCTGCGACCTTTTCAATTCTCCTTCTCCGCTCGCAGACCTCTTTCTTATGTTTGCCTTTGCTCCACTTTTCCTCTCCTCCCTCCTACACTTCTCCCTGGTCGCCTCGAGCCCGCAGAACCGCACCATCGACGATGAGCTCGGAGACAGCGTCACTGGACTCAAGCCCACTTATCTCCCCGAAGGCGGCTGGAACCAAGGCGCGTCTTGCTCGGGGTGCCACTTTCCTAAGGACAAAGTCTTCGCCTCCAGCCAAGTCTTCGACGGGACATGGCACGACGCGACCTACCGGGTCGGCGGGGAGGACATGGTGATCACGGCGAATTTCGTCGGTCGAGCGGTGTACGTCTACTTTATGGTTCCCAACACCGCTGCGATCCAGCCGACGACGACGTTCATGAACGTGTCGTTCTACGTCGATCAAACCACAACTCCTGCGGGATCCTTCATTCACGACCCAAACTCCTCGACGGACATATCCTACCGGCAAGTTGTGTTTGCGGACAACTCGCTCACAAATGGCACCCATACCCTCACGATGCGCGCCTCAGGCCCCAACGAATCTCTCGTCCTCTTCGACTACATCGTCTACACCATTGACGTTGAAGACCCCCCGTCCGCCTCCTCGACGTCCTCATCGACTGCTGCAACATCCTCCAGCTTCGCGAACGGAGAGAACTCCCCAGCCTCCAAATCAAAGCATCCACCGGGGCAGTCGTAGGCGGGGTCGTTGGCGGGCTAGCGGGGCCGCGGTCATCGGTGCACTTGTCTTCCTCCTCTGTCGCGCGCGACGGCGCTCCAATCCATTCGCTCCACTGCGCTCCCCGAGGGCAAGTCCTTCCTCGGGCCCGTCAGCCGCAACAGCTCGCCCGAGCCGCACCTCGACATCACCCCCTACACCTACACCATCTCGACTCGCGACACCACCGCGCGTTCGTCTGACGAGAGTGAGTCTTCTCCCGCTTCTGCTTTCGCACTGTGCGTCTTCCCCCCATCCCCTTTCGCTCATCCCGCTGCAGTGCCTCCACCGACGTCCGTCTCCTCCACCCGCGCGACACACTACCCCGCCTCCCCCGCCTCGGCGTCCGAGCTCACGCGCCGCCTGAGCGTGCTCGAGCAGCGCATACGCACGCTCGCCAACTCCGACACGTCCACGTCCTGGTCCGGGTCCGGGTCCGACCCCATGCCCTCAAGCCAGCCCTCCCTCGACACCAAGCCGAGCGCGAGCACGAACCCGTACGCGCACCGCCCGCCCGACGCCGTCATCCCCGTCCCGGTCTCGTCCCGGAGGCGGACGAGCGCGGCGGGGACGAGCATCAGCTGGAACCCGTTCGCGCCGAGCGTGCGGGCGCCGACGGAGGCGCACTCGCCGCGGGCGACGGCGGACATGCGCGCGCTGCAGGACGAGATGCAGGCGCTGCGCGGGGAGCTGGCGAAGATGAACGCGCGGCTGCAGCGGGAGCAGGGGAGCGGAGGGGGGCGAGTGGGAGTGAAGGAGCCGTTGCCGAGGTACGTGGGATGAGAGTGTGGGGAGTGGAGGGGCTTTGGATGGGGTGTAGGGTCATGGTGAGTCGTCGTTATTCGTGCGCGTGAGGCTCGGGGTCTAATCGTGCTTTGAACTCTGTTCCAGCTCTTGTATATCATCTGTGTATACGTTCGGAATGGGTACATTGCTTTCTTTTACTTTCTTAACTTGCAGTGTGTTTTGTAGGAGCTGGCCACCGCGGTATGAAGACGGTTGGAAGACTTACACCCTGATGTGATGGGACATGATGAGTTAACGCTCAAGTTGCGTGACATCTGTGAGCAATTTAATCTAGTCGTGGTCGTCCTCTGCGGACCAATCAATGGGGTGGTGTTGACGGTGCTGAAGCGCTGATATTTGGCCCAGTTGAAGATCATTCAAACGTGCCGAACATGGAACAAGGTCTTAGCTGTTCGAAGCCTATGAGGAGCCAAGGCGTAATTTTCGGGACAAAGTCTTTCCATATCAAGATGCGTATCACGGTTTTCTCGTTCATTTGATCCCATTGACCCGCCTGCAGAATCAACTTGTTCGCAGCCTGCCTAACAAACTGTAGCAGTGTCACGTAATCACCACCTACCGAAAATACGCATGCCTGTTATGAGGATGCCAGAATTGGAACATTCTGTTAGCGAGACGCCTGCTCTACTTGCCTCTTACCACCACTGCGAGCTCACGCACGCTTTCCGAGACAAGTCTCCATGTCGCATACTTTGCTCCTTCTCTCAGCCTTCCTTCTCCTCTCCGCTCCCCTCTCGGTAGCCTCTCTCGTCATGAATGTTACCATCGACGACCAACATGGCGATACACGAACCGATGCAATACCTACATACAGCCCGGAGAGCGCTTGACATCAGGGTAACAATTGTCCCCCTACGCAATGCAACCTGCAACCTGCAACCTGCAACCTTCGACTCTAGCAAAATCATGAACGGAACATGGCACGATGCGACCTACCATACAACAGCGCATGGCACGGAGGACACTACCGTAGCCCTGCAGTTCACAGGCACACCGGTCTACGTGTTCTTCGTCGTGCCCAACAAGATCTCGAACGTGACCACCTTCATGAACACGTCTTTCTCCGTCGACGGGTCGGGCACACCTTTACCCACACTCCGGACGCCACCGCGGACGCCAGCTATCAACACCTCGTTTTCAGCAGCGAGGAACTCCCAAATGCCGATCACACACTGATAATGCGCGGCACGGGAACAGCCCAAGCCCTTATCCTGTTCGATTACGCGCTTTACACGTTTGACGACAGTGTATCTTCGATCCTTATCTCTCCCCAACACGTCTCTACTTCTACAAGCACCAGTACCACCACCTCACAGTCGTCCAGTACTATTCAATCAACCAGTCCTGTCTCTACAAAGCCTGTAGCAAGCGTTCTAAACTCCACGGAGCTTCCGTCCTTTTCGCCCTCTCCTTCATCCTCGACTTCTGGACCCACCATTACCACCCCTCTCGTCACGGCCAGTGCGTCAACTCCCGCCACGACAGCCGCCGGGTCGGCCGTTGCCACCTCTTCCCCACCCCTTGGAACGATCGTCGGAGGAGCCGCTGCAGGACTTATAGCGCTGGTTGCGTTATGCTCGCTCGTAGCTCTCCTCAAGCGAAGGTCAAACCCTCCTCATTCGGTCTACGCACGGGATGTTCTAAAGCGCAACAGACAGGCCACCGAAGAGATACGCGAATCCAATCCCTACACCGCCTGCCCGTCAAGCGCCGTCGAATCACGCTATAGTGGTGAGTGTCTCCCTTCACCCCTCCGGATTCATTCCCTGTGATGCAGGATCGTCCGCAGCCGGACACAAACTCGTCCTCCCACTCCTTGCACCACCCTCCGCGGAGTCCGAGCAGCAGGCCGCTCTCAACCGTCGAATCGGCGAGCTCGAGGACCGCATCCGCGAGCTGACCCCGGCCCCAGGCGCCTCCGTGGAACGGGCCACGCGCGAGTCGACGAGCAGAGACGGCAGCCCCCGCAGGACGTGCAGCTCGCGCTGCAGGCGCTCCGCGAGGGGCTCACGCGCGTGCAACACGAGCAGCGGCTGCTGTCCGAGCCGTTGCCGAGCTACGGCGAGTAGGCGGTCGGATCGGACGGGGCGTTGGTTCAAGGTTGGGGGTGGAGTCGGCGTTGATGGCGCGGACCGCGGTCTGGGTCCCGTTTGCTCGAGGTGGGTCTTCTTCGCTCTCGCTGCCGGTATTTTGGTCTGATTCCTTGCGTTGTATTGCGTCGTGCCGAATCAGGGTGGAGTTTCTCGTGGGATGCTTTCTGACTTGGACGTGAATGTGCGCTGTGGATGGTACATTGGAGTAGCCCAACTTTTCTCATCTCCTCGTTGATCACACGCCTGGCAGAGTTCACGCAGTGAATGATCCTCTACTATATGATCGCAGGAGCGTGTGCGACTTCGAAGAAGACCTGATTCGTCGCCCTGCCAAACCGGTCATTCTGCAGGATGCTGAATGCGGGTGTCCTATCCAGACGTACATCTTCACGTTGCAGGAGCCGACGATCCTGCCGCTTCGAAACTGTCTAGCTTGAAGGATGGCATCTAGTCGTTGGGATTCAGAAGGCCATTAACACCCCACCGAAGAGGTGGCAGATGGTGGTTGTGTAGCAACCGTTGATTCGATAAGAAGTCGGCCGAAAACTCTGCTTGGCTTCTCCCATTGTTATATAGCGCCGCCATGGGAGACTGCAATGACCCCCCGATGCAACGCAATGGTATGGCTTCCGCTCTTTTTCATCTCCCTAAAACAACTCAGCAGCGAGTTTACGCATACCATCACTCCACAGGAGACCGTTACTTCCATTTCCGGGGCCCTTCCCGTCGTAATTGTTGAATCCACCTCCCACACGCGGAAAGTCGGTCTCTTTCACCTCCCTGACGCAACTCAGCAGCAAGCTCACGCATATCATTACCCCACAGTCCGACTTTATTACATTTGAAGCGCTTTCCAGTTCTATTAGACCCACCGATGAGTTTACCACCCGCACTGCCAGCACCAACACCATCACCACCACCACCCCCCACCCCCCACCACCACTAGCACTGTCACCACCGGCACCACCACACAGTCGACTATTAGTCTTCAATCCACCATGGTCACCACTTTCGCCATGACCAGTGCATCAACCCCCACCACGACAGCCGTCGGTTCGACCATTGCCGCCTCTTCTCCCCCCCTTGGAGCGATCGTCGGTGGAGCAGTCGCAGGAGTCGTGGCACTGGCCGCCCTACTATGGGTGCTCCTGTTCCTTCGACGGAGAGCACATCTTTCCTCGCCGGTCCTCGACAAGACCGCTCTACAGCGCGACGGGAATCTCAGCGAACAGTTCAACAGCTCCCCCTCACGTGTTCAGGTGATGGGAAAGTCCACCGCTTCCGTCGCCTGTCCGTCAAGCGGACTGAGTTACAGTCGTGAGTGCACTCCTTCACTGCCGCTCTCGAACCCGGTTTTCAACATTCGTCCTTGGATGCCGGTTCGTCTGCGACCGCAGCCTCCACGAGGTCAGCGCAGCTCACCGGTCGAATCCGAGAGCTCGAAGAGCGCTTGCGCGAGCAGTCCTCAGCCTCCATTACCGGCGGAGAACGACCTGTCGGCAGACGCGAGCCCACAGACGGGGATAGTGCGACAACCATGCGGGATATACTGCTTGAGTTGCAGGCGCTGCGGGAGGGCTTCGCGCGACTAGAGCGCGAACAGAGGCTGCTCTCCGAGCCGCTGCCGAGCTACGGCGAGTAGGGGGCCCGGGCAGCAGTTTCAAGTTGGTTCGGGCAGGGTTGAGGTGGACACTTGAAACTGGCTGTACGGGACAGTCTCTTCTCGTTGTATTGTGCCATCTCTGAAAGTTTCCCGCCTCTTATCTGATCAGGTCTTGAGGGACAAACGTCCGACTGCATCGAAGGCATGGCTCTGATGGAAAGCAAGTTGCTGCCGGCTCTTCCCAAACTTCGCAGACAAGGAAACGGCAAGAACAGGCCGAGCAGAATGGAGAGCGCCGGGTCACAGACGCAGCGTCAAGAGCTGACAGACGAGATGAGCTTTGGGGCAGCCGGAATCGTGACGAGAGTCTTAGCTATAGCTGAGCTGTTGGAGGTAACGGGGCGTGGCGTGTTTTGCGTACGCAGTGGATGACACTCACCGCGACCGCCGCCGCGTGCGGTGTGGATATCTTCTTGAATGTATAATATTACTCGCTAAGCTCCGAAGCGCGGAGTCTTGTTCGAAGAAACCGGAGCTTGAATCGACACTGTATCGGCGCTAATGGCTCCTTTCGCGGTACCATGTCCTGCCTATTCGCCAGCGCCCGCCCAGATGTCCAACCTTGTGTCCGCGCCGGGCATATGGTCAGATGAACTCGGACAGCCTCCTACAGCTTGACCTCGGCATCGTTCGGCTCTCGCATCGGCGGGCCTCTTAAGCTTCGCCGACGAGCTGCGGTGATTATTGTAGGTCATATACACTGTGGTCTCCCGAGTCAGCTTCCCTGCCCACTTCCCCCTCTCCCCCTCATGTCATGGTGGCTGCCATTCGTTCTCCTCCACGGGCTTCTGGAAAGCTCTGCAAATGCGCGTTCCGTCAACCGCACCGTTGATGACACATTCGGGGACAGCGTAACGGGCGTCAAGCCGGTATACTCTCCCGCCAACCATTGGAACGTAGGCACCCAATGCACCGTATGCAACATCACCCCCAAGAACGTCGATGTCAATCAGATGCTCGATGGCTCCTGGCACAGCACAACATATCGACCGGGGAGCCCAGCGGTGGAAGCTACCATAACGTTCACGGGCACCGCGGTGTACGTTTACTTTATCGTCCCGAATACCATTCCGGCCACGACCACGGTCATGAACACAACCTTTTCCTCGACGCCGCTACGGAGCCTGATGGAACTTTTTTCCATACCCAGACGGCACGTCGAACGTCGCGTACAAGCAGCTTGTGTACAGCAACTCGTCGCTGTCGAACGCACGCACAGCATCACAATGCACGCGTCTGGCTCCAGCCAGTCGCTCATCCTGTTCGACTACCTCACCTACACTGCCCAAGTGGCCGACGACGACGCGGCAAGCACCACATCCTCAGACTCATCGACGCAGACATCAACCGCTCCGAACGCCTCCTCTCCACGCCCTTAGGTTCTTCCTCACCACCGGTGGAGCTATCGTCGGAGGGGTGTCGGAGGGCTGTTCGGGCTCCTTGCCTCTGCGCCGCCGTCTTCCTATTCCGAAGGAGGCGTGCCTCTTCTCCCTCCTCCTCATTCGATTAATGAGGTCCCGCACGACCACGGGTCGCCGCGTACGTTCCTCGCGGTTCGAGTCTGGGGACTGTTCACTCAAAGTCACGCCCTACACCGGAGTGCATGCTCCTCTATCGCTGCCTCCTAAGAGTGGGTATTCCTCCCACTTCACGTCCACCACTGACTCAATCTCCCAGAAGCATCTCGACCCACGAAACGCGCGTCCTTGGCGCGGCGGAGCACAGCCATGTCGGAGCAGCAGACAGTGCTGAACCTCCGGATCACGGAGCTGGAGTCACGCATGCGCGCCGCGCTCGAGCCGGCGCCGCTCTCGTCAACCGCCGCCACGTCGGACGCGCTCTCTAGCAAAACAGCGGCCACCACACACCCGAGCGAGATGGCGACGAGGACGGCGGGCTCGCAGGTGGATCACGGCGCGCTGGAGCAGGAGTTGAAGGCGCTGCGGCGGGAGCTGGCGATGATTACTGCACATCTGACTCGGACGGCTGAGGTTCTCCCAAAATACAGAGCGTAGACGACTGGATATTGGAGTCTGTGCGCATGTGTAGCATATAGTGACCTAGAGGTTGCCTCGATGCATTGTCTACCGTGATGTGTGTCCTAGTCTGACAAAGCGTGTGCGCATCCGAATCCGACGCTAGCGGAGGTGTACCGGCGGTGCGTGCAGCCATGACGGTAAGAAGGCGTCCTATGTTTTCAGCCACTCTGAAAACAACCTAGGGCCTGGTCGGCTGTCCGTGGGATGGGCTGGGTCCCCCGCCAAAATGATCCCGCAGCACGATGGGCTGTGGGCTCGCGATAGACGCCCCTCGAGCCCATCCCGCCGCGGGCTCGGACGCCTCCGGGCCGTGGGCAGATGGGCATCCTGATGGGCGCTTTTCCCGTCACGCCATTCCCCTGCTCCCCGTGCCCGCAATGCCCATCTCCCCCTCTCTGCTTACTGCTTGCTCCCTTCCCCTCCCTCTATTTTCTGTCTTTACACATAATTTCACTCTAATAGTCACAACTCCACTCATTCACCAGAGCTATCTCTATTATTCAAGCCACCTGATTACCATTAGGAGATATGCTTGATAACTCCCCAATCCTCTGTTGGTTGCCCTCTGCCACTCTGCAGTGATCTTGAACTGTTTACCCAAACCCTATTGAAAAGAAAAATACAGTAGGCCAGTGCAGGATGGTGAATGGCAGCTAGCTACACTGTAACAACTATTCTGTGGGATTTCGGGTTATAGGACACAATCGGGATAGATTGGAGGGTGCTCAGGGTGGATGTGTCGCACTTGAGCTCCTTTGAGCACTGGAGACATGCAGACACACAGTGTATGCACAGTAGATGGTGGTGCATAGAAGCAAACACATACTAGTGTACAGTACAGGCGGTAGCGAGCACATACCTGCACAATTACCTAAGCGAGAGGCGGGGTTGCACCTCCAGTGCCGGGCTCCGATAGGGGGACAAATCACACTGGAAATAAGGGCAGCCTTACAGGTCATAGCTCACATTCTCTCACACATCCAATGAGCTGTTGGGACAGGCCGAAGGAGTTCACACAAGAGGGAGGTGGATTGCCGCCCACAGAACTGCGCAAGCGCGCGGTGTCACCGTTCGTGATGGGGAGTGACCCGGGGTGACGCCCAGTGACGCGGATGCCAGCGAAAGCCCGATGGGCTCGGGATGGGCCGTCGGTCGTCTCGGCCCCAGGCGAGCCCATCCCACAGCCCATCCCACTAGTGCTGTGTCACATACAGAAGTGTTACATACATCCTCTATATAACACGTTATATGACTGTAAGTAACTAACATAACATGAGAGGGTCCAGGACCCCATGTCAGATAGTGTTATTTTCGGGGAAATACCTTCATTCATGTCCCTTTGTATGGCTTATGCTCCTTGGTGTGTTTCCCCAGTCAGAAAGGCAATGAAACTAGGATAACACAGTCCGTAGGTCCGCGCACCTAGGGACACGCGCTTATCAGAGGCGCCGAGTCCTCTTCGCTCTTGATTGCCACTTAGAGATCGTAGGCTTAGTTCCTAAGCTCCAGAAACTTCATAGGCGTGTAGAAGATGTAATTGGGTACGCATAGACACCCATGATCTGCACTGTGTAGGTCAAAGTAAATGATGCTATGGCCGCCGGTATCAGGATTCAGGTTGCCAGTTCTCGTGCCGTTCCCACCGCGTGCGTGCTGTCGGAGGGGGTATAGCTGCGCAAAACTGCCCTCTCTTCATCTGCAACCCCCATCTCCCTTGCTATCATACCCCAAAGCTGCGTTGTGAGTCGATACAGCAACCCAGGCCTGTACAATTTCGACGGGACGTCCCAGGTTGACACGACCATTGCGAACGATCTGTGGCACCGTTTGCCACCCGCACTTCAATCTGTTGGGCCGTCGTCGACTATGTCAAGCTCGACAGCACTACCCTTTTCAAGCTCCCCATAGACAAGTCATCTTTGGGTTCTGCGGACCACTGCTAGATAACATTGAGATAACATGTCGGACGTTGAGGATGAACCTTGTGGTGTTGACGACCTCTAGTTGCACAGATAACACGCCCGCACCTTCCTAACACGCTCTTTTGCATTGATAACATGTTTATAGCACGTCATGTGACATATGTTATATACATGTTAATAACACTTGGTTGTTACATGACATCGGGGCCCCTCCTTCGAAAATAACATGACAAACCTATATGACAATCTAACACAGCGCTACATCCCACGGACAGCCGACCAGGCCCCTAGTATACCCTTCCATCACGGGTTTAGCACGGGGTATGAGCAGAGGCAGAAGTTGGCTGGCCCCCTTGTATCAATGCGGGTGACGTCATGGTTATGTGACATTGACCCAGCATCAATGCGAAAGACATTTCGCGGGTTCCGCGTGTGCAGAATATACCGAGATGGTTGCGGGGCTCGATGGCTCGAAGAAGCCAGACGGGCGAACTGTCAACGACCGCGGTGGTGATCTAATCTTGGGAAAATATCAACGGCAGCAGCGTCGTCTCACACGCAGCTTCTCTCTGTCCCGTACTGGCCTGCTCTGCGTCCTGAATCACGACTCGCCCTCAGTTTCCGTCCAGCTAAACGCAAGTCTCCAGCGCGCGCGCAAGTGCGGTAGATCTTCCAGAAAACAGCACAGCTGGGACAGCAGCCCCAAAGACCTGGTTCGGAGTAATTTTCCAGGCTCCCGACAGCCGGGCTAAACTCAATCAAAGCAGGGGTACGGAACTGGAGGCGCGGCGGTCCGCAGGCTTTGCTGTGAACGTTCATGTCTCTGTCGTCCTCACCATTCCCCAGCCCTTCCTCGCTGCCCGTGCTGTAGACCCTCGGGATCCCGCCTTCCTTTCAGGCGGCGTTCAAACGTGCTGCTGGGAGCATGCCCCGCGCCGCCGCTTGTCTTTTCCTCCTTCTCTCATGTCTTGTCCTCCTCGCCCCCTCCAACGCCGTCCTCGTCAACCGCACCATCGACGACCAGAAAGGCGACTCTTCCACCGGCGCTGTCCCTGTATACACCCCTGGAGACGCATGGGCGGATGGGCAGACATGCACAGGGTGCGCTCTCACTTCTCACATCATCAAGGCAAGCGTGTTCGACGGCACATGGCACGACTCGACCTACCACCCTGGCGACCCCCCGCGGACCATCTCGGCCTCCTTCAACGGATCCGCGGTCTACGTGTTCGCCACGCTTGCCAACAACTTTGGCGGTATCACGACATTCACGAATTACACCTTCTACATCGACGGCGGCCTTGTTGGGCAAACGGTGAGGGCCCCCGCATCCACCGCCGACTTCATCTACCGCTTCCCCGTTTACATCAACACCTCCCTTTCCAACACACCCCACAACATCACGATCATTGGAGGAGGAGGCCCGAACGCGACTCTAATCCTCTTCGACTACATCGCATATACCACCGAAGATAATACCTCTGCCTCTTCCACTTCCATCCCATTGGTCGGTCGCGCCTCCGGAACGAGCTCCACATCCTCTGGCACGCCCTCTGCTGCGACCACAGACACCTCGACGAAGAGTTCCAGTAACCTTGGCGCCATTGTCGGCGGGGTCGTCGGCGGGGTTGCCGTGCTCGTCCTTGCCGGCCTGGCCTTGTTCTGTTTCTGCCGTCGTCCAAAACCTTCCCCCACCGAACCCGATCTTTCCAACATGATTGAACCTTTCCCCACCACTCGACCCGGACACTCCCAACCCGCTCCTCCCCAGCGCCGGCATTCTCGCCCGTACCTCCCAAGTCTCAGCCTTGGCAACAGCCGCCTCGGCCCAGGGTCGTCTGTCAGTGGGGCCACAGTCAGTGAGTCTTCCTAGCCCACTCCAGCTCCGACGTCCGCTGTCGCCCCTCCGTGCTGAGCAATGTTGACGCGCGCATTTTCGTCTCCGCAGCCTCGACGGAGCCTCTCGTGCCCATCATCGGCCACCGCCCAACCCTTCCCCCACTGCCACAAGAACCGCCCGCTACGCCGGGCGAGAGTGGCAGCCGCGGCCGACCGCGGACGGACCGCGGCGAACGTGGCGAGCGCGCGCAGATGCGCGCGAACCTCGTCCAACGCATACAGCTGCTCGAGTCCCAGATGCGCGCGCTCGAGAGCGGCCAGCCCTCCCCCCAGGCGACGACGCCCGCGTCGGCGGCCTCGCCCCTCACCCCGGGCCACGGCCGCGGCGAGAGCACGAGCAACCTGTCCGCCACCCCGACGACGACGACCGGGTCCTCGGGCTCTTCGGGACGGTCGCGTGGGGGCCGTTCTCGGGGCCGCCGGTCGGAACGCAGCGGGCAGCTGCGCGCGGAGCTCGCCAGCCTTCGGACGGAGATCGCGGAGCTCCGAGCGGAGATGGAGAGGGACCAGCAGTTGCTCTCTGAGGCTCCGCCGCTCTACGGTACCTGACGGGAGGCAGCGCGTGGCGCGTGGCGGGAAGGGGGCTGCGGAGGAAACGAGGCGAGGCGAGGCGAGGCGGTGGAGGAGAGGTGGCGACAGCGCTGCCGGTGAGTGCGCGTCGCCTCTCAGATCTCAGCCTTGCCCTGGACGTAGTCGGGAATAGGCGGTGCTTGTTTGTATTGTTATTATGGCCCATGGCGCTTGTTCTTTAACGATCTGACCGCCGGACACTGTTGATAGAATTCAGGTCGTGCTTCCCCGTACACGCCCGTCCACCTGCATGCCTGTGCGCCCGTCAATAACGCCTCCATCCGGGAACCTTGACGGTTGGATGTTTCGCAGCCACTCTTCCATGTGCATCCCGTCTCCTGTCGACTGCTATCCAATGCCGAGGTGATTGCGTTCTCCGCTTTGCTGCCCTTCTCTTGTTCTTCCTTATTACTGCTCGCCATGGGCACACTGCTCTTCTCCGTTTCTTCCCCAGCCACGCCACCAGTGAGTCGCCCTTCGATTCGCGTTCACGTGAGACTGAACATCCGGTACTCCTCCAGACTCCCACACGGCCACTGCCGTGGACTTGCACATCAGTCACTCAGGCACGATGCGCTTTGTCACCCTCAGCCTACCAATCTTTGCCGTCGCAGCTGTGCTTTTCGGGGTGCTCGCCATAGCTGTGATCGTACTTGCACTCATCGTCCTCCAGCGGCGAAGTTTAGGCAAGGCCACCGCGAGCTTGGACAGCGTCGACGTCGAGCTCAACCAAACGCGCCAAGATACGAACTCCACCCCCAGCCCGCGCAAACCGCGAACATGGCCCCCGCGCACGACGCCAGCCTCCCCTCCTCAACGGTCCAGCCCCGGAGCCCCTCCACCAGCACCGCTATCACACCCACCGAAGTCGCATCCCCCGAAGTTGCGAAGCCGTGAGCCACATCAAACCCACGCCCCACCGCCTCCGCCTCCCCCCGCGGTTGCAGCGAAGGTCTCGACGGCGCCAACGACGCCCATCCCCGTCCTCCTCCGCCACCCGCGCGGGCACAAGCCCTCAGCTCCTCCTCCCGCCGCGCCGCTCGACCTCCTCGCGCCCGACGACGACGACGCGGTCGGGCTCTCCGTCTTCGGCTCGTCCCCGCCCGCGAAGCCGCCCCCGCTCGACGCGCGCCTGTCCCCGCTCCCGCCGGACACCGCGCTCGCGCTGCACCACCGCGTGCGTGCGCCACCGCGCGCCGCCGCCGTCCCCGCCGTCCCGTGCGCTCCCCCGTGCGCGACCGTGATCTCGAGCGCTCCCCCGTGCGCGCCCGCGATCTCGAGCTCTCCCCCACGCCGGAGAACTGGCGGGGGCGGGGGCCGCGGCGCCCCGCGAGCGCCCGTGCCCGCGCCCGCGCTGTCGATCACGTCGACACGGGCGGCGCGGCTCGTGTCGCGCCTGCGGGCGACGCTCGGGGAGCTGCAGGAGAAGAAGCGGGAGCTGCAGACGCTGGTGCACCAGCGGCGCGTCGCGTCGTACGAGGACGCGGCGGCGGAGGCGGAGGCGGACGGGGAGGAGGGCGGCGCTGCTGGCCAGGGGGAGGGAAGGGACAGCGCGGCGCTGGACGCGCAGATCAGGATCGTGCGAGGGCAGCTGGAGGAGGCGCTGAGAGCGGTTGAGGAGAGCCTGCCGAGGGAAGGGGGCCGTGAGGGCCCGGGACGGTAGGACACCGAGGAGGGTGAGATGATCCACAGCAGGGTTGCGTCGAACGCCTGGATGGGCCCTCGGAGCACGTGTGTTAGTGGGTGGGTGGCTATTGTATTACATATGTTCATATGTCGAGTTTCCTAACTTTGTCGTGAAGGCTGCGCAGGCTGCGGGCGGCGTTGTGAACGGACTGAGCATTCTCGCTGTTGTGGACCGGTGTTCATCGCTTTGTGGGTAAGTACCATGTGCTCAGACGAGTCGTTCCCTATTTCACGGCAACGAGTGCGTGCCAAGCCCCTTCCAGCTACATAACCACAATCATGTGCGCACACATGGAACTTAGTCTCGTTCCCAGACGCTCTACGAGTACACCCAACACACGCCTGCCCCTACACGGTGATTATATAATAGGAAGGGGAGGGTATACCAAATTGGGAAGGGGAAGACTGAATCGGGAGAGAATGAGAACCGTGCAAAAGCTGAAACTCTCACGCGGGCGGGGCAGGCGCGCGTTGGGTGTGCTCGTAGAGCGTCTGGTGCATTTCGGGCTCGGGATGTAGATACGTGACTTTGGCGGTCACTCCGATTTTCCCCGATGTCCCGTTCTGGTAGCACCATGACCTCCTGTGACCCCCTTACGAAGGCGCGGCCTGACTGCCCCAGGGCCCAGACGCCAGCGACAACGTTGAGTCTGACGCCGCGACGGAGAGCGAGAGCTCTGTACACGCGCGCCTACCTGGGCTCCTGCGCAAAGGCTCCACCCGTCATTCTCATCTTCGGCGTGTCCTCGCACTGAACTGTGCCTGCGGTCGAACCCAATCGCAGACTTAGGGTGCGTGCGCGACACGTAGGCAGATCCCACCGGGGGTGACAGCCTTCACGAGGTTCTGCCGCATGCTCAGAGGGCTTTGGGTGGGCGGGAAGTGCAGGGCCTGTCAACGCATCATACAGGTCCTCGGGTAGCTCCAGCATCAGTGGTGTGTAGCGCGGGCTGGTCATCCATGTCCTTCATCTGGGATGGGTGCGCAGGCGTGGGGTCCTCCTTGATACCCACCCAGTTCAGTTTCTCCACTACAGCCTCCCCACATGGCTCGTCCGCCAGCACCCACTTCCCAGGCAGTTCATTTCCAGAGCCAAACAACGTGGTCATATATTACATATGGACCACCATATACAAGGCTGTTTGGCTGAGTGGTATCGACGCTCGCCTGTGTGTGTGGTACAGGGTTCAATCCTGCCTCTCCACATAATTTTTCCATCTCACACCAGCAAAGTTGTGCCCAACGTGGGTATTTGCCCCACAAACGTGTTTTTGTGCTGCAGTAAATGATTAGGAGTAACTGGATTTAGAATGGGTGCCAATGGGACATTATGAAGGAAAAAGCGCGAAAATGACAAAACACGGAATGGCACCCTTGCACCGAAGCAAACCGCAAGCAACGCCAGAGAGCTATACCACTGCGTCAGGATGCCTTTGCAAACTTATTTTGTATGTAATATATAAATACCGGGTTGAGCTTTAAAAGGGACAACGACATTGAGGGTGGCTCTCAATGAGTGGAGATCTACCGCGGCTCACAATCTCAGGAGATCCTTTGCCGCACAGTCAGAAGTACGAACCATGTACTGTAGGATTTGGTGCGTGACGGCCCACGGGAACTCTCGCACACTGCCGGATGACTCAGCGATTATATAACGATCAGTTGGTGACTGTCGTCACGTATGTGCATCCCGCGCCCGAAATGCACCAGACCCTCCGGCAAGCGGAGCGGAGCGCTGGAGGGTCTGGGAACGAGACTAACATGGAACTGAGCTTCGATGGATACGGGAGCCTCAGCGGCGCGACAATGAGTTTGCGAACGATATAACAAGCATCCCGAGGAGGCGCCAACTCCCGGTTCCAGCAGGCGCGGAGCACCACAGCTTGCTTCGGTCCGCTCAGCTCCGCTGTCACAGCGGAACTACGAGCTCTGCATGCGCCGATGATGCAGCACTGGTCTACACTCGATCCGAGAGTCGCGTTCGCGACAAGGACTTCATCCATGGAACGCCGGAATGGAGGGAGTCAGGGCGGTGGACAACCAGAATACGCGTCTCGAGTGAGTGATGTTGAAATTATCTGCGACACTGCATATGGCCTTATCCGTGTAGCTCCGAAGATAACAGCTTTCCAGGACCTGGAGACGGTGTGGACCGTGTGGTTCAAGATGTGCTTCGAGCGCGGGAGCGGGATGACGGCAATCCCACGTCTCAGTCGTCCGCGCCAACACAACGCAGCACCAACGTGATGGGACTGCCAAACATCCTGGATCATGTCGCAGATTGAGTTGTATGGAGGCGCTGCAAGCCACCAGACTACATGAAGGGTGCGTGCTGGAGCTCCCATGCCGCTCGTCTCCACGCGTTCTTTCCGCTCATGCCTGCGCGTTCCTTCCGCAGTGCCTCTCACATTCGTTTCGTCCCTTTGTCGATCATCTTTGCCTTCCTTCCGTTTTCCACCTGGAGCAGAAGTGTCAACCGCACCGTCGATGACTCCGACCTCGCCATGGTGTACTGGCCGCCGCAGGGTTTATGGTCAGTAGGCAACACGTGCGGGGGCTGCGACATCAACCCTTCCAATGTCAATATTAGCCTCGTGCATAATGGGACTTGGCACGATACCACCCAGAAACAAGATCCACAAGTCCATTCTATCTCGTACATGTTCACAGGCAGTGCGATCTACGCTTACAACATCATCGCCAACACCATCAAAATGGGGCTCACCACGACCTTCACCAATGTGACCTTCTACATCGACGACCAGCTCTCTGGGAGTTATGCCCATGACCGGGACCCTACTGCTTCTGACTTCCTGTACAATGTCCTCGTGTTCAGCGCCACCAACCTCTCTAACGGCCCTCATCGATTCGAAATGCGCTCGGATCCTCAAGGCGCAGACTCCCTGATATTATTCGATTATCTCATGTACACCGCCGAGGACAGCCCAATTCCACCGATTCATGCATTAGATTCTACCTCAACAGTCCCTCCACTCACCGGCATGCGTGTATCGGATTCCACCACGACCTCTTCATCGACGGCCAGCTCAATCACAGTCCCTCCCTCGACCGACATACGTGCATCGGATTCTGCCACGGCCTCCTCATCGACGCCCTCAGAATCCACTTCGAAAAGTCGCAATGGGACTCCTCCTGCGGTTCTGGCGGTCCTCGCCGCCATCATTGCCGTCTTGGCGGTGGCCCTAGGATTTTTCTTCTTCAGACGGCGGAGACAACGGGCACGCGCGCTGAGGTCGGGAGCAAAAGAGGATATAGACGGCGGCGGAAAGCAAGCACTAGAAGTCGAAGTCCCGTCCCGCCTGCTGTCTTCCGCGCGCGGTGAGTGGTGGTCCTTTCGGGACGGGCGCGCTTCGGCGCTTCGAGCGGCCGGACTGCGAGCTGAGCTCACTTCAGGTGCAGGACCCGTGCGAGCCCGTGGGGACGTGGGGAGCCTCGCCCAAGCCCCAGAAATACCACCCAGGACGAGGCCCGCCCTCCAGCCGCTGCCTTCCCCACCACCGGTCTACTCCCCGCCCCCAGACCACGACGCGGACGTCCCCTGCACGGCGTACTCCCCCACGACCAACTTCTCGAGCACGTTCAGCGGCGCGCTCGCTTCGGTGCAGTTCGTCGTGCCGAGCGGGCGCCCGTCGCCCAGCCCGACGAGGCGGCCGCTGCTGCCGGCGCACACCCGCCCACGCCGCGCGCCACCGCGCGACGACGTGCCAGCCCCGGCGGTATCGGTATCGGGCACGGAGGCGTCGATACGCGCCGCCGAGTTTGAGCAGATGCTGAGCGAGCTCGAGGAGCACCGCCGCGAGCTGCAGCTCATGCGCAAGGGCGGCGGTGCGCCGCGCTTGGCGGTGGTGAACGCGCAGGGGAACGAGTCGGCGTACGGCGGTGGGGTCGGGGCAGGGTGGGAGAAGCTGGACGAGTTGGACGAGCGAATCCGGAGGGTGCAGGCGATCGTCGAGACGTGGAGGCGGTTAGCGAACGAGACCATGCCTCGGCGGCGGCGGCGGCGGCGGTAGTAAATTGGAGTTCTACTGGCGCGGCGCGGTGCGTGGACACTGGACGGAGTACATACCTCAATACCATTGTAATACTTGCACAATTGGACGATGGACCATCATGCGTATCACAGGTATGTGGCAGCGAACTAGGAATGAGCGCGATGTCATGATGGTGATTGGGCCGCCGGTAAAAGATTGGTCGCCGCCTTAATCGGCGCTTGGACGGAAGCGTCTTTGCTGTGCCCCGTTCGAAGCTGATGCGGTTTACTGCTCCCACATCCATCACTTCTCACCCTCCTGGAGTTCCGCTTGGTCATGCTCTTGACTCCCGTCCTCGACGGACGCTTTCGGTACAGGCCGGGGTCGGTCGGACTGGATGTCTTAGAGCCAACAGATGCAGCCCGCGCTTTCGCTCCGAGTGGTCCTGTTTCCATCCACGTCCGACGACGGGCATGGTGCAGTGAGAGATGATCAGACTTCGGGAATGACTGGAACGCGCTCACCCCCATATGTCCATCGTGTTCTCTCCCCTGGTGCCGTCATGCTCAAGAGGAAGACGCCTGAGCCAAACTCTATCTGCTCGTGGAAACGACCCCCCCGATGGCGAATTCGTGGGGTAAGCACGGCTTGCTTTCGACCATCTCCTTTAGTGGCCTCAGCACGGGCAGTCGCCCTAGTCGTCGATATTTATGTCCTCGAGGTCGACCGCTGCGCTCCGCCTCACCTTCCACTCCCTTGTCCTCACCCTGTGCCTCTCCTTATACTCCCGCGCCGCACCCACAAATGTCACTATCGACGACACTCTCGGCGACGCATCAACTAGGACGGTGCCTCTGTACAATCCCCCCGGCAAGTGGTCCGAAGGCTCAAAATGTCCTGGGTGCTACATCAGACCCAATACATATCCAGGAGGTCAGGTTGCGGTGGAGCACACCTTCAGCCACACCTGGCACGACTCAACCTATCATGCCATGCAAGGTGAACCGAGCTCGGTGACAATCGAATTCACCGGCACTGCAATCTACATCTTCAACCTCATCGCCAATGTCATCAGCGGTACCACGACCACTACCAGCCTCACTTTTACTCTCGACGGTGCACCTCAAGAACCATTCTCGCACATACCAGACCCTGCGGGCCGCTCGATCATGTACCACGTACTCGTTTTCTCCACAACCGGCCTGGCCAATCGGCCGCATACACTAGTCATGCAGACAGATCCGTCTACCGACTCTCTCGTACTTTTCGACGAAGCCATTTACACGACGGAGAACGACACCACTCCTACAACTTTCTCCACCCGATCGGCGACACTGTCGTACACGATTTCGAACAATCCAGGCACATTCACGAAGGCCACTCTGTCGTCTGAATCGTCTGAATCGTCAGCACATCCGACGGGATCGGCTTCAGGCGCTGCCGCAGGACCCCAGAGCGACCAGTCCAAGACCGTCGTCATCGGCGCCGGCGTCGGCGCAGCAGTCGGCGTCCTCGCCGCGATCCTCACGCTCGCGGCCGGTGTCTACGTCCTACGCCGGCGCGGTCTCATCGTCTTCCACCCCTCCACCTGGTCCATCCGGTCCATCCGAAGCCGCCGCCCCCGCTCGCGCGCGACGCCCTCCCCCGCCGACTCCTCCTCCTCCTTCGTGCCCTTCGTCGCCCCCGCCACGATCCCCCGCCCCGCCCCCGCGGCACCGTCGCCGCTGCGCCTGCGCTTCGATCCGAACGACATGATCGCGCCCACGCCCATCACCCCGCGCGACCGCGGCGAGCCCCTCTTCCCCTCGAGCCCCACCGAGTCCCCGCACCCGCACTCCCCGCACGCCTACCACTGGAACGCGAACGCGCTCGTCCGCGGGCCGGCGCACCGCCCGGACGTGCCCGCGCCCCCGTTCTCGGAGAGCACGGACCACTCGGTGCGGCTGATGGAGCTCATGGACCAGATACGCCTGCTGGAGTCGACGATGCGCGACATCACGGGCGAGGAGAAGCGGAGCGAGGAGAGCCTCCCGCGGGACGACGCGGCGCGGTTCCGGAGGCTGAGGGAGCGGGTGAGGACGCTGAGGACGCAGCTGGAGCACGAGAGGCGGCTGATGGCGGAGGGGTTCCCGAGGGACGAGAAGGAGAGGGTGTAGGGGGGCAGAGGGCGAGGATATTTATTGAGGTGCGTCGTATCGTGCGGGTCGTGCTGGGGAGCGTGCGCGTTGACCCACGGATGCCGTTAGGACAGCGAGGACCCATGCCTTACGATGCTGTATTGTACTATGGTCTTCCGCTCTCCGCGTGTACTTCAACTCCCCTGCAATGTGTATGCTCTTCCCGGACGACCTTCGGCGTGGGCGGGGCTCGAACACGCGCCCTGATGTACCCGGGAGTCCGGGTGCCCATGCGCATTGCGCATGCGACATCGGCTCGCTGGTGCCATTGAGAATAGAATGATTGTGAAGGTGAGTTTGCGATGCATACACCACCCAGGAGTCATTGGTTGGTCATTGGTTACAATCATCAGATGGCAGTCGTGCGAAGCCCCCGACAGCGCCCGATTGCCGCGACCGCGATGCCGGGCTCGTACACCCGCCGTCCTCGCAGCAGCGAGGCAAGTAGCCATGACTCCACCCTGGACAGTTTGTTCATCTGCGCCGCCTTCATCTTCAGATCGACTTTCGCAACTATCCGTCCACGCCCAAGCACATCTTTGCAATCCCTCGTCTCACTTGGTGAATGGTCCTCATCGCTCAGTTCACTCAGCGCCTCACTTCGCAGGCTGCTCGCATGCGTTGATATCATGCACGCTGGTCAGTCCCATATGACGTGCAACGTCTATGCGCACGCTTCCCCCTCATGACAGACCAGAGACCTGTGAGCTCAATACAGGCTGCGGGCCGGTCGGGCAGGCTCTGCCCATTTATACCTGGAGCGAGCAGTCATGTACACCGACTCCTTCACCTCCCCGACTCATCCACTCCACGACCAACGGCTCATTCAATGAGAAACACATCGGCGCGCGGCGGCATGCTTCTGCTTCTCCTCTTCACTCTTCTTTACGCAGCGCACTCTTTTGCACAGATCAATGTGACCATTGACGACGACATGGGCGACTACCGCACTCAAAAGAAGCCACTCTACATTCCAAGTAACTCCTGGAAACAAGGGTCGACGTGCGAGGGTTGCAATGTTAGAGGAAAGGCACTTGGAGGGGAAGTGGAGGAGAACCGCACCATCAACGGTACATGGCACGACACGACATACCATCCAGTTCCCGGGCCGACATGCTCAATCGTGATCAACTTCATCGGCACGGCGATTTACGTGTTCAATATCGTGCTAAATAGCGCCAGCATCCCTGGTACAACCATCGACACCGAACTCTGGTTTATTCTCGACGACATTGTGAACCCTACGCCATATACACACAATCCTGACCCATCCGGTCCCGACATCATGTACGACGTCCTTGTCTTCAACAGAACAGGATTGCTCATGCAGGAGCACCGGTTGACCATCGAGTTGGACCCGCTCACGGCTTCACTCGCTCTCTTCGACTATGCCCTCTACACGACTGACGACCCTTCCACCACGCCTCTCTCCTTCGCACAGTCCGCTTCAACCAGTTCCTCAATCACCCCGTCTACGCGAGGCGACACTTCGCACCCAATTACTGTCGATACCCAAGTTCATTCAACAGTATCCCCGATCATCCCGATCTTCTCGTCGTCACCAAATCCCACCACGGCCCCTTCCTCTACGGCCCCTCCCTCGAGTCACTCTCCCAAGCCCTCCGCGTTGCCGATTGTGGGCGCAGTCGCGGGCGGAATCGCGGGCGCCGTGCTCCTGTCCCTAGGCCTACGCGTCCTCCTCCGCAACCGGCCCACTCGCCGCCGGCACCGGCACTCCTCTCGTCTCTCCCTCGAGAAGGAGTTCGTCCACGCCGAGTCCCTCTACCTCCGAATCGCGCGCGGCAAGGACGGGGCGCTCGCCAGCGCACCGTCGACGATCGCGCCCACGACGCGGGCCACGGTCGGGCACTTCTCTCTGTACGACGTGCCAGAAGACCCGCCGCGAGGCCGCCTGACCTCCGACGCGGCCCGCGCGCGCGAGCCCCCGTCGTCGACGTCGGCGGCGCAGCCCCCGCCGCCGCTCGCCCCGGCCCCGACCCATTCACGCCGCGTGCGCGTGCACGCCCGGTCCGCCGTGCTCTTGATGGCGAACATCGCCATGCTGCGCGCGCAGGTCAACAGCTTCATCGAGCACAGGGCGGAGGGAGAGCGCTTGCCCGAGTATCGTGCCCGGGAAGGTGCGAAGCCGGCGCGGAGTCGTCGGCTGAACATGACTTGATGTTCGACGGGGAATATGAGTATGTCTCTTCGGTCTGAACGGGAGTTGAGGCTCACGAAAATCATAGGCAGGAAGTGCATTTCGTATGTCGCATGTCTGGATGTTTTGTTGTCGACTGGTCCGAGCCTTGGCAGTGCATCGCACTGGGCTCATGGTTCACCTTCGTGTTTTTGCTCCTTACACATCGGATTTGTTTCAACACATGGCAACGATAGGCTTTTTTCTCTTTCGACGGGTCGCTGTATGGGACATCGTGTGCTGTTCACTGTTCAAACGTTCAAGACGAGTTTGAGCCCCAAGAGCTTGGGTTATGACGTCATGGATCCCACGAGGCCTCCACCATGGCCCGTGGCACGCTGGCTGGCAGGCGGCGACCCTCCCGGTCCCGCTGCTTTTTATACCCACAGCTCGATGATCTGCTTGTCTCATCGACCTGGACTCGGATCAGTCTCTGATGTTCACGTTTAGACCCCGAAAACCGAATCAGAAGCGCTTGGCTTGGCAGATGGACTCACCCAAGGTCAATCGACGCCGACGAGTGAGTCCTGAGTACTGCGAGATCTAATGTTCACTTCCTCCCTTTACCCTCCTGGTTGGGTGCCGGTCATCCAAGCATGTACCTCACCGCTCGCCTTCCACGACCTCTTCAATTGTCCCTCCTTGCTTCCGTATACCATCTTTGCACCTCCTCTGTTGCGGCAGCCTCCGTCCAAAATCGCACAATCGACGATGAATTTGGAGACAGTGTCACAGGCCTCAAGCCTATCTACTCCCCCGCTGGTGAATGGAGCCAAGGCAACTCATGCTACGGTTGTCTCGTCCAGTTCGACCCCCTACAGACTTTCAATGGCACCTGGCACAACGCCACCTACCATCCGGACACGGACACGGAGCCCTTCTCGATCACCCTCCAGTTCTTTGGCACGGGCATAACCGTGTTCAACGTCCTTGCCAATACCCTCCCCTTCGCCGATAACCTCTCGTTCATTCTCGACGGAACCACGGTGTCGAACTTTGTGCATGTCCCGACGACGTCTTCTTCGAAGTTCCTATACAACCAAACCGTGTTTTCCACCGAGAGCCTGAACAACTCTCAACACGAGCTCGTCGTTCGGGTGATTGGTGAAAGTCCAGTGCGTACCTTGTTTGACCGCGCGGAGTATACCTTTCAAGACGACGGGGAGGTCTCGACATCTTCGGATCCGGCTACAACGGGTACCACCACTCTTCCGAGCTCGACCTCCTCGAGTATGAGTCCAGCTCAGGTATGTGGTCGTCCCGTCTCTTCGCCGGGTTTCTTGGTCAACGTTCGCCCGTATAGTCCGGTGGGAACGGGGTCTCCCAAGGCGACTCAAACGGAAATGCCCACCGTTCTTCTTCCCCCACTGCTGCGATCGTCGGTGGGGTCGTCGGTGGACTCGTCCTCGTCATCTTTCTCGCCGTACTCTGTATGCGCCGACACCGCTCCCAGTACACGCGCCCCTCCGACGTTATCTCTCTCGACGGAAGCCTTCCCGGGTCTCAAAGCCGGCAAGAAATGCAGGAGCTCCGAAGCGACCTCGAAGAAGGCGACGCCGGCATACTTGTGCCCCCCGCGACGTACCACGATCCTACCCCACCATACGATGACCCCTTCCAAGACCCGGACACGCCCATAGCGCATGCTCCGCCCCTCCAGCCCAGCCGTCGCCGGTTCCGCGTCGCGAACCCCGACTCCCAGTACTCGCCCTCCGTCTCCAGCGCAAGCGCCCTATCCTGCGACTCCCCTGCGCGTGACGGGTACGGAAAGGCCGCGGAGGAAAGCGCCGAGCGCGAGTCGTTGCAGAGCCTGCCGAGCTACCGGTCCTCGCGCGCGCCCACCGTCGCGCCGCCGTACTCGATGCACGCGCCTCCGCCGTCGTTTGGTTCCCAGTGGCGGGGTCCTGGGGCCGCGGAGCTGGTGCCCTCGGGGCCGATGCCTGCGCTTCGGTCGCAGACGCAGGGGTTGCTGGAGAATGAGAGGGCGTAGGCTGTCCGCAAAGGCGGAGCGCGGACGGGGGGGCGGCGAGAGGAGGCGGAGGAGTTGCCTCGATATCATTAGCGTGGTGCGCATCTTTAGTTTCAGCCTTCTCGGACGCTTGGTGTACGTTTTGATAGGAGATCTTTTTACGTGACGCTTCTCAGGGAGATTGGGCGAGGGGACGCTCCACGTGATGTCGCAAACTGCGCTCGTTCCGTCTCCGCACTCCTCGCGGCCTTCAGCGGATCAGCAAGCCACGAGACGTACTGAAGAGCGTCACCCAGCATCGGACCCACTTCAATCGAGTAGCTTCGTGTATGGAACGCAAAGCCCTATCGTAGGTATAGGCCAGTAGTAAGCAGTCGAACTCCTTATTGATCTTACGGCTCTTCAACGGCACGTCTTCCACGTCGTCGCAAAAACTGTGCTGAACGCTTCTTCCACCGTCCGTCGACGCTCCAAGCGTCGCTACGCCCGCGCCGTACTCACTGCCACTGACACGACAAGAAATGCCGGATATTCGGTGCCCGAAAAGGACCTGGGACACGGTACTGCCATGGTACCTGTCACGGTCACGTTCTTTGTCTGGTCCGCGCCGGACCGGACAAAGAACAGGAATCCTGTTCCGGGCATGTTGGGGGCATGGTCAGGACCCGGGCAACTCCACCAGAGGTATGTCCGGCGTTGTCTTATCAAAGTGTCCATAAAAGGCAACGAGGTATGTCCGAGTTATCTTAGCAGACGCCCCATATCGGGATAGACGCCCATAATGTATGTCCGGACTTATCCTATGCGAGGGGACAATGGGCCCCGAACGCCGGCGCTTATGGGCGGTCTCAGCTTTCCACCATCCTGCACGCAACCTGCACGTCCTAATTAGCAACGTCGACTCACTCAGGGCGCACACCGGAGATTGGTCCCAAATGAGAACTTGCTCGAGTGGCTAAAGCAGCTGCTGGTGAGCCACCCCAGATGTCTCTTCGCGAGGCTTCGCAGCGCATGCGCGTCGCGCAGGCCCTCTCGGATCGCCGCAGATGTGATGACCAGAGAGAAATTCGACCGCAAGAAACGGTGGCAGACTAATACGCGAATCATGCGAGTGGTGGTCGGAAAGGATGAAGGTACGTGTTGGTCATTGCAGATATGCACGGAGTCGAGAAGTGGAGGCTATTGACACGACTCATCAACGACAGCTTCACCCGCCAGTGTCACGTCGCGCCGTTCCGCATGCCTCACGCTCGCATGGGGAGGGTAAGCGCAGCCGACTGTGGAGGATGCGCCAACGAGGCCCCTCGTTTTCGCGGCACCGGTTCTCGAGACATCTTTTCGGCTTCAACCTCGACTTCTACTCGCCTTGTCGCTCTCTACTCCATCCTCCTCTTCCAAGAATCCCAAAGCGCACATATCATGGTCTTGCTTGTGGTCGTCCGCCTAGTGGCTCTCAGTGCGCACCTTTCTTTATCCTGCACACCCACGACCCCGCTCTGACCTATCCTTATATACTGCGACTTCTCCGTGCTTTCCATCGCTACTGGTGCGCTCATGGTGATCACCCTTTCAACCATATACGTCCACCTCCCCGATATCCTTTATCCACACGTATAGGGGCTCATCATTGACTCGTTCCGCACCAGCACCTTCATGTCACTCGTCGTGTCCGAGTCCTTGTGGATCTGTACGCTCTGTAAGCCCCTGCGTTCAGCGCCCTCATCCCACAGATCCTCCCGACGCTCGAGGTCTAGCACAACACATGTGGACGCGGCGCATGCAAGCGTTCCGCCGCACGCCAAGCACAGCTTCAAAGGCGGGTATGGGTATGGCTGCGATACCTACTGCCGCCCGTACTGACATGTCGGTGACGACGGCGCGGGGTCGCGCCGCTCGTACAGCGAGCTCGGCGACGCCTCGAGTCAAGGGCAGCGCCCGGGCGTACGCTAGCTACACCTCGCCCCCGCAGCACCAACCCCGGTGGCCGACCCGCGAGCCATTATTTGGCGAGGACGAGGACGGTACGACCGCCTCCCCACGCTCGGCCTGTGGACCGGCACTACCAGTACCTCCTGGTCTCGCCGCCCGCCCATTCCGTGCGTCTGCGCTTCCACTTGGCGCACATAACACGCGGTTTTCTATGGAAGGTGTACACGTTTGCGTGGGTGACGGTGCGGGTCATGTTGAAATGACCCTCGGGTCACCCTGGTGAACCCGAGCAGTGGCAGTAGCACGGTGTAGTACCAGTTGTATCATTCCCTGCATCTGTAGGTTTGTGTATTACGAGACATACGTATTGTACCCATGTACCATACATTCAAATATGCTGCACAATAACGACTCAGAGTGCCGGTGGGCTCTACAAGGGCTTGAACACTCGGGGAAAATGTGCGCGGCGAGCATGACGTCATTGGTCACGTGGTAAGGCGCCTAACAGACGTATGTCCGAGTTATCTTAGCGCCGAATGACAAGTTATCTTAGGCGAGGGCGATTTTCGCGGGTCGACCGGACATACCTTTGGTGGAGTTGCCCGGGTCCTGCATGGTCTGCGCCCGCGCAAGCAGCCTGGTCTGCAGCAGACCAGGGTGTGGGCAGGATTCATGGCCTTGGCCTGGTCGGCCACAGAGGTGGTTTTGTGTTCAGACTCTTGCCGCCATGTAGTAGTTTACCAATAAATATATTTTCATCATCAGTCATACATTCTGTGTGCTGACTGTACGGGAATTTCCGGGGCCGAACATGAAACCATCTCTGCGGCCGACCAGGCCAAGGCCATGAATCCTGCCCACACCCTGGTCTGCTGCAGACCAGGCTGCTTGCGCGGGCGCAGACCATGCCCCCAACATGCCCGGAACAGGATTCCTGTTCTTTGTCCGGTCCGGCGCGGACCAGACAAAGAACGTGACCGTGACAGGTACCATGGCAGTACCGTGTCCCAGGTCCTTTTCGGGCACCGAATATCCGGCATTTCTTGTCGTGTGACAGGAGCTCGACGCACTACGACGACGACCATGCATACCTATCTGGACCACGCAGCGCCGGCGCGGCGGGGGCGACCGCGCCCACCACGCGGGGCCAAGCCTGACAGACGCGCCTTCGCCGCAAGTGCCAGGATGGCCTCGGCGTGAAGAGGAGGCTCTGCAGAAGAACCCGAAGGTTGCGCGAGTTGAGGGAGTCGGAAAGAGCAGAGACGCTGCTGTAATACTGTACACCTGGAACTAGGAAGCCTACCAGAACCTCTAGGTCGAGGTTGTTGAAGCCATCACTTATCGATGTGCTGGGAGTGCATCGGCGCAAAGTAAGTGCGTTGCATCGAAGTTGATCGGGGAAGGTCCATGGGGCGGGCGCCTGTTCCGCGTCACCACAAGCTGTGCGTCGGCCACCTGATAGGCTTGCCGCGTGATCCACTCTTGGCAATGGTTCATACCCACCGCCAGGCACCAGCTTCCTCTCTGCATCGCCGCCGTCACAACACACCAATCGACCAACCAGGCCTGCTCACCCTCTGACATCTGTTCATGGATATAGCCTCCGTACTTGTACACACCAAGGCCCGCGGGGAAATGTGCACACTGGCAAATCGATGAGCAGGACGGGAATGATGGGGGGAGAGCTCGAGGCTCGAGAGGGCCGAGAGCCTTGGAGGTCACGTCGCACTTGATCGGCAGCAACGGATGTGCGGCCATCAAACCCGCTCCTCCTCCTGCGCGGTCTGGGGGGAGCTCGGTGCGTCTCTCGCTCTCTCTTCCCCTCCAGCACCTGGTGCACATGCACCTTTCGGCTTCTCTCCTCCCCCTCCTCTGAAAATCCGCGTCGGCAGCGCGTCCTGATGCTCTTCTGCTCTTGCCTCGTCCCACTCCTCCTTTGGGTCGCTGCCGCCGCCACCTCCAACCCCTCCAACCGGACGATTGACGACCAGAAAGGAGATGACGTGCTAGGGACCGTACCCGTCTACGCGCCCTCCAGCGCCTGGAAACAAGGCGCGACCTGCGATGGCTGCTACCCCCTCAACACCGCGAACGTCCGCAACGGCACCTGGCACGAGGCGACGTACACCCCCGATGATACGCAGGAGCTCACCATAACCGTCACCTTCACCGGTACCGCCGTGTACGTCTACAATGTGCTCACCGACGCCGTACAGAACAAGACCCCGATGTTCACCCGACTGACCTTCACTCTCGACGGCACCGAAATTGGCGACTACACCCATGGCCCCACCACCGACACGGACTTCGAGTATAACGCGCTAACGTTCTCTTCAACCGGGTTCGTGAACGAGCCGCATACATTCGTCATCTCCTCAGGCAACGAAGCCGCGTCAGTCATACTGTTCGACTACATTGTGTATACGGCCGAGGAGAATACACTACCCGACGCCACCACCACGTCCTCGCGCACGTCCACCTCGAACCCGACTACTTCCACGACCAACTCTGTCTCCAGTCCTTCATCTTCACAATCTCCCCCATCGAGCACCGCCCCGGCCTCCTCCTCCCTCAACACCGCCGCGATCGGCGGTGGAGTGGCGGGCGGAGTGGTCGCGATCCTCGCGGCCGCGGCGCTGCTCTTCTTCCTCTGTCGACGGAACCGCAACCGCACTCCCGACACTGCCGTCGAAGACATGCAGTACAGTGGATCGAGGGCGGCGAGCACCCCCGGACTTGCCGGTGGCGGCCATCCGACGACGCTTTCCGCGCCGTCCTCGTCCGGCGCATACACTGGGGGTAACTCCGCCGCCGCCGCGGGCAGCGCCGGACCCATCTACTCGCCGGTCTCGGCTGGTTCCACGGCGAACGTCTCATCCTCGGGCGATCCCTTCGCGTCGCCCTGCGACGCGCACCCCTCTCCTTCCACACTCTCGAATTCATCCTCCCGCCCCTCCACTGCCGGCAACGAGGCGCAGCCAACGTCCGCGCTGGGTCCCCACGCCCTCCGACCACTCCGTCGGATACCTTCCGACGTGCCCGTCAGCCCCGGGGCCACGTTGTATGCTGCCAGCCCTTTGCAGCCAAATCGACTGTCGTCCGCCACGTCGATGGCAGGCTCGCCCCGGCCGGGCACAGGTTCGGAAGCGTCAAGGCCGGAGTCATCCACTACGTCGTCCACAAACAGCAGACCGCTCCGTGTCGTCCAGCCGCTCCCGATACCACCCACCGAGAACGGGTTCCCGGCCGAAAAGGCGCAATTCCCAGACGCTGCGGTCGTGCACAGCATACCCGTACCCCCAATACCCGAAGAGCCTCCGCGATCGGCGTCTCCTGGAGCGATGTCGACGGCGACAGGCATCTCGACGCTTCGAACTCAATTGCAGATACTGCAGGAGGAGGTCGAGCGGTTGCGGGAGCAGCAGGAGCTGCAGCGGATGATGGACCTTCCCCCTACGTACAGTCAATGACTTTGAGACGACCGACCCGTTTCGTGCCCGTACTTGTATTCCCTGTGCCGCGACTGTGGCTGGGCTGGACGCTGCCTTTACGTCCGTTGTCGCGTGCTTGCTTATCATCTTATCGCCACATTTAGTTTTTGTTTTTTTGCGTTTCTCCATTCATACTGTGCACTCCGTCTGTAGACACACCATACGTTTGAGTGCTGTCTTTGTCACGAAGTTCTATATCACCATTTCAACGTCTCGTCATCGCCCCGGAGGTGAAGGTCGTGTCAGTAAGGCTGCGGTGCAACATCCCCAGACTCTGGTGTGTTTCGACTCGGGCATTTCCTAGCAATTAAGTCGTCGCAAATCTTCATCAGCAAAAAAGCATTCGAAGGATATAGAACATCCACAATATGACGAATATTCAATGGAAAGTTGTTCTGGCGTGTTACACATCGTTGCACCGTCTGGTCGGAACCATTGGAATCTATTCCAATGTTTAGGACTCCAAGCTTCCCTTGCGTCTGGGCCAACCGTCCGGCCATCTGCTCGCGCGGCAGATGTGCAAAGAAGAAACCGTGTGTATTCACAGTGACTGCTGCATACAGAGACACGTATATGTACTTAATACGCGCACGACACACTGAGTCGGCCACGCGACTCGGCCGCGTCGCGCACCTGTCTGGTCAAAGTCCTCCAGATAGCCCAGCAACGCCTAAACTGACGCGTGCATCGCATCGATCTTGTGGCTCGAGTGGTGCGCGCCGTGAGGGCGCGATACCGTGTATACCGGCACCATCTTCTGCTGCGCGCGGCGCTCAGTGCAGACAGGGCGTGTCCAGGCATATAGTTGCGTACTGTCAAAGACAGAGGAAAATCCGACCGGGAATCCCGCAAGCAGGCCCGTCGGAGCCTGGAGGGGTGCGAAGTGCGGGTTGAAAGGCACCTACCTGCAGCCATGAGCTCCTCCGCGGAGAGCTGGTGATCGGCGGTCAGGCACGCGTCGGCTACACGGGTGCAGCAGATAGCAGTACACATAGACGGCGAGCACTCACCATGATCTCTGCGTGAGTGCGAGCTCCTCGAAATCCACAAGTCACTCGAGGCTGTCGGAGTGGATGGTCCCCGGCGAGGGTTCGAAGTGATTAGCTGGAACGTGCAAAGAGAGCGCAGCTACTCTTGACAGATAGACGCCTGTAGAATGACGAACACAATAGACGCCGACGGGCAGGAGGCATCGGACATCAACGCATCACTCATGGAAACAAGGTAAGGAAGGTAAGGAGAGCTGGGTGCGTCTCTCGTTCTCTCTTCCCTTCCAGCACCTTGTGCGCATGAGGCTTTTGGCCGCTTTCCTCCCTCTCCTCTAAACTCGCGTCGGCAGCGCGTCCTGATGCTCTTCTGCTCTTGCCTCGTCCCACTCCTCCTTTGGGTTTCCCTTGCCGCCGCTGCAGCCTCCAACCGGACGATTGACGACCAGAATGGGGATAGCATATCGGGGACCGTACCCATCTACGCCCCCTCCAGCTCCTGGAAACAAGGCGCGACCTGCGACGGCTGCTTCATCCAGCTCAACACCGCGGACGTTCACGACGGCACCTGGCACGACGCGACGCACAGCCCCAATGACGCGCAAGACCTCACCATAACCGCTACCTTCACCGGTACCGCCGTGTACGTCTTCAATGTGCTCGCCAACACCGTGCAGTACACGACCACCTTCACCACTCTCACCTTCACTCTCGACGGCACCGAAGTTGGCGACTTCACCCACAACCCCTCCACCAGCACGGACTTCCAGTATGGCGTGCTAACGTTCTCTAAAACGGGGCTCGCGAACGAGCCGCATACACTCGTCATCACCTCGGGCGGCGATGCCTCGTCACTCGTGCTGTTCGACTACATGGTGTATACGTTCGAGGATGTGGAGACACAACCCACCACGGTGACGGAGACGACTACTAAGACGCCGGTGAATCCCACTACTTCTACCACCCCCACGTCCTCGCCCACATCGCCCACATCGTCGTCCACATCGCCCACGTCCACCCCGAACCTGACGGGAACAAGCAGCAGTTCGGCTTCGACTTCGCCGAATACTTCCACGACCAACTCTATCTCCACTCCTTTATCTTCATCACCTTCCTCATCAAGCACCAACGCCGCAGCTCCGACTGGAGGCTCGCTCAATGCCGCGGCGGATACAAAGCCGTCCACCCCGGTCGCGGCGATCGCCGGGGGAGTGTCCGGCGGTGTGGTCGCAATCCTCGCGGCGGCCGCGCTGCTCTTCTTGCTCTGTCGACGGAACCGCAATCGCGTTTCTGGCGTCGCCGTCGAAGACATGCAGTACAGTAACGTCAATGGATCCAGTGCGAGCACCCCTGGTATTGCCGGGCCCGGCCACCATCCGACACTGTCCGCGGCGTCCTCGTTCGGCGCATACGCCGCGGGTAGCTTCGCCGCCGGGGCGAGCAGCGCCGGTATCTACTCGTCGGTCTCGGCTGGCTCAGCGGCGAACGTGTCATCCTCGAGCAATCCCTTCGCCTCGCCCCACGACGTGTACGCCTATCCTTCCACCCTCTCGCATTCATCCTCCCGCCCCTCTACGGCCAGCAACGAGGCGCGGTCGGCATCCGGGCAGGGCCCACAAGCACTCAGACCGCTCCGCACGATACCATCCGACGTGCCCGTCAGCCCCGGAGCGACGACGTACGCCAGCCCTCTGCAACCAAATCGACTGTCAAGCCTCAGCCAGTCGATACTGCCGTACGCCGACCAAATGGTGCCACTCACCGCCTCCGCCGCGTTGATGGCAGGTACGCCCCGGTCGGGCACAGGTTCTGAAACGTCGAGGTCAGAGTCGTCCACCGCGTCGTCCAGGTCGCTCCGCGTTGTCCAGCCGCTCCCGATACCGCCCACCGAGAACGGGTTCCCGGCCGAAAAGGCGCGATTCTCGGACGGTGCGGCGGTCGTACACAACATACCTGTGCCCCCGATACCTGAAGAGCCTCCGCGATCGGTGTCTCCTGGTGCGGTGTCGACGACGACAGGCATCTCGACGCTCCGAAATCAGGTGCATATACTACAAGAGGAGATCGAGCGGCTGCGGGAGCAGCAGGAGTTGCAGCAGATGATGGACGAGCTCCCCCCTACGTACGTTCAATGATCCTAAGATGATTGACCCGTTCCGTATCCATACTTATATTCCCTGAGCTGCGGTCGTGGCCGGGCTGGACAATGCCTTTTGGGGTTTGCGTACCCGTTGTCGCGTCTTTGCTTGTAATGTTATTGTCTTATTTTCTTATGGCGTTCTTGTGTTTCTCCATCCATACTGTGCACTCCGTCTGTAGACACACCATACTTTGAGAGTTGTTGTCACGAAGCTTTATATCACCGATCATTCTAACGTCTCGGCATTGTCCTGGAGGGTGAAGGTTGTGGCAATGAGGCTATGGTATAACATTTTTAGAGTCCAAGTTTCGAGAGTCCACCACCTCTGCCACCACCTTCTATGGTTAATCAAGTATGATTTAGTTCATGCAGATGGTGCGCTTGAGCTGAGCCGATGACGGTGAGCTGCGAGTATATAAGTACATGGTGTATGCCGTCACGCGATTTGGTGTCGCGGGCGCTGATCTTGTTCTCAGGACAGCCTCGAGGTACCTCTTGCACACGTCCATGTCGATCTTCAACGTTTCAACGTCCAACTCCTGGCCCATTGTTACTATGCTTTGGACTGATCGTAATCGGACCCTCTGGAGTCTAGACTTCAAATCAACGCAACTCGATACATACGAGCGCAAGTGAGCCCATTCGCGACTGGCAAGCATATTTGTGCTCAATTGGTACATACGCGCTCTTGTACAGCAAGGTACATCATCGGTGATGACCGCGGCCACTGTCAATCGTGATGCTGGTGGGGAAAAGTTGATCAGACTTCTCCCGTGGTCGCCCTGGCTAGTGCTCACGGGGTGCTGACAGCGTCCCCCTTCAGGCTCTCCCGGTGAGTTTCCCTTCTCTCCTCTGCTTGCTCTATGCTCTGTCTGAGCTTCCGCTCCTTCCCTTCCCCTTCCTCGTAACGAAAGCCCTCGTGCGTCTCGCGCAGCGGCATGATTTCCTCTCTGTGCCGGCGACTTCCGCACGCCCTCCTCTTCCTCCTCTTTTCCCTCTCTCTCTTCGACTTCGCGGTGTGCGGCGCGGCGACCAATTGGACGATCGATGACCAGAACGGCGACGCCGTAACAGGCGTCATGCCCGTCTACACCGGCGCGTGGAAGCAGGGCGCGACCTGCACCAACTGCGCCGTCTCGCTCGATCACACGAGCGTGCACGACGGCACCTGGCACGACGGCACGACGAGCCCGAACGAGGTCCCGCACGCGATCACCGCCCAGTTCACGGGCACGGCGGTGTACGTGTTCAACGTCGTCCCGAACAAGGCTCTCCTCGTGGAGTCGGTTTCGGACATGATCTTCTTCCTCGACGGGCAGCAAGTGGGCACGTACCAGCACCAGCCAGACGACACCTGGGGCTACATGTACAACGTGTGCGTGTTCGCGAAGACGGGGCTATCCAACGGTGCGCACACGATCGAGATCCGCGCCGGGGTCGCGGAGTCGAACATCATCCTCTTCGACTACATCGTCTATACACACGAAGACGCGGACCTCGCACCAGTCACAGTCACGGAGACATCCGTCCAGTCCCAGAGCCCTGCCCAGACGACCACCACTCAGAGTTCGTCCACTTCTTCCTCCCCTGCGCCGCCAGGCACCCCGTCCAGCTCCAGATCGTCTTCCACAACGTCTTCCACATCCCCAGTTGGCCTCCAGGTTTCTACGTCCAACTCGATATCCTCTCCTTTTTCGACTTCTGGCTCCTCCGCCCCTGAATCTACCTCCTCGGGCCCGAACGCGAACGCGAACGTCGCGGACGACAAGAACAAGGACTCGTTCCCTGTCGGGGCTGTCGCCGGCAGCATCGCGGGTGGCATCGCAGCGATTGCGATCGTGGCCCTCCTTTTCTGCTTCATTCGCACGAAGCAGCGCTCGCAACGGTACACCGACGAGAAATTCTGGGGCAGCGGTACCTGGGACAACCGCGAGCCCGGTGTCGCGGGGATGGCAAGTCGAGAACGTCTGGCAAGCGGAGCGAGCGACCTCGCTGTCCACCAACAGACGACGCAATTCTCCCCGAACCGGCTCCAGACTTCCTTCCACAACGTGCCGCCAGCGCCCGAGTCCGGGTACTCACAACGCGACGGTTCGGGTTACGCCCCGTCGTCCGTGTATCCGCACAACGCATACGCGGGATCGCGCGGTTCCGGCTCCCCACGCACGTCGCTCTCGGACGTCCCCTCCCTATCCACCTTCCACGCCGCCTCGCCTTCGCGCGCCCCCACCGTGCTCACGCAGGACCGCCGCGCGCCCGCCGACGTCCCGCAGTCGCCCGGGGCGACGACGGTGTGGTCGCCCGCCACCCCCAAAGCGCCCTCCCCCTTCGACGACGCGGTCGCGCTCGGCTCGGCGCCCACCCGCAGCATCACGCGCACCCTCAGCCAGAGCCAGTCCGAGCACGAGCTGGCCTACGCCTCGTCCGAGTCCGGCCGCACGACCATCACACCGGGCCTCTGCACCGCCGCGCCGTCCGCGCCGCCATCGTCCTCTGCGCCTGGGCCGGGGTCCGCGGCGATCCTGACGGCGGTGGAAGAGAAGGCGCAGCCCGCGCGGGACGAGGCGGCGGCGATCCGCGGCATCCAGCTCGACGTCCCACCGATCCCGGAGGGCTCGATTGCACGCTCACCGGGGGCGGAGAGCGTGACGGGCTCGGGGTACACGACGCTGCGGTCGCAGGTGCAGCTGCTGCAGGAGGAGATCGCGCGGCTGAAGGGGGCGTTGCCGGTAGACGAGGCTCCGCCGGTGTACATGCGGTAGCGGTGTTGGCGGTGGGGTCTCTGAAGGTTGTTAGACCACCGCGCCGCTAGGTGCTGGCAGTGACGCTGGACAGCCCGGGACTGCGTTCGCTGGTGTCTGCAATATGGCACTGGCGTACTTGCCACGCATTCCTCTTTGTGTGTAGCTTTCTCGTACATCCTTTAGTACATATACCAGCTTTATGTATGCGCGCGCGTGTTGTGGCATTACACTGTATCTTGTATATTTCGTCCAACGTTATCTAGCTTCATGGGTCTGCTTTAGACAAGGATGATGTTGTTCTGCTCTTGAGTGTTGTTATCTGGCTTTAATGCGAGTCAATGTCCCATCAGGACTCGGAGCGTGGATTAGTGTGCATGTGGGAGATATCTATCGAAGGCAGTGACGTGCCTGCTTTTTCTCTGTCTACCGCCACCGCCAGCTTCGCACCCTCCCCTTCCTGCCGCCTTCTGTCTGACACCATGGCCAGATCCAGGGAAGTGGCCATGTGTACTTTTCCGATTCTCTTGCTTCGTCCTTCTGCATCGCAGCGCCCAACGTGATCCTGAGGCCTGATTCCTGGCGGTCGAGGAGCGGCCATCCCACAGCTCATCTCACAACGCCCATCGACTTCTGGCATCCTGAATTCTATGCCATCCGCATAGCAGATGGTATCAGGCTCTTGACGGCTTACGTGGGCCATTTCCCTTACCTGTGCGAGGACGAGCGAAGGTGTGTCCCCTCGTCCGCCTCTCATTGTGTTTATCCTCGTACCTCCACATTCCTTACCCCCTTCCCTTCCTTTCACCCTCGAGGGTCTGCACTGCGTATGTGCGGCGGTATGGCTCCGCTTTTGCGTAGTTCTTTGCTCTACTGGCGGCTTCTCGCCCTCTACTACCTCGCCGCCCTTCGTTGCCAAGTCTTGGCCGGAATCACAGTACAACACGTTGACGACGCCGACCCCAACATTCAGTACAACCCTGCCAGTGGATGGTCTCAAGGTGCATCCTGTAGCGGCTGTGGTCTCAAGCCAGACCCGGGGCGGACATTCGACCGGACATGGCACGACACTACCCATCTTACGTCTCAAACGGGACCTCGCTCCTTCACATACACCTTCACCGGGGTGGGCATTTCGGTTTTCAACATCCTTTCCAATTCTGCTCCTAGTGCACAAGTCCCCACAACACTCACCAACCTCCGGTTCATCCTTGACGGCGTGGAACAGTCATACATACACAATCCTGATGGAACTTCTGGCTTTCAGTATCAACAGCAAGTTTTCGAATCCCCCATGCTGTCCAACGAACAGCATACCCTTACCGTACAAGCCGTAGATTCGACGAGCAATGTCATCCTGTTCGATTTCCTGGAGGTCACCAGCTCGGTTGCGGATCCCCCCACCAAGACTGTTGTCGATACCGTGACCGCGACGTCCGATGTCTTCGGAACAGCTATCGCCGCTTCTACGTCTACTACGACCACTTCCACTTCCACTTCCACTTCCATTCCCACTTCCACGCCCATTTCCACATCCACATCCTCTTCCTCCCCGCCGTCGTTCACCAGTACCGGAGTGACGGAGACCCCAACGACTCGACCGCCTCCCTCATCATCCTCGGATTCCACTTCCACCTCTCCTTCTACAACTGTCTCGGGGGACGCGCAGATTGGAGGACCATCGGATTCAGCGCACGGTGCAGCTTCCTCTTCCACATCTCTTGGTCTTATCGTCGGAGCAGCAGCCGGTGGTATCGCACTCCTCCTCATCATTGCATTGCTAGTCCTCCTTCTCCTGCGCCGCCGTCCGCTGTCGTCCTTGGGCGACTCCTTCTACACCGGGAAGCAGCATTACCGGCCGGACTCAGGCTCGACGGAAAATGGAATGTCCCGCCTCCTCGTTATTGGAGACGCCACCCAAACCATCTCTACAAGCGCACACACCAGCATGGCCCCTTCTTCATGGTCGCAAGCCGACTCCACCTTCGACAACGATCGCTCGACCGTGGGCGCACTCGCCCGCCGCCACAGCATGGGCGAGCGCGCACCGTCTCCTTCCCCCACTCAAACCTCGGAGTCGTCGCAATACACCGTCGCTCCGTCGTCGCTCTTCCTCGGCAAGGACGGGGAAGTGCTCGACAGTGTCCCTCCGCTTCCTCCCATGCCCCTTGCTCCACAGCGCCGGGCGAACCTCGATGACCCCGCCAGACGCGCTCTCCCCCGAGCGCCATCCTCGACGGAGCGTTCTGATCCGGCGTGGACTGCGTCGATGTTCTCTACGAACACTCAAAGCAGTGCCACGGCGGCACTCCCCCCACGCGCAGAGACCCCGGGAGCGGTGACGCTGAAGAACAAGGTGGCAGTACTGGAGCTCGAGGTCGCCCGGCTGCGGCAACAGCAGGAGTTGTATGCGGAGGAGGCGCCCCCGGATTATTGGCAGCAGCAGGGAAGGAGCGAGTGAGCTGCATGGAGGGAAAGGGATGTTTACGGGGCGAAAACGTGAGCCTTGCGTCAAGTACATCCGATGCCTTCAACGTCTGACCCTCTTCAATAGATACGTGCACATGCCTGTTGTAGGTTGAGGTTCAATATTCTCTGACCATAGTCGTTCGTTTGATATATGTGCGTCGTGGTGTTGTATCTTCCTGGGGTGTCTTTCGTATCGCTTCTACCTTGCGCTTTCGGGTGTATTTCCCCCCAGAATGTATGCATTGTCTTCGTCATTGCCCCCGCCCGCTTCTGAGCGAATAACTCATCCCGACTGACCTTGTAGTCTTTGCTCCCCGTACAGCATGCGGCGGCGCCCGCGATCGAGTGCCCGCGATCGCTCGTCACTGCGGTGGCCGGTCTCGTGCGGTGATCTGTGCTTACCAGGATGGCGACCCGGAGACATGGTCTCTCCGGACGCCCTCTCTGCACATCGACGAGCTCCAAACGAAGGCCGCTGCAAGCAACAGGCGAAGATCCGATCAAGTTCGCAATCTCCGTTTTCCCAACCACAAGGGGCACAACGGCTTCACCATTAGAACGCACGCGCCCGACGCCTGCCGGAATCAACTCGCCCGCAATCACGACAACCCCTATCTCGTCAAGAACGATTATTTATCCGAGCAGCTCTCCTGCATCAACGTCGTCAAGCATACCACCCTCGCCCCCTTCCCCCATCGTCACCAATAACCATACCTTTTCAGACCCCTCCGTTCCCTTATTCCCTTCCAACGCCTCTTCCAACGCCAGCCCCTCACCCCCCAGTGCCAGCGGGTTGCAGACTTCGGTGACGAGAACATCTGCCGGCCGTGCTCCTTCCCACACAGTCGTCCAGCAGAACCCTCACACCCCTGGAAGCCCGGGCGAAGTCGGCGTCCTGATCGCTCTTTCCCCCTGTGCCGTCTTCTTTTTCTGGAAAAGACGCAGACGTCGCCCGACTTCAAAAAGCGATACCATCCTTTCGACCAGTCGCAGCCCGTTTAGAATGTCGAAACACCAAGCGCCCCGTGTCCTTCGCGCCCTCTATCCCCACCAGCCCAAGGCATTGCATGCGACCCATTCTTCCAGATCGGACTCGCCAGTCCGTGACGGCGCATCGTCGCTCCCATCCACTCGCCCTATCTATCCTCCTGCTTCTATCATTCATGACGGCCCTGGTCCCAACGAACCTTATTCGAGCGTAGAAGATCCGCCACTCTATCCTCCCACCACGTCGTCGTCCCCATTCATGCGTCCATCCATCCCTGGGCCCCAATCGCACATCCGTGCCATGCATGAAAACTCGTTCTCCGCAGGCATCGTCTCTAGACAGGCGACACACGCCCGTGTGGGCACGGTACTCGTGGTGAACGAGGAGCGATGCGGACGTAGATGGCGTTACTCCAGCGATGCGGACTTAGATGGCGTTACTCGAGCACACGGTTGCGACGCTGCAAGAGGAGCGGGGCGTGTGGGAGCTCGCAGTACAGGACCCGCCGCCGGTGTACGAGCCGGGGATGGGCGGCACGCTGCGGCGAACGGAGGAAGCTTCGCGCTTCCGAGATGTTTGCCTGATGTCGCGCGGCACGAGTGAGCAACTTTGACGAGATCACGTCGCAAGTCGAACGCACGGTCGTGGACACTGGACAATACATGTTGACAGGTCTATTCGTCGTCATGGACTAGACGCGCTTCTCGAGACAAAGGCTTGGAGGGGCAGTGCAAATCGTCGTACCACTCTGCTCGTAATCAGCGTCCCCTGGCGTTCCGCGAACCGGAGACCCTCCTGCAACCACCCACCGATCCACGGAGAAGAGTTCAAGGAGATGACGACGACGAACGCTGCTTCCGCAATAGGTGACGGCATGACTACGAGCGCGAAGGAACATTAGTCCAGACGATGTGGATCCTCTGGCTTCAAACCGCTCCCAGCGCCGGATCGCCTTCCCAGCTCCCTGCCGCTACTCCTCCCGTGCGCACGTCACCATGTGGGAAAACCCTCTCAGGTCATTTGAGCACCCGTCCACGGCAACGGACGCCTTCCATCTCCACCCTCAGTCCTCCCCGTCCACGGCGGCGTGGAATATGAATGCCACCGCTGCGACATCTCGACAACGGCAGGATGGTCAGATGAGCGCGCGCAATAAGGAAGATGCGAAGATGGGCCCGAACACTGCCGCATCATGCAGGGCCTGCGGCGACGGATGGAATGGACGCGCGCGAAAGGCTCGGAATGGACGCCTTTAACGAGTGCTCGCGTGCTGCCGCGACGCCCGTGCGCACGCCGGACTCTTCAGCGCATCTCATCCTGCGCGTTGGCTTCCTCCCCTTCCTCCCTTTCCTCTCTTTTGCTCGGGTTCCCTCCTTCCACGGCCCCGCCGCCCCACGCTCCTTTCGTTTGTTGTGATTCAGCATAGGTGCGTTTCCACGAACAGTTCGCGCATATGCCTGAAGGTTCACTAATATTTCTGTTCTGACTAGGCATAGGGCCGTGTGGTCCATCGAGAAGAATCAATCCCTTGCTGCATAGATCAGACACCTGATGCAGGTCATATTATTCACCCGTGGAACTCTGGCTCATTCCAAAACCTGACCTTCAATCTGTTCATCCTAGATTTCGTGCCATGGTACTGAATAGGCGTCAGTTCGGCTTTCCAATCGGAAGTCAACCTCCAGGTGCTTCGAGAATCGGTTCATTCCTTTCCTCCTTTTTTCATCAACCCCCGCCTGCCTCCACGCCCCCACCTGCCACCGTACCTCAAGTAACACAGCAGACGACGACGATTGTGACTGCAACGACAACTGTCGCACATACTGCTGTTCCAAGTACAACAAGCGCTCCACGTTCCATTCCTACCACAAGTTCAACCCCAACCCCAACTGTACACCTACAGTCCCCGTCTGTTTCACACTCAGCACCCAGATCCACACCGTCGTCGTCGCCGTCGTCGGCCCCGGCGGTTAAGTCTTCGTCCACCAGAATTTCAACAAGTTCTAGCCTCGCATCACCGCCTCCTACCTCCACTCATCCCTCCGGGTCCTCAGCGGCCCTGAAGTCATCCAACCAAACTGCAATAATTGTCGGGAGCGTCGTAGGCGCAATCTTCGTTATCGCTCTGTCAGCCTTTTTGCTCTGGGTTTACAGGCGCGCTCGTCACCGCGGTCCTCTATTCATGGACCTCCAGTCGCCGCCTCTCAAAAATCAAATCCTGCCCTCCAGATGGATGCGGTCATCACGGGGTCGCGACTTCCCATCCCCAGAAGACGACAAGTCCACCATCCAGATCACCATGAGCACCGTCATCGATATGGACGACCACTCGTTGTCGCACTCCGTCTGCCCGAGCCTCAGGAGACCCGTTCGCGCAGTGCAAGGCCTGCTGCACAACAGGTCTTCAAATTCACCATCCGCCTACCCCGTCCACATCCCCTGCTCCCCACCGTGCTTCGTCGATCCCACCTTTTCTCCCAACAGGCGACCTGAATGGACCTCCTTCAGCGAGAAGGCGCTTCCCAACATTCCCGTTCCCGCCCCGCTCCGGCTGTCAGCGCCGCGTCGTGGGCCCGCCCCCGACGTCCCGCGTAGCCCGACGATCTCCACCGCGTTTACGGAGGTCGACCTCCCTCACACACAGACAGTCGAGTATCGGGAAGCGGCACAGGCGGCGTGGAAGGAAATACAGATGAATGACCCCGCTTGGCAATGACTCCCCACGAGCTGCCGCCGGGGTATCATTGTGTGTGAAGGAACGAGCCTTGGGCTGGACGCAGCGCAGCTGGAAACGATGGACGAGTCAGTAGTACTATGTAGTAGTACTAGGATACATCCCGACGCTTATCGTGTTCCAGTATTTTATCTTTGATATATTAGCCATTTGCACTACTACTTGAAGTTCTCGTGAGTCTTGGATTGGACGGGTTGTGCTCCTTGAGCTTGAGCCATCAGGCGTTGACCGTGTTGAGATGTGACGTCACTCGGTCCATCTAGACGCCGACGTCGTCAAATTCTTTCCTGCAGCTACCGTCTCTCTTGCCTTCATCGCTCATTTCCCAGCTCAACGTCAAACTTCTCGTCCAAGTCACCAACCCGCCTTCCAGGCATCTCCATGCTACAGATTTCCTACCGATGAACAAGTCAGCTCTCATCCCTCTTCCGCGCATACATCCTGTAGCGACCGCAACCTATGCGTGGAAGCCGCAACGCTGAACGTGTGCTGGAGTTCTGTAAATGTTGGTCGTAGGGGAGAATAACACCATCGTGCGTATTATTGTTTCTTGGCATTGCTTAGATGTTTCTTTGCGGTCAGGGAGACAACGGCTCTCAATGCCGTCTGTCGCGTGTCCAAACTCTTCCAATCCTTCTGCTGTTCGATGTATTATTGCTCACCGTGGCATTTCAATTCACGTTTCTGATATGATCTTTGGCTCGGGTCACCCCTCACAGAGGCGAGCTCCGTCGCGAATCCCGCTAGTCCTATAGACTCCGAAATGCGGACAACGTGCAACACGCCATCTGTCTCCAGAGACAAGCCTATCTTCCTGTACAAGCGGTGATCGACTGTCACTAGTTGAGACTACAAAGATATCTCAAGTCGGTCGATACTGTTGTCAGGCAAGTTTGGTCTTCACTCACGAGCTACCAGCCCTGAAAACGAGCCCGACCAGTATCGGACACCCATACAGCACCTAAGTCCGAGTTCCCGTCATCTGAGGTGAGCTTACGGTTTACCATGGGAACCGTCCTGACATATCCATGAAGGAGCAATGGAGACACCGCCGCAATACAAAGTCACGGGCAAATTGTGTATCACAAAACTCCTTCAACCTCTCCCTTCCGCCTTTCCTCCCCTCCCCACATGGTCCTGAGTCGACTATGTGGACACGACCTCGGGTAGGGACGTGTATTGCGCTGCTTGTGACCCTCGGAATGTGCGCCGCCGCGCAAACATCCAGAAATGTCACCACCGAAGACACGGACGAGTCCATCAACTACCGCCCCTTAGGCGAAAACTGGTGGAGCGGCGGAGCCTTCAGCAAGTTCGGCGTCGACCCCACTCGTCTCTCTGGCCAGAGCTGGATGTGGGCTCAATCGCTGCAAGGCGACCAAACGTCCGCTACCGCCACCTTCCAGTTCTCCGGCGTATCGGTATACGTCTTCAACGTGCTCATCCACTTCATCAACGTCGAATTCTTTCTCGATGACGAGCCCAATCCTACGACATTCGTTTGGCAGCCCTCGGGATTAGAACACATCCAGTACAACACAGTCGTCTACTCGCGAAGCGGTTTGGACAACACACAACACACCTTGAAGATGCAACTGAAGAACGACGGCGAGTCGATGATCTTCTTCGACCGCTTGGTGCATGCAATACAGGAAGAGGACACCCCCGACCCAAGCCCTACCCCTTCCACAACGTTCTTTACACTTCGACAACATCAACAACGAGGCTAGTAACGACGACGGCGCCACTGCCTTCCCATTCTTCCACCACAACATCGTTAGCGCTACAATGACCTCTACGTCGTCTTCGATCCAGTCCGCGACACTCCCCCGGTTTAGCTCGTCACCCCAAACCCGCGCTCCTTCATATTCGCTTCCTCCGAGCGACTCCTCATCTTCAAACCCTGCGCCTACCACCGTCCCATCTCCGTCCTCGGCTAAGGCTCCCGTCCCCGTCGGTGCCATCGTGGGTGGCGCATTGGCGGCGGTCATCATATGCATTCTCGCCCTCCTCTTCCTTCGTCTTCGCGCCCGCCCCCGTGCGCCACGCCCCGCAAGGTCAGGGCTCAGCCTCAGCTCAGAGAACGAGAATGGTGTCGGACCCGCTCCCAGCGGAAACGCTCGTCCGGGACACTCGCGTTCCACCTCCGAGGACGGATTGATCCAGCGCCTCTCACGGACCTCCTCTTCCAAGACGAGCGCGGTGTACGGCTACTCGGAAAGTCCGGTGTCCACTCCCGCACACACGTCGATGATGGAGCGAAGCCCCCAAGAGGCGGTCAGCGAGGACAAGCCTCTACCTCCATCCTTCGGAACGAACAGCGTGCTCTACATCGGGGATACCACCTCTGGGCCACGTCCAGCATCGCCGGGCTCCTCTTTCGATGAGCGCACCCCTCGTGAAGAAGGCCTCGACTCCCCCGATGTGTTGGAGATACGTATGACATTGGAGCAGGTTCAGCGGGACGTTGCGAACATACGGGCGATGCAGAGTCGGATTCACTCCAGACTGCACGAGGCGCCGCCGCAGTACAAGGGGTGAGGTCCCGCCAGGATCAGAGGCCCAGAGGTCAGCTCACGCTCTGTCCCCTTCAGCTTCTCGTGAATGCTGACCGCGTGCGAATACAGTCATCTGAGTACTTTCACGATCGCTACCACTTTGGACACAGACATTTTGCACGGACTATGGACCCCTGATCGGACTTGCAGGACTAAGGACCCTTGATCAGACCACCCGTACCTCACGTTATTGCAATCAATTGATCTGCCATCACCCCCCTGGGCTGATACTAGTTCCGGCGACTGCGAATGCCTATTCCCCTGCCACTAGTAGACCCTCTACGAATAACGCTTGATATTCCCTGAGAGGAAACGGTAAAACGGGGGCTTATGCGCAAGTCCCCTGCCCCTGTCCCCGACGTCCCCGAGGGCCCGGCCCAGCCTCCCCTGCGCTCTCCCGGACCACGTGAGCGGCTTCCCGTGCCGCGCTCCCTGATGGCCGCCCCCACTGGCGTCTCCCCTCGCGCCGCCCGTCCGTGATGGCCGCCCGCGCCCCCGTGCTCGCCGTCGGGGACGGCGAGCTCGTTGTTTCCCTTGCCCCTCCCCCTCCCCTTGTCCGATTCGCTCCGTTGTTTTTTGTATGTACTTGTATTAAGAATGCGCATCTATTTACACAAATCACTAGCTAGACACGCTCTCTGTGATGCCCTCACCGCCCGCCACCGCCCGCCACCGCCCGCCGCTCCCGCATATGGGGAGGGCGGGACATTATGTCAGCATACTGAACGCCTTGGCGGGAGGCGGACTCTGATGGTGCGGGCGCCGCATGGACAGGAACCGCGGGAATGATTGATGCGCTGCGTGGGCGCCGCGCCATCAGCGCGAGGGCGCCGGCGCCGGGCACCGGGCGCTGCAGACTCAACGCCTCGTAGTGATGGCTGTGGAGCGCCAAAGTGATTAGATGGATAATGATTAGATAGTATAACAATGTAAACACAGAGAGGGAGTGAAGATCAAACCTCTACACATGTCCTTCTCCCAAGCCAGCAACCGCCACGGAGTGTCCGATAGAGTCACCATCGCTGGTCCACGGAACCGACCTAGAGGCGGCAAAAACAAAGGACATGGCGGGCATACCTTCAAGGAGGAGAAGGTCCGCGCGACCGATATAGACAAGGCGGACGAGTCGCGCGGAGGCGACGCGTTGACCTAGTCAATAGTATGTCGCACGGCAGGTACAAGAGTTAGGAAACTCACCAAGCAATAGATCTCAGTGGCTTAGATCGCGCCGCGGCGGTCGCCGAGTTCCAAATGGACGACACGCAGGGTGTGGACATCAATCTCGGAGACATAGACAATGCCGGCGCCACTGCAGCGGATGATGACGAAGATAATGGTGCATGGGCGGACGATCCGGACGTTGATGCGTTCCGTGCAGCTCTAGAAAATGATCTGCAATCGGGGTGAGCATGTTAATTATGCCCTCTGGTCGTAGATCCTTGACATGCCAAACAGTGTGCGCACGGATGAGCGTACCTGGCGCGATCGTCGCCGCACGATGGACGACAACTGGCAGCAGATATTCCCGCGTATCAAGGCCGCATATCTACAATGGAAGTACGGATATCCCCGCCCGCAAGAGGAACGCAAGCGGAGAGCACCCGAAGATGATACTCCCTCTGAGACAGAGGCGGCGCCGCAACAACAAACAGTCGTCTGTGTCGACTTGTACACCCTGCAAAAGGAAGTCAGCGTGGTTGTGTCATCCAACCAGTGGACAGTAGAGGCACTCGCCTGCGCGGGATATCTCGCTAACACCCCGATGGTGCCGTCGATGGGGATCTCGTTCCAGACGCTCGAGCTGTTCCGGTGCCTGAAGCTCGTAAAGCCATCATTCAGCACCGAGGCGTTTGCCAAGCTTGTCTGCTACAAGTACTATGTAAGTTGCTCCTCTAGCGCAGCGGAATAGTTGGTCTGACATACCTGGAACAGATGGCATATCGTCGCCACTATCGCACTGCGCTAGCGGACGCGTTTGACATATACCTGGAGGTTCTCGATGAAGTGGAGCTAGGGATCATGGAGAAGCTGGGACGGGGTGATCCGAACTGGCGCCCGCGCTTCGGGTGCCCACCATGCGGATACAAGGCACGCATCCTCCATTTGATGCGGGTGGCACGTGGTGACGTCAGACGGACTGCTAACGACTTCTCACGCAGCTGGAAGGAGAGCCGGTCCTCCACTACAACCGGATGGGCAGTAAGGACGGCAATAACTCCTTGAAAAGACTTATGCGCAAATATCAAGACCGAGGAGACCTGCGACAACACAAGAACAACTACTTTCTCAGCCCACAATATGTCGACAAGTTTGCGCATCAGGTGCCTGCGCGGCAGGCACAGCCGAAGCCGACCGCGGATCTCGGAGAAGATGGTGATGACGACATCACCCACGACCCGGCCGAATCCGCGCCGGCCCGCGAGCCAGTGGCGACGGAAGGCGATCCCACAGATGGGGAGCCGGGTGCCCCGAGCCCGTGTGCTACGAACTGGAAGGCGGCAGCGGCGGACGAAAAGAAGAAGGCATGGGGTGGGTTCGACGAGACTGGCATCTTTGCTAGTGCCTGCAGGCATGGGAGGATCCTCTGGATTGCAGATATGATCCAGAGCGGTGAACTGTAAGTCTTGATGGCTCCGTGGAGCTCGGAAACTTAGCGATCACCTTTAGCGCCAAGTACGGGATCGCGATGGTCGACAAAATAAACACTGAGTTGCCCAGCAACATCCTTCTCGGCTATGACATTGGCTGCGTCTTTCAGGGGACCCTCGCCCGGAGCAGCGCTGGTCCCGAGTTCCAGAAGCGCGGCTCTCAGTGCATTGTGAACGCTTTCCACGGTTATTCCCACTCCTATGTCTGCCAGCTCCACCATCATCCGAATGTTACCGCGCGGGCGCCGGGATTGAGGATCTCGAAACCATGGAGCGGATCTTCAGCGGATCAAACGCGCTTGCCTCGATCACCCGCTACGCGAGCAAGTATCGGCGGCACGCAATGATTGTGCTCTATTTCCGCCGCTGGGATGAAGAAAAGTATACTAATCTCGCGGTATTCCTCCGCAACAACTTCCTCCAAGCAATGAAGATCATTGAAGAATCGGAGCCATTCTTGGCCAGCATTCTGCCCCAGCTCAATCTCACCGAGGAGAAGTTGATCGAGGCGGCGGAAGACGAGCGCGTCTACTTCGCGACGCTTCGCGATGAGAATCCGGAAGACGAATGGGCACAAAGCTATGTTGAGCGCCTCGAGGACCTTAGAGCGATGAAGTGAGTCACGTTTTGTTAGGGCGCGGGTTGCTTCTGACGCGCGCGCAGGGATGAATATGCTCAGAAGACTCGCGCGGCCACAAAGCGCGCGACGCGCAACCCTGCGACGCGCGAGTTCATGCTCGGGCAGCAGCCGCCGCGCGAAGCTCCGCCACTCGCGCCCCCTGGGAACGCGCGCGCGGGTACCGGCGGCTCTGCATCTTCCGACGGCCCCGGGCTTTTGTTCCAGGCACCGTACACTGGTCCGATCACAGACTATAACGCCCACGTAAGAGAGACGCGGAGAACGGAGAGCGCGAACCGCGTGCTCCGCGAGCGGATCGACGCCCTCGATCAAGAATTAGCCGAGATCGAGGACACCTGGGGCATGACGCGATGGCTGCCCACCGATCCGCGCTACACCACGGCGAAGGTGTACATGTCAACACGACGCTATCAGCAGGCCCTGGGAAGGCTTCAACGCCTTGTGATTCAACGCTTGTTCGAGCTACATAAGCTTCATCTCGCGCAGACAGGTGGGTTATCATGTAATCATTTGACCAAGCGCTGACAAAAGCGCATGACTAAGGCTACAAGATGCGGACTCACATCGCGAAGAACATGCAGAAACGGTCAGCTGCAATCCGACGTGCTATCGCGACGTACAACAGGGCCGCCGTCACGGTGCAGAAGCCACTCGTTGACTGGACTCAGATCTCGCATTACTCGTTCATTCGGGAGTTTGCACTTCTGCACGGATCATGGAATGACGTCAGCGGCAAAGTCTGGGCGCGTCCGGAAGTCCGGGAGGCGATCGGGACCTGGCGGCGCTTGCAACGCGCCCGAGAGGAGATCCAGATCATCTATCGCGATGCGCGCCGCCTCCACACGCACATTCGCGACGAAGAGCAAGACTTCGCCACGCTTCTTGAGCAGCTCAAAGAGACCAACGACATCCTTTATGGGCCGACTATGGAGTTCGTTCGCCACCGCGAGGCCGCCAATGGGTACAACCTGGCATTCCTCAATGAATTGCATAATGATCCTCGCTTCGAGGGCGAGAAGACGCCGGGCCGCCGTGAGGGCAGAGCTCCCCCTCCGGAGCCATCCATTCCACGCATTTCCCCCGATGACAGCGCGATCGAGACAGATGTGAGCCCGGAGAGTATGTACGATGACGATATGCAGGCGCAGCAGAGCGCTCTGCTCGACTTCGTAGCTCAGTAGCGTAGATCGGCTCTGGGGGCTTCTAGCGCCCGTTTGAACGAGCTGTTTCCAAGACAAAAACATAATTCCACACCTATGTACGGTATTTTGACACGTCCAAATGAATGGTATACAACGTATAATGTGTATATAGGACGTTCCATGTGTTATTTCAATGTCAATGTTACTATACCAGTCCCAGGACATCGTAAGGACGTTTGGTGCACACCCGAAGCAAGGAAACCGTGAGGCTTTGCATGCAATCATGCCTCGCAGTATGCTATACTATTGCAAGCATAATCAGGGGCATCAAATACCCGGCCTGTGTGCCGAGATGCATGACAAATACATGCGTGTTGGCAGATTTCTCACCGGATGCCAGGGAGGACCTGTAAAGCATCCGAAGATCAGGATTCGCGTGAGATGACAGGTGAGAAGCATGGGCGCCTCTCCGCGTAGCTCCTCCTTCTCCGCATCGATCACCCCTCCCCGTCCGCTCTCCCGCCCCGAAGCATGCATAACCCGCTGCTATCTGACCCGGCGGCGTCTTCCGGTCCTTGGTACGTGCTTCTGGGGCCGGACACACGCAGAGTGTCGCCGCGCATCACGCGCACTCGGTAGATTCTCACTGCTCTCTCACACCCGTCATATGCTCACCAACATCGTACAGGCCACAGGTGGGCTTAGGGCAAGATCCCGCCATCTACCCGATCGTAGTGTGCTGCATGCACCGCGACGACGCGGAGGCCATCGACGCTCTCAACGCGACGGTCTTTTATCAAACCGCGGCTCATGACGTCCATCTTGCCGTGTGGCGTGTACAAGAAGCCAACATATCGCTGCGCGGCGAGCGGATCTACAGTGTCCGTGCCGCGCTAGAAGGCAGACATACCGGTGTTTTCATTGGGGTCACTTGGTAAGTCGCTATCGCATGTCCCATGGATTGTATTGACAGAATCCTCAGGGCTCACATCGGCTTTCAAATCGGAGAGGGCGAACGGCACATCAAGCAATACTCATGCCGGTACAAGCGATTCGACAAGAAGGGTCTGTCCGTGGCCAGCGCCATCGCGTATATGGTTATGAAAACCGGGCACAACTTCCCCCTCGACATCGACCTCGACTTGCCCATCATCCCAGCCCCGCTCCGCCTCGTCCCAGCTCCCGCTCTGCTCTGTACTCCCGTACGCCGCGCGCCTCCCCACAGCACTCCGGCGACCCCGAGCAGAAGTTCCGTCCAGT